CCTCTCTTCGCTAGTCATCCCTAGTCATCTCTAGTCATCCCAGTCATTCCTTCTCATCGCAGTCATCCCTAGTCTCCCCACTTATCCCTAGTCGTCCCATTCATTCGTAGTAATTCCTAGTCATCCGTAGTCATCCAAGTCATCCTTAGTCATCCAAGTCATCCCTAGTCATCCCTAGTCATCTCTTGTTATTCCTGGTCATTCCAGTCATCTCTAGTCATTCCTAGTCATCCCTACTCATCCCTAGTCAGCGCTAGTCATCTATAGTCATCCCTAGTGATCGATAGTCATCAAAGTCATCCCTAGTGATCCCTAGTCATCCCAGTCATCCCTAGTCATCCCAGTCATCCCTAGTCATCCCTAGTCATCCAAGTCATTCCTATTCATCCCTAGTCATCTTTTGTTATCCCTGGTCATTCCAGTCATCCCTAGTTATCCCTAGTCATCCCTACTCATCCCTAGTCAGCGCTAGTCATCCCAGTCATCCCTAGTCATCCCAGTCATCGTTAGTCATCCCTAGTCATTTCTACTCATCCCAGTCTATGTTGACATCCCAGTCATCCCTAGTCATCCTTAGTCATCCACATATAGTCATCCAAGTCATCCATAGTCATCCCTAGTCACCCCTTTTCAACCCTAGTAATTCCAGTCACCCCTGGTCATCCCATTCATTCGTAGTAATCCTTAGTCATCCCAGTCATCTCTAGTCATCCCTAGTCATCGATAGTCATCTGTCATCTCTAGTCATCCCTAGTCTTCCCAGTCATTTTTAGTCATCCATAGTCATCTCTAGTCATCCATAGTCATCCACGTCATCCCTAGTCATCTCTAGTCATCCCATTCATCCCTAGGCATTCCAGTCATCCCTAGTCATCTCTAGGCATTCCACTCTTCCCTAGTCATCTCAGTCATCCCTACTCATGCCTAGTCATCCTCAGTCATCTTTAGTCATCCCAGTCATCCCTTGTCATCCCATTTATTGGTAGTAATCACTAGTCATCCCAGTCATCCCTAGTCATCCATAGTCATCCCTAGTCATCCGAGTCATCCCTACTCATACCTAGTCATCCCAGTCATTTCTAGTCATCCGAGTCATCCCTAGTCATCCCTAGTCATCCCTAGTCATCTTCATCATCCCTAGTCATCCCACTCATCCCTAGTCATCCCAGTCATCCCTTCTCATCCCTAGTCATCCCTAGTCAATCCCAGTCATCCCTAGTCGTCCCATTCATTCGTAGTAATTCCTAGTCATCCCTAGTCATCCAAGTCATCCTTAGTCATCCAAGTCATCCCTAGTCATCCCTAGTCATCTCTTGTTATCCCTGATCATTCCAGTCATCTCTAGTCATTCCTAGTCATCCCTACTCATCCCTAGTCAGCGCTAGTCATCTATAGTCATCCCTAGTGATCCATAGTCATCAAAGTCATCCCTAGTCATCCCTAGTCATCCCAGTCATCCCTAGTCATCCAAGTCATTCCTAGTCATCTTTTGTTATCCCTGGTCATTCCAGTCATCCCTAGTTATCCCTAGTCATCCCTACTCATCCCTAGTCAGCGCTAGTCATCCCAGTCATCCCTAGTCATCCCAGTCATCGTTAGTCATCCCTAGTCATTTCTACTCATCCCTGTCTACCTTGACATCCCAGACATCCCTAGTCATCCTAGGTCATCCATATATAGTCATCCAAGTCATCCCTTGTCATCCCTAGTCACCCCTTTTCAACCGTAGTAATTCCAGTCACCCCTGGTCATCCCATTCATTCGTAGTAATTCTTAGTCATCCCAGTCATCTCTAGTCATCCCTAGTCATCGATAGTCATCCAAGTCATCCCTAGTCATCGTTAGTCATCTCTAGTCATTCCAGTCATCCCTAGTCATCCCAGTGATCCCTAGTCATCCTTAGCCATCCCTAGTCATCCGTACTCATCCCAATCATCCCTAGTCATCCCTAGTCATCCCAGTAATCTCTAGTCATCCCTTGTCATCCCTAGTCATCTCTAGTCATCCTTACTCATCCCTTCTCATCGCAGTCATCCCTAGTCTCCCCACTTATCCCTAGTCGTCCCATTCATTCCTAGTAATTCCTAGTCATCCCTAGTCATCCAAGTCATCCTTAGTCATCCAAGTCATCCCTAGTCATCCCTAGTCATCTCTTGTTATCCCTGGTCATTCCAGTCATCTCTAGTCATCCCTACTCATCCCTAGTCAGTGCTAGTCATCTATAGTCATCCCTAGTGATCCATAGTCATCAAAGTCATCCCTAGTCATCCCAGTCATCCCTAGTCATCCCTAGTCATCCAAGTCTTTCCTAGTCATCCCTAGTCATCTTGTGTTATCCCTGGTCATTCCAGTCATCCCTAGTTATCCCTAGTCATCCCAACTCATCCCTAGTCAGCGCTAGTCATCCCAGTCATCCCTAGTCATCCCAGTCATCATTTCTACTCATCCCAGTGTACCTTGACATCCCAGTTATCCCTAGTCATCCTTAGTCATCCATATATAGTCATCCAAGTCATTCCACTCATCCCTAGTCATCTCAGTCATCTTTAGTCACCCCAGTCATCCCTTGTCATTCGATTTATTCGTAGTAATCACTAGTCATTCCAGTCGTCCCTTCTTATCCATAGTCATCCCTAGTCATCCTTAGTCATCTCTAGTCATCCCAGTCATCCCTAGTCATCCTTAGTCATTTATAGTCATCCCTAGTTATCCAAGTCATCCCTAGTCATCCCTACTCCTCCCCTCTCTTCGCTAGTCATCCCAGTCATCCCTAGTCATCCCTAGTCATCTCTAGTCATCCCAGTCATTCCTTCTCATCGCAGTCATCCCTAGTCTCCCCACTTATCCCTAGTCATCCCTAGTCATCCAAGTCATCCTTAGTCATTCCTAGTCATCCCTAGTCATCTCTAGTCATCCCTAGTGATCCCAGTCTACCTTGACATCCCAGTTATCCCTAGTCATCCTTAGTCATCTATATATAGTCATCCAAGTCATCCCTTTTCAATTCTAGAAATCCCAGTCATCCCTAGTGATCCCATTCATTCGTAGTATTCCTTAGTCATCCCAGTCATCTCTAGTCATCTATAGTCATCCCTAGTCATCCATAGTTATCCAAGTCATCCCTAGTCATTTCTAGTCATGCCAGTCATCCCTAGGGATCCTAGTCGTCCCTAGCCATCTCTAGTCATTCCAGTCATCGCTAGTCATCCCAGTCATCCTTAGTCATCGCAGTCATCCGTAGTCACCTCAGTCATCCCTAGTCACCCTAGTCATCGTTAGTCACCCCAGTCATTCCTAGTCATCTTATTCATTTGTACTAATCCCTAGTCATTCTAGTTATCCCTAGTCATACCTAGTCATTTCTAGTCACCCCAGTTATCCCTAGTCATCCCAGTCATCCCTTGTCACCCCATTAACTCGTGGTAATCCCTAGTCATTCAAGTCATCCCTACTCATCCCTAGTAATCCCTAGTCATCTGAGGCATCAATAGTAATCCCAGTCATCCCTAGTTATCCCTATTCATCCAGGTCGTCCCTAGTCATCCCTAGTCATCTTAGTCATCCCTAGTCATCCCATTCATTCGTAGTCATCCCTAGTCGTCCCTCGTCATCCATAGTCATCCCTAGTCATCCATAGTGATCCAAGTCATCCCTAGTCATCCCTTGTCGTCCCTAGTCATCCCAGTCATCCCTAGTCATCTCTACTCTTACCAGTCATCCCAGTAATTTCTATCATTTGTAGTAATCCCTGGTCATCCCAGTAATTTGTATCATTTTCAGTAAGCCCTGAGTATCCCTAGTCATCCCTTGTCATCCAAGTAATCCCTGTCTTATCTAGTTATTGCAAGTCATCCCTAGTCAGCCTTTAGTGACACAGCCATCGACATGTTTGGACCTCTGCATGTACGACTTGGACGAAAAACGCTGGAAGAAGCACGTGTAATTATATTCACTTGCATGACGACCAGAGCAGTCGATCTTGAACTAGTAACAGATAGAAGTACGGACACGTTTCTTTCGGCGTTTCGACCATTTTGTATCCTTGAGAGGAAATCCTAACAACTGCTGGTGCGACTACGGAACAAATTTCATTGAAGCTCAACATTACCTGAAGGAACTTTTGAACGACTGGGATATCCTAGAATCCAGAGCGTTGTCTCAGAAGAATTTTTGTCTACTTTTCAGAGGAGTTGGAATGGCCCCCTCACCAGTCACTAGAACAGAATTGTGGAGAGTCCTATCAAACCAGTACGACAAGCGTTGAATGCTACTTCCAAAAACCAAGCCCTCAGAGAAGAGCAGTGGAGAACGTATTTAGCAGAAGCTACATGCTTAATAAATCAGCGTCCTCTCTACCCAATCTCAAACGGAATTTGGGAAAGTCCGCCTATCACGCCAAATGATCTTTTGAACGAAAATCATTTTTCCACCTCCGATATGAGAAGTAGAATCGAAAGTAAATCCAAGACACCTCATGAGAAGTACAGAGAAACGAGTGCAAGAGTTTTGGAATTGCTGGATGAAATATTTTGCTGCCAAGAAACAAGTGGTTCAGAAAGCGAGAAAATCTACGAAAAGGAGATTTGGTGTTAGAAATTGAACCAACTCCCAGGAGAACGTGGAAGATAGGACTTGTACTCGAAAATTATATATCCCGGTGAAGATGGTCTTGTTAGAAAAGCAAAGATTAAAACAGCAACGTCAGTCTATGATCGACCAATTCACAAATTATGTGTAATCGCGACAAAAGAAGAATTGAACAGCATGCCTTAGTTATACAACCTGGTTAAAGCTAACTTATGCAGTGCAAAGAAACAAGTTGCTTAACCAATTACTTTAGTAATTCGCTTTCCGCACCCGGGGGGGGGGGGGAGTGTTTTGCATTCCGCCCATAGCCAGCGATACTGCGTATATTACATACTATTAACTCCCACGAGGATATTGTAGGGTAAAGAAGCGGCCACGCGGTATTAGACACGATCAAGATAGAGCAGAATTGTACCAGGCATTTTATACTCCCTTTCCCTCGGAGTCTTCAGCGTTCCAGAAGTGTGTAATCAGAAAATTACAGTATACAGAATAAACCTGATGTAAGTGCAAAAACTAGTACGTGATTCTCTTCCAAGTGGATTCGACACATATCCAAATCCAAGTTCAATGGAGTCATTACAGTCATTCGGGTCACCCAGCACTACTCTAAAGCGGCTCTCTGGTTAGTTAATTCGCGAGCACAATGGAACTTATTTAGAAAAATATTGTCATGTACGCATTACCTTCTATTTCCCACCAGTAAGACATTTTATTTAATAGTTTTAATGGCCAACCAACTTGTTGGCATCTCTTCCCAGGTTTATTATATGAATCTAAGAAGACACCTTGTCACAAATAAGTAAAGATTTTTTCTTCTTAAAGTTCTAAATCATTAGTATGACCAAAGTCAATCTTGAATGCCCGTAAGTTTACAGCTAACTTGCCAAAGTCGTCTTTGAAGATCTTCATGATATGTTTCTTCCGAAGACTTTACCGGAAGGCAGTTTACAAAGTATTTTCCACTTGTACCCTCTAACTCCGGAGATAGAGCCACGTAAAGACTATTGTCTGCTCCTTGCTTAGGGGTCTAAAATAAACGAAATGAGGCTATCCTGTTATTGTGTTAATATTAGTATATTATTTTTATTATCTCTGAAGTACACTTTTCTCTTTTAATTAACGTTGCGGAACGCCCTACGCGACGTACACTGTACCCTGCTAGCAGTAGCCTCTCCATGCTGGATGTAACGCTACAAAGGGAGAGAAACCACTGGGACCTATCGTTTGCTTCTCTGATCGAGCCGCCGTCCAGCGCCATAGAGGAATAAATTAACTTTGAACAGGCAAAACGTGCTTTTAAACAAGTTGAGGCTCGCGCGCATTTCCTTACGCTAACTTATAACTGCTGCCTTAACGCGAGCATGCTCTAAATTTGCGCACTTTCCGCCTTTATCGCCATTTTCCCAAACCACTTACTTTGCCGATGTAGGACAGCCCAGTTGAAGTTGAATACTTAGGGACCACATACAAGTTCAGAAGGAGAAATAAATTTTCGCCGTTTCTTTTTACGTTCCCCATAAAACGCGAAATTAGAAATTTTTACGTTGCAGTCGTGCAAAAATGGCAAAAAAAAAAGATACAAAAAAAACTGCGATGTACGGGCAAAGTTGTTACTTTGTTGTCGTCACGTCTTAAGTCCCTAATGTTTCCTGCGAAACAAGAGGAAGTAATGTCATTTGACGAAGGAATCACGTTTTTGCGCATGCTCGACGGAAAAGCAAGCGGTTGTCCGCAGTGGTTTCTCTCTCTCCATAACGTAGCGTCCAGCATGGAGAATCCACAGCTCTCAAGGTATACGTGACGAGAACATTTAGCAATCTTGCTAATTAACAAAAATACTTCCACATTTGGCCATGAAGCAGTCGTTCTGTCATAAAAAATCAATTGTGACGTTTTATACCATCTATGGCACTGACAATGGCGCGTGATCGAATTACAAAGGATTTTCAGTTACCCACAAGACCTTGCAGACTAGTTGAGTCAGGTTGACGCCTTAAATACGACAACGTATATTGAAATATACCCATGGCTGCACACGTAACACGAATGTCTAGCGGATTGGCTGAGTAAATGTCAGGACCCGTGGTCGGTATTCTGGGATTGCACGGATATCAACGTTGATTAAAATCAAACGTGTACTAATAGTTAACGAGGAACGTTGTCCCCTATTTTGTCACGGATTCCCATCAAAAACGTCTTTTGGGTGTTCACGTTTTGTAGCAACTTAAGATAAACATTTACGGTGCTGATCGACAAACCTACCTGAGTAAATCGATAGAAAATTGAAAAGTATCTAATCTTGAGAACCGAATATGAATATCCCAAACTTTTCTTTAAAATCCTTCCTAATTTAATGCAACTGACTTTATTTCCACAGAGAAATAAAAGCTTCCTAACAGACTCCCCCACTAGACAGTGAAAATAAAGCTGTGATTTGTCAATTGCAACACAAAATTCTTGTCCCATTGCTTGCAGATTGTACTGCATCAGCTCGCTCATGCATGATTTGGAGGCCCAAACAGTCAAGTCCAAAGTGCAAAGCAAAGCAAACAATCAGAATACCTCACAAATACATCTGTGCTTACCATAAAAAATAAGTTTGCTAACAGGTTTTGTGGTATTCTTACAAGCCAGTGAACATATTGGAACAGGTCTGTGTTGACCACGCCTGGGTGAAGAGCATTGACCATGACAGGGCTATTCCGTGCCTTCAAGCGTCTAGCCAACTCGTAGGTAAACAAAATATTGGCGAGCTTGCTTTGACTGTAACTCAGATGCGGAGAGTAGTAAATTCTGTTAGGGGAGCAGAGACAGGTGTGTGTAAAGAAATCATACACTGCACTGCACATGTTTTGCTGCTTCTGATTAATGATAACATGAGATTGTTGAAATGAGTTTAACCGCAGCAGAAATAGCTCAGTCGGTGGAGCGCTTGACTTCAGAGCGGGAGGTCGTGGGTTCGACTCCCGGGACCAGACATCTTATACCCAAGGTCTTTAAATAACTGTGACATGAAGGCATTGTCTTTGCCCTGCAAACGGCTAGACCTGCGCGCGCGTAGATCTCATGACCACGTAAAATGGCGGTCCTGTCTCCAATAGATGACGTAACAATAGTGTTCCCAAATCGTACTGAGAGCTTAAGACGGAATCCATTAGGAAATAGGGTAATTTCAAGTTTCAGTGGACGAAATCCTGTTCCTGAACAGTGTAAACAATATCGCATTCCTTTTTACATTTTTCAAGGGCTATAGATATAATTAGTTATTTGTAACAACACCAAAGACTATTTCTCATGGGAGCCCGAGAAAATATAATGTCAAATTTCACAAGAATTGTGAAAACACAGGTAAAATTCTGAAAATTTCGTATGTAAGATGTCACTTTGTGACATTTGACATTCATTTTCTCGGGCTCTCATAGCATTTTTTTTGGTGGAATTACAGATAATTAATTACATCTATAACTCTTGAAAATGTTTTAAAAAAGAATGCCATATTGTTTAAATTATTTTTCCATATTCTGGTACAAGGTTTTTGTCCGCTGAAGATTAAAACCACTCAATTTCCTGACGGATTTCGTCTTAAAATAAGAAGCGTTTTTATGTTGTAGTTTTTGAAGCGGACAATAAGATTTGATAGATTTTGCAAACATCATAGAGCAAATAGACGTTATTTTATAATTCTTAACTTTAAGAAAGGAAGATTACGTGAAGTAAGAGTGACGCATCAAAAATTGTCGGGTCTCCGCTGAATTATCGTTATCTAAAATTAGAGGACAATCTTGGAATACCGGGCTCAGTAGGATTTAGAAGGTGTTGGTTTTTGGAACATAAGACTCGACGTTTCGAAAAGACGATAGTATAGCTTCCAAATTAGAATTCCAGCACTCTCAACGCTCGGCCATGCTGCGTAACTGTATCATTTAATATTGTACCTATCCAAGACTATTCCGGAAAACCAAGATCCTTTTCTGGAGACAGGTCCCAACAATTGGTAGGAGTCCATATGGGCTCCTGCAATTGGCAATTTCCAGGCTCCCTTAATGGAACGGCAGTGAGTTATCACATGGAATATAATGTTTCTATATAAAACCTTATTTCGCCCGGTGGAGACGCATGAAAGTGACTGAGGGATGCTCGTCGGAAAATAGGAATTGACCCCTTAGGAGACCCACCGGGGCGTGGCTCAGCGTTTATTTGACCATTAATCTAAAGGAGACCATACTCCAACAAAGTATGAGGGCATTTTTGTTTTTTGCGATAACTTCATGGTTAAAAATATTGGGTTTTCGTCATCAACAACCTAAGTGAAGCCATAACCTGTAATTCCTATCCTAAGTGAGATGACAAGCACCCATGTCATTTCCATGTAGGAGTTCCCCCTTCCCCCTCCCCCAGGCTACCCTGCTCTTACTAAGTTGCACATACTTGCTCTGTAGGTCTTCAAAATTAATGGTGCCCGGGACATGTGCCTCGGATGACAAAGTGACAATTCTGGAGCGTCTTTGTGCTGAGCCAGACCTGTAATACAAGAGTTTTCGCGAGTTATTATCATTACTCTTGGTACAGTGGTGTAACAGCTGGTCAGGCTGCCATAGTTAAATTTGCTGTCTGGAATTTATCCATCGCACTGACGCATGTAATTGCATGATTCATTTTAAGTCTCATTAATAATTATAATTGTTTATTCACCTACAAATGCATACCAAAGCTTACTTAATTTCTATTTTGGTTTGTAGACTCTTTGCGGATCTAATGGTTCTGGAACTTCTAATGTTGTCCTGTTCTAGTGAAATATTGTCAGAAGATCCCACTTAATTTACTGCATAATACTGTCAAACCCCGCTGTACAGACACCCCCTTAATACAAACACCTCTTTATCATGGACACTTTGTTTTGTCACTAGGGAAAGAAAGCCCTTACATTTTCTCTAAATTCAACCAGCACTACATGGACACCCTGTTAATTGATACGGACACTTTCTATGGGCCCGTCAGTGTCCGTGTTGACAGAGCTGACATCGTAAAACCATGATTTCAAAACATAGAACACACTAATGATTAATATGTGGTATTTTAACATCTTCAGACTGTAATTTTGCTCAAATAACACACAGTTCATTTTTTGACAAATATTAGCCAGAGGCATATATATATATATATAACGTGAAATAATTTCATTTCACTTATTCTCTCACTTTATCAACTCATCTAATAGCAAATTTGTGAGAGCAAAAGGTCCAAGATGATTCACTCCAAACTGTCGCTCAAAGCCATCTTCAGTTGTACCATATGGTGGAAACATAATCCCGGCATTGTTCACTAGGATATGAAGAGGTAGTTCCTTCTTCTTGAATTCATTTACAAATTTCTGTACAGAACCAAGGCTTCCCAAATCAAGCTCCATAAACTCAACTGTTTGAAAAACAACAACAAAAAAATACTTTTATGTATTTTTTTCCAAATGCACTGTTTTAATTCAAATCACTTTAAAGAGTAAAACAGTATGAAAAGTAAGAGCAACTGGTATTTGGGATAGCCTGTCCACAGATGATTTGACAATCTCAAGAGATACAATATAGGGTTTGTGCACAGGCTATGTTTAGGAGGCTGCACTCATTAAGTAGTAGGTGTGCATGGCCTAGCAGTTTAATACCTCAGTCTCCGGGTTTGGAGGTGGTTCAAGCAACACCCATTGCATTGTTTCCTTAGTTCTTTTTACCCAGGTGTATAAATGGTATGGGCAACAATACCTCTGTGGGTTAACCCTGTGATGGACTATAGGATCCTGTCCATGCTGGGGAAGTAGCAATACTCCTACTCCTAGGCATGCTTCATGCTAGGGAACCAGGATAGCCTGGGCTGTTTGGGCCTTTGGCTCGTGTGTGCCTTTACCTTTTTTGTAAATCATAAGTATCACAGAGAGTGAATCTAAGGCTTACACAACTGTATCTAATTGCCATGCAAAAGAACAACTTGTATAATAAAAGGTATATTCTGAAAACAAATTTACCATTCGCTTGTGGTTGCTCTTCTTTGAGCTGTTTTATTGCTTCCCTTGCAGCACCCTCATCCCTACAAGCTGAAGTAGAGACAAGTGGATTGCATCAGGCAATCAGTGTTGAGTGGGTTAAACAAACAATGGAATATCTCTGGAGTGTAATCCTTGAAAAAAACTAGAAATTCATGTATCACACCACCTCTTGAGGCTCGGGGAAGCAGACACATAAAAAGTTATGGATAGGAGGGTGGGAGAAAAAAAGTAAATTGTGTAATTGGGGAGGGGGTTCAACTCTGACTATTGGAAGCAGAGATATACTTAATCTCTGTTTGGTTGGAGTAAATTTGGACCCAGTTCCCTGCCTTGAAACAAAATATGGGATTTAAATGAGGTTACTATTATTCAGGAAGGGTGGCTAAAGTTGCGCAGGTTCCATGTTCACCCCATTTGACTCCATTATATGTCAGTACTTAGTTATTGTCAAAAGGAAATGGGTGTAATAGTGGATGACTGCAGGCTAATATGCCGTGGCATTGCTTCAATAACAGCCAACTCATACCATCTCCTGTAATAATATTGTAATAATTAGGGTGTCAGTAGTATCTGCTATACCTCAGAGCCCAGTTGTTTGAAAGGCATTAAGCGCCATCCACTTTTTGGTGGATAACGCAATTGCTTTCCTGTTAATACTTAACTGCTGGGTAGTAATTTATCCAGTGGATAGCAAACGGGTGCAAAGAAAGTCATTTTTACAGCTTGCCATTCGGGCAAGCTGAAGCTAGCATTTACTAGCCCAAACGTCATTTCAACTAGCCCCCCAAATTTTTTGATGAGTAGAATTGATTTCACAGTTCTTAAATTCTGTAAGTTGAATTCCTCAAAATACTTCACTTGTCTGTCAGGCAAGTTAAGAACAGAATTGACTTGCCCGATAGCAAAATCCACTAGCCCAGGGCTATCACACACTATTTTCTTTGCACACTGAACACTAATCCCATTTGAACAACAGGGGCCATATGCAGATGTAGTTGTTTTCGATATTGCATGCAAGGACTATTAAAATTAATGAGTGGATGAAATAACAGGAGTAATGCTTTAGCAAAAATAACAAGTAAACACTGGTTATTGGAGAAAACATATTTATTGCTAAGTGAACAATGAGAGTAGTTGTTCTGATTTGTACATTATAATAACACTTACAATTACTATTGTTTATAACAGTAGAAATTACATGTAGCAAATATCACTGGGGATGCAGTTCATAAGGATTATGAAAGTGATCATGACTTATGATTATGAATGGTGGTGACTAGAATGGATACCCCAAAGTCAGATTGTCATCTTCACTCAAAATACATGATAGGAGTCATCTGACACCAGACGTCTGATGTTAGATGTGTGTCATCAGATGTCTGATGTTATATGTCTGATGTCAGATGTCTGATATCAGACGTCTGTCATCACATGTGTGATGTTAGACATCTGATGTCGCATGTCTGTTATGAGACGTCTGACGTCAGATGTCTGATATCAGACGTCTGATGTCAGATGTTAGACATCTAATGTCAGATTTCTAATATCAGACGTCTGATAACAGATGTCTGATATCAGACGTCTGATATTTGATGTCGTTCATAGGATGTCTGATGTCAGGTGTCTGATATCAAACGTCTAACTGTCTGATGTCTGATGTTGGACGTCTGTCATCACATGTCTGATGTTAGACGTCTGATGTCGCATGTCTGTTATGAGACGTCTGATGTCAGATGTCTGATATCAGATGTCTGATGTCAGATGTCTGATGTTAGACATCTAATGTCAAATTTGATTTCAGGTTAATTTTGATTTAACCTAGGTCGATTTTCAATTTCGTGTGATGTCTCCTAGCCATAAAAGACAAAGGAAATTGAGAATCAACCTATATGGGCCGAACAACTTTGCTTTCCGCTAAGACCATGCGCAGCTCACGCACTGCTCGCATGCTTTGTGCACTTCGGGCACAAAAAGATTGTAAACTTGCTTTTGCGAGAATTAATACATACCCATTATGACAGTTACATCTGCACTGCAAAGTCCTCTGACTGTCTCAAGACCAATACCTTTATTTCCTCCAGTCACGATGGCAACTTGTCCTTGACAGTTGGGATACTCTAAGGTGCAGTAACACAAACAATATACCATACATACATTAGTGCTCAAATCTACGAGCTCTTTTAAATTGCCCCTGCTTATTTGCTGCTTGTTTTCGCAGCGAAGAAGGTCAGAGAGAGTATAATAGCCTAATTTGCTGCATTTTCCTGCTCTTCATGCCTGGTTATCGTGGGTCTTCTTTTTAGTCATAATTATCTAGACTGTTCACAGTCCCCTATTTTTCCGTGTGATCGTTGAGATCGAGCGCATCTTACCGTTAATGGCGGCCATCTTGATTTTTAGATGTACCGAGGGGCCGGGCGTCTAAGCAGGCGTCAGGGATTATAGCTCTAGTGGGTGGGGGGCTATTTTTCTCGCCTCCTCCCAAACTGTCCCCCGCCCCCTAAGTAGATTTGATAGTCATCCCCAGGTTAGACTCGGTACAACTGAAAATCAAGATGGCCGCCATTAATGGTAAGACGCCCTCGATCTCGACGATCTCACGGAAAAATAGGGGACTGTGAACAGTCTAATAATTATCATGCTGTGTCCATGTTGAATGCCTGGGGGAACTAAAGGGGATTTTGGGTAAGGCTGTGGCAGCAGTGCCTCACGTTTATCATAGACCATAATGCACCTTTCTTGTTTTATTCATCCCCCAAAATTTTGCATAACAGTTGTTTCCAATTCTCCTGGGTATTGCAGTCACCCCAAGAGAAATCGAAGACGATGGTTATGCAAAATTTTGGGGGGTAAACAAGGTGCATTATGGCCTATGTGAAAATGATGAATTCCCATCCAGTCAAATCCAGAAAAAAATCAGCTACTTTTTCCTATTATGATATACTCAGGCTGTGACCTTGATTTATCTAATTTGGCTACAGAATAAGAGATTGCGATAGCTTACTTAATCTATTGATTCGATTGGTTACATAGGATACGGGACTATAAATATCCCGGTGATAATTTGAAGATAAGCTTACTGAAACAAACAAACAAATAAAATGATCTCTGTACCTTCTAGAGAATTGTGCCTGGAGAGCACTTGCTGTGTAAGAACTCTTGCTCCGTTCAAATAGTTGACAAGAAATGGGGTTACCATAATAGCAATAATTATAATTGCTACCGAAAATCTTCTATTTTGTTTACAATAAGTTTTTAAAATTGTCCCCAAGGGAAGCGAAACCGAACCAGCGCTGAGCGTTCTGAATGCCTGAAGGCATTTGCCGAGCGTGACTTGAATACTCCTACCCAGGCCTTCCGGAGCGACAAGTTCGAGCGCGCGATGTCACGTTTCCGTTTGGTTACAGACTGGTTTTGGGTTGAATACTTGAACATGAACCATGTTGAATGACAAACCCGATTGTTGATAAATAGACTTCCCACGCTGTCTTGACAAGACAAGTCCCCATCCTGTTGTGAAATAGGATGTCGACGAATCCTACGCTTATGGGAAGTGCCTGTTTGTTTTGTTTCTTGTCGAGGTTTTTGGGCAAAAAGGCATTGCATCCGAACAAAAGATGCCGCTTATAGTTAAAGTGAACCCAGCAGCGAATTACCCGAATGATAGCCTTTTATCGCCACAACAAGTAGATCCCGAATACACAGAGACATCACCGTTGCTAAAGGAGAAGATCAGAGCTAAACATCGCCACTTTCGAGAGGCCGTCACACGCAGACTTCGCCAAAGTCTCAGAATGAGACGTTTACCCGTGTTGATGCTGATTTTGATCGAGGTTTTTGAACGATTTGCCTACTACGGAATATTGATCAACTTTGCTTTATTCCTCAACAAGTGCTGCGGATGGCCCTTGTTCGTAGCCGTAGCGAGTGCAATGGCGTTTTCCTCAGTTTCCTGGTTCATGTGCGCTGTTTGTGGTGTCATGGCGGATTCTCGCTTTGGTCGCTATAACACCATTGTTTGTGGCTTCCTGGTCTATTTTATTGGTGCTGTGATTCTGGTGGTGGTTGCTTTCTTGATGGGGCGCTATTACTTTCATAGAGGAGAAGGTCTCATTGACGAGCCATGGATTTTAATGACTCTTCTTGTGGGCTTCCTGTCTGTTTCTGCAGGAGAGGGAGCGGTGAAAGCAAATTTATCTGCTTTTGGGGCAGACCAACTCAAGATGGATGCCCCGCGACCAGATTACAGAACATTGTTTAATTGCTTTTATTGGATGTCCAATGTGATTTCACTTCTTTGTCTTGCGGGAGTCACTTACATTCAACAACTAAAATGGAACTATGCATTTACTATTGGCTTTGGTCTTCCTGCATTTTCACTGACATTAGCCTATGTATCATTCCTATGCTGCCGCAAATATTTTTCTGTTAATAGACCACTTGGCACCGGGATTAGAAACGTGTGGTTGATAGTTAAACAGGCATGGTCCCGAAGACATGCTGTTAGAGTGGAAACAAGGTAGGTGCTTCTACATGTATAATACGCTCTTCTCACTGTCTTATGGTAATATGCCCGTCTAACCTCGTTTATGGGTAAAAATTCTTTTGAAATTTAAATACGAAAACGTCGTCTGATTAGCATTTCAAAGGTCTTTTTACTCAAAAATGAGGTTAGACGGGCATATTACCATACGTGAGAAGAGCGTATGGGATAATTTTGCTACAAGGCCTTTTAAAGCCCTCAAACACAGCCAGCATTTGCAATGCCACCACTGGTTTCCTCATGAAATGATGTCTGACATAACGAGCTGCACGGTCTTAGCAACCAAAAAAACCCCTCAGTATCCAGCTGAGATAGCTGAGTAAAAGTCAGCTATCTCAGCTGGATACCCAGTAGCTTGCAACATTCCCTATTCCCTTAATCTCTGATCGTATTTCGCATCTAATATGATAGAGGCGTCAATTTTCACGCAATCATGTCATCATCCTGGGGTGACAAACAAAATTAATTAAAAATGCGGTATCAAACAAAATGTCCGGAAAAAATAATTCAGTGCATTCTAAAAAGAACATTTTAAAGTCTGTGGTCGATTTCACTGCCAACGTGTTATATATCCTAGAAGCGCTCAGGCATAATAACATCATGCCAGGACTTCTACCTGGGTGAACCAGAAAGGATATAGAACAACAGCCTAATTTTTTTTTTTTCGCTACGGGTCGAACGCTAAACGTGTTATATATCCCAGAAGCGCTCAGGCATAATAACATCATGCCAGGACTTCTACCTGGGTGAACCAGAAAGGATATAGAACAACAGCCTAATTTTTTTTTTTTTTTTTTTCACGGTCGAACGCTAAACGTGTTATATATCCTAGAAGCGCTCAGGCATAATAACATCATGCCAGGACTTCTACCTGGGTGAACCAGAAAGGATATAGAACAACAGCCTAATTTTTTTTTTTTTTGGGTCGAACGCTAAACGTGTTATATATCCCAGAAGCGCTCAGGCATAATAACATCATGCCAGGACTTCTACCTGGGTGAACCAGAAAGGATATAGAACAACTGCCTAATCATGTTTCTTTTTTATTTCACGGATCAAAATACTAAACGTGTTATATATCCTAGAAGCGCTCAGGCATAATAACATCATGCCAGGACTTCTACCTGGGTGAACCAGAAAGGATATACAACAACTGCCTATTTTTTTTTTTTTTTTTTTTTAAGCACGGGTCGAAATGCTAAACGTGTTATATATCCTAGAAGCGCTCAGGCATAATAACATCATGCCAGGACTTCTACCTGGGTGAACCAGAAAGGATATAGAACAACTGCCTAAATTTTTTTTTACGGGTACGGGTCGAAATGCTAAACGTGTTATATATCCTAGAAGCGCTCAGGCATAATGATATCATGCCAGGACTTCTACCTGGATGAACCAGAAAGGATATAGAACAACTGCCTAATTTTTTTTTTACGGCTACGGGTCGAAATGCTTATAAACGTGTTATATATATCCTAGAAGCGCTCAGGCATAATAATATGCCAGGACTTCTACCTGGATGAACCAGAAAGGATATAGAACAACTGCCTAATTTTTTTTTTACGGCTACGGGTCGAAATGCTTATAAACGTGTTATATATATCCTAGAAGCGCTCAGGCATAATAATATGCCAGGACTTCTACCTGGATGAACCAGAAAGGATATAGGACAACTGCCTTTTTTTCTACGCGTCGAAGTTCTAAACGTGTTATTCTTAGAAGCGCTTAGGCTTAATAATATGCCAGGTTTCCAGCGACTGATTTTAGCTGATTTTGCGGTGCGCAAGAATGGATAATTTACCCGACTTGTAAACAGATATTTCCTTCAGCCGATTGTGTCTCATGCAGGAGAATGTCATGTCTGCGTTGTTTTGTTTCTACTGAAGTTTTATCAAAGAAAGCTTAATAGGGAGATCGCAATTTATACTCTTACGAACTATAAATTAGGGCTGACCTGGAAGACGCGTTGAATTGTGCCGCCATCCTTCAAAATATAATCTGGCTGTGTAGGGAGACAATTTTCTCTTCCATCCAGATTTACTTGGTATATGTGTTTGCGAGAATCTTCAGACAAAGAATTGGGTATACACTGATTCGAATGGCTTGGCGATACTAAGTGCTTAAGTCTACTTACCGATTACAACATGTTTTGGAAGTATTGAGAAGCGCCAAAAACGAGGTTGTCACAGCGTTCTCGGCGAACACGGCGCGACCTGGATTGACAAAATTACTATTACATGCAGCTATCATGCCAGTGATTTCTCCTTTAAATCGCATAGTGAATAGTTTGTGAGCACATCCTCAACTCTCGAAACATTTGTCTTGCGCCGCTATAGAAGTTGCTTCTCCCAAACCATAGGTAGATTTCCGCTTAACATAATGTTTGATAATTTATGCAAAAGTTGACCTCGTGAAAGTCAGCAGTGCATTAATCGACTCAAAAATAAACAGACTTCCTACAGGGTTTTCAACACGGTTTTAATTAAAGTAATTTACGAGCGCTGCGGTAGTTGACCGCAAAAGTGTTACGGTGATGGATACTCAACTGGATGATTTCGTCACTTCATAGCAACCAGACGGTACGAATTTCTTAACTTCCGGAGCGCTGAGGCTCGTAGTGGAACAAGTGCAGAAATTCCACACTGATGATGTATCATTACCCAGATCTGGGTAGTGCCTGTCATTGGTTTTCTAATAGGGACATTTGCTTCAACCAATCAGAAGCATCCCCCAGGAATGTGTAGTGGCACATCATCAGTATGGAATTTTTGTAGTTGCTCCTTAAATGTCATTTTAGCCTGCGAACGGCAGACGTTTCTCCTCGCTCATCGCCGTTGAAGGACATTTTGCAAGGAGGAACGTCAGCGACTCGGCGACAGAAATTCCATACTGATGACGTAAATCAATGTTTACATAACAGGGCTTCAAATAATGGCCGGTCAACGGACAATGTCCGGTCAGAATCGAGCATTGTCCGAGCAAATCCGTGGATGACCGGACATGTTGTCCGGTCATTTGGGTTTTCAAAGAAAATTCAATTTTGAGACAATCATGATGGAAATTTATTCAATCTTATCATGTTCCCAAAAAAGATATTAACTAGAGGGACTTTTGTTTGCGAAATTGATGACATTTCCTGTTGTCAGTCGCGACCGCAAATTGGCTACTGCTGTGCGTGTTGTAAAGTGCTCAAGATTGCACGCCCCGCTGCGCCGAAAATAACCCGCATAGCATCTGGTGCCAACAAGAGCGAAAAAAAGAAAGACCCAGAGTGACAGGATAATGAATTAGGCCACCCTCTTGCTCCAATAAAACTTCACAAATGTAACATTAAAATAAAAGGCTTTGAGTGTTAATGAAGTAAACATAAAAATAGAGTTTGTCTTTATTTCGCCCTGTCCGTAAATTTGTTGCGTGTTTATCACTAAACAACTACGTAATTCACAAGGTTAACTCAACATTCATCACCCTGTTCTCTTTGAAATACATTATGTATAAGTTTTAATGCATTCAAATGCAAATGAATGCCCACTACCACGATTTTTTGTGCGAATGGCGATGTTACTTCGGCCAGCAGGTCGCGCCGAAGGATACGATTATTTTCATTGCACAACGTGTAAGAGATGTAACGGAGAATTTACAAAATGTATATGACACTCAAAAGAAACGTTAACCAACAAAATTATATGAGCTGAAAGTTCATGCTCCCCATTCTAAAGACATTCTAAGAAGCAATTCTATATGTAGACAAATGGGAAATGTATTTCTGGAAATCCTGAACAAAGTGCAAACAGTAAATAAATGAGAGATTGATTTATTGAACCAAACGATTTCACAAGTTTATTTGCCCGTTTGAAATTATTTGTAGAAACAAAGCAGCATTTGCTAAAATGTAAATGTTGTACTATAAAGTTGAAGGTTACGTTTTGTTAGTGATTTGGTCAAGTTTCAACCAAACGTTAACGATGAGGTTGTGTCTTGCAATCCACGTGGCTGACTTACAATGTAACAGAACAAAGAGTAATAAAACTATCAACTTCTAATTTTTTGCACACTCGATTTGTTTTGAGTAACTAGAGTTGCTGTTGCTGAAAATGATACAGATCATGTAACTTGCAAAATGGAGCCTCTATTGCAACTAGTTAAGATGGATTAAATTTGTCCGGCCAAAAATGCCTATGTCCGAGCAAAATCACGTTTGACCGGACAATGTGTCCGGCGCCTGCCCAATAGTTATTTCAAGCCCTGCATAATGAATCCGGTAGTCATGGGATTCCAAATGCAAATTTGTTCAATTTTACGTTTCTCCCGGTCAATTTTGGAAAAGTGTTGTGTTCATCTGCGAATGAGCTCCAGCAAAACTCAAATGCTTCTTCTAGAGGAGACTATATATATTCCACACATATTGACTGTTTTGTTAGAGATTCATCGCGTTTACATTTGACCTTTGCCACCTTTTGTCTTTTGTCTGTCATTCGTAAACAATAGCTACAACAATGAAACTACTCCGTCCACCAATTAGCACTTCTGACCTGATTCTGGACAGATTTTACGTCATCAGTAGGGAATTTCTGTCACTGAGTCACAGACGTTCCTCCTCGCAAAACGTCCCTCAGAGGTGATGAGCGAGGAGAAACGTCTGCCCTTCGCAGGCTAATGTCATTTTGCATGGAAACCAGTGGTAGCATCGCTGTTTTCTCAGGGTAGGCCAAACATAATTCAGCAAGCGTTACACTTTGTCTGTACACAGGCTACACTTTGTTAGAAGGTTGATTAGAAGAAACTTGCTCAGTTAATAATATTAATTTTTAACTTTGCTTTTATGTAGCTCTTGTAATGCTTAAAGTTATAATCTTACGGTCACTCGTGAAAAGGTTTTTAAAACACACTGATGCCGAAGGAGCACTTTTCTTACTTCACCGCTCCCAACAGGATCGATTACCAGCCATTGTTCAGGAAAATGAGCCCACTCTCAGGATCAAAGAACAGACCTGGGCGATGGCAGAAATCAAGCCACTATCTCAGAAGAAAAATAACAGAGATTCTGTACCTACATGTAGCCTGGTTTTCTTTCCCATTATTTATGTTTTCTCTAACCAAAGTTTCTCAGGCATCTTAGTGTGGAAAATAGTATTATATATGTTACAGGTCAAAATTGAATTCAGATTAAAATTTTTTGATCTAGGATTCTCAACCTCCTTCGTCTCTTCGCCCACATTCATGATGATTAGGGCTAGGATACAAAGAAAATTGAGAATCAGCCTAGGTTAGAAAATTTTCACCTGAACTTAATTTTGACCTGTAACATATACAATAATAATAATAATAATATAATAATAATAATAACAATAATTTTTATAGTTTTAGTTTTGACATAATCTATTGTGTTAACTCTTTTTGGTAGGTTCATCCACTTTGTATACTTTATGCAGTCTGAAATATTTTTATTTTTAAGCGCTGATGAAAATTGATATCTGCACTATATAAGTTTTTATTATTATTATAATAATATAATGTGAGACTTGAGATCAGAGGTTGTCAAGAAAGGTAATGTTTGCAGGTTTAAGTTTGTGTATGTGATATATAACAAAGCTGTGGTCTGTGAGAACTTCAAGGATGCTCAGTGCTCTATAGCTGTGAAACACAGGGTACCCAGCATATGGGAAAACTGACAAATTGTCTAGTTGTGTGGGAGCACAGGGTGCTGCTAGAACACAGTGTTATAGAACTTGGAATCTTCCAAGCTGTAACACCAGTCAAATTCCATTTTTAGGGAACTAATTCCAAGAAGTATTACAAGTAATTCATCATCATCTGAAAGTGATTGGCTTGATAGGGCTGCGATCACATATGGCGGGATATTTTTGGAGGGAGAAGTGAATGAAGTCAGGTGTTTATGGAAAGTTGTGGTGTTTTCTATTCTACTCATCCCTTACTGGATGATTTATGCACAGGTAAATAGCATTCATTTGTATATAGTTCTCTTAAGCTTTTAGCAGTAAAAAGTTTGGATCATTATACATTTCTGGGAAACTGCCCACCTAGCCCTCCCCTAAGCCAACTTTAACATTTACTTCTCATGTATGGCAAAATGCAGTTTCCCGGTAATTATAATGATCCAAAAGTTTTACCCTTTGTCTCCTAAAGGTGGCCATTAAATTTCAAAACTAAAGAAATAAATAACACTGTTCAATAATTCTGCCAATGACCTCTAGTTGCACATCAAATTTTATCTCAGGTTAATTTTGATTTAACCTAGATTGATTCTTGATTCCCTTTACCTCCTAGCCCCACAACACAAAGGCCGAAATTGAGAATCAACTTACATGTAGGTTAAAAATTTTTTTCATCAGAAATCAAAAAAATAATGACCCTGTAACGAAGCAAGAGTGAAATTCAGATACATGTAGTTGATACTGATAAAAGTAAATAAATAATAAGTGTCCAAAATATATCAGAAAGCTGTCTCTGAACGATAGTCAGTCAAAGAAAAAATAGTGACTCAGGAACAGTGGGGAAGGAGTCTGTCTTATGAAAATTTCTTAAGAGAGCCTTGACTTTATGTTTTGTACTAGCAGTACAGGATTTGAAAGCAGGGTGCATAGAAAGCCAGTTTTACAGCCTTCCATTCGGGCGAGCTGTAGCTAGCATGTAGTAGCCCACAAGTCATTTCAACTCGCCCCAAAACCCTCTTTGATTAGCATGAGTGATTACAATCCTTCTGTAATTTGGATTCCCCCAAAATACAGCACTTGCCCCTGGGGCAAGTTAAGAACAAAAATCACTAGCCCGATAGCAAAATCCACTAGCCCTGGGCTATCAGACACGACTTTCTTTGCACGCTGTGAAAGGTTCCTCATATAGATGCATGAATGTTATTGACTTTGATTCTGGTAAATAAATGACCTCTGCAAGGGGTGTCAAAACATCATGGACTGGCTGCGTCATTAACAAGAATGCAGGACTACACGATATCAACCATCATTAACATTTACCCACCTACCTTGTTGCTCAGTGGGTCTCAGCCTCAAGAGTACAGCACTGTACATTGTATGCCCATCAATAATTAATTTATCTTTAAATTTTTAGCTTTACAGCACATTTATCCTACAAGGGTTACACCTTCAGGCAGAATATGGAGACTTCATTGTGCCTGCTGCATGGCCTAGTCTTTGTGAGATCGTTATTCTGTTGATCCTGGTTCCAGTAGTTGAGAGAGGTGTTTATCCTGGCTTGTCTAACAAGTGTGGATTCACCATCCCAATGCTAAGCAGGGTCATCGTAGGGATGTTATTGGCAGCTGGTTCTGCAGGAATGGGTAATTGATTATCATGATAATTATATAACTGAGTAAATTGATATACAAGATTAATTTAATCACTGTAGCTTTAAAAAATACAGCAAATAATAAAATATATGCATTCAGTATATACTTCCTATTAGCTGAGTCGAATTCCATATCATGTAATTATTCATACAGCTAGGAAGGACAATGACCTGTAACTCACTTGTAATAGTTACCAAGATGTCTTTTTTTCTGTGGAACAAGAAGTAGGTCTCTGACAAAGGACTCAGAGGCCTTTGATTAAGAATCTACAGTTTCTATGGGAGCAAAGAGACAAAAACCCATCATAAGGATCTGCAAGTTGGGAAACCACAAGAAAACTACATGTACGTAATTGTGTTCAGTAAGTTATGGGTGAATACGATCTAACAGCGGTGTATGACATTTGCAGACTGCAGACTGCAGACCGCAGACTGCAGACTGCAGACCGCAGACTGCAGACTGCAGACTGCAGACTGCAGACTGCAGACTGCAGACTGCAGACCGCAGACTTCAGACTGCAGACTGCAGACTGCAGACCGCAGGCTGCAGACTGCAGACTGCAGATATTTTTGTGCAAAGTTACATTGGCCTCATTCCCAAAATGCTGTTGGCTATTCTTCACCGACCCTTTATCATCTCACCCGGCATATCACTAATTGCATTCTTCATTCTTCTTTGATTATCGTGAATTGATAATGACAAGTAGCAACGCCCACTAATGCCTGTCTAAATAGTAGTCTTCTGTAAAAAAAAGTTTTTAGATTGCGAGCCGCTTCGTAGGATAGATCAACGACATTTAACACCTTTTAAATGACGTATTTCATCTTAGAAGTATTTAGGGATATGCCAAATAATCGAAAACAAACAGATCCTATCTGGACTCGACGAATTCCCAGAAGTGCATTCTGAATTTCTAAATACGCAAATCATTGCTCATACTTAAGTCCTAGTACACAGGTGGGGCCCCCGTAGAATAGGGATTCCGGCGCTGTTTCACAGACAGACTTGTAGTTTAGTTTCGTCTGTGGTGCAGGCTAAATTGCTAGACTGTTGCTATGGATTCATGAGCAAGTTTGTGACATCGGCAGACATTATTCTACTCTAATTCAATACGAAAAGAACAGCCAACAGCTCCTTTAAGAATGAGGTCGGTGTAATTTGCGTGAAAAATATAAACTTCGCTTCTAGGCCTTACTTTTCGGAACAAGGTAATGTTGACGATGACGCCACCTTTATTACGATGTTTTTGGTTTCATTCAATTTACAGTCATGCTGCCTCATGCAGTCTGCAGTCTGCGGTCTGCAGTCTGCAGTCTGCAGTCTGAGGTCTGCAGTCTGCAGTCTGCGGTCTGCGGTCTGCGGTCTGCAGTCTGCAGTCTGCAGTATGTCATACACCGATCTAACAGTACGTATGTTTGATATTTTTGATGAAGCAGTGATTTCTTTTTTCGGTAGCTGGCCTTGTGGAGAAAAAGATGACAAGTAGCTTCCTTGATTCTGGCGCAGATAACCACACAGCAAGTGGAAAACCTTACTTTTTTGTTAGGAACTTCTCTATCTGGTGGCAGATTCCTCAGTATTCACTGATGGGCATGAGTGAAGTCTTTACTAGCATTCCAGGTAAATAAAATAAGGGATTTGAAACAGTATTTGAACTCGTGCGGAAACGATTACTAAGCCAATGAAAGGGGCGGTATTACGAGATTTCTTCCGATTTGTTTTCTTCGTTTTATCCCTGATATTTGATTACCGTATTTGCAAGAGAATTTTTAATGCGTGGTTTTAGTCTGAGAAAACAGCCGACATTTGGCGACGCTATTACTGGTTTCCCCGCCAAATGACATCTGAGAAACGGGCGCAGAAATTCCATACTTATGACGCGTTACTACCCAGATCTGGGTAGTGCTTCTGATTGTAGATCGAGTCGCGTGGGAAATTTTATTCAACCAATCGGAGGCACTACTCAGATCTGGGTAGTGACGCGTCATCAGTATGGAATTTCTGTGCTCGTTTCTCAGACGTCATTTGGCGGCAGTTTTCTCAGGCTAGCGTGGTTTCTGGTTTCAGTGAAGTGTTTTTGTGACTCGAAAAACTACTAGGCCCGGTTTCCCAGCGAAATGACGTCTGAGGAACGAGCGGAGGATTTGGCATGTCACAACCCAGGTCAGGGGTAGTGCTTTTGATTGGTCGTGGCCCAAAGGAAATATGCTTCAAACAATCAAAAGTACTAGCCAAATCTACCGGTGGGTACTGACGCGACATGATCAGTATTTCGCCGCTCGTTCCTCAGACGTTATTTCGTGGGGAAACCAGTGGTATGAAATGTCGGCTGTTTACTAAGGCTTTAAACCAGTGGCCCCAAGTACGGGTGATAAATAGTAGTTAAGCGCACATCCTTAATATTGTGGTGTCTGTCTGAATTATTTCAATTGTATTGTATGTTGCCTTTGTTCACCAGCTTTACAACTAGTACTGGCTATGTGCCCTTCCACGCCTCAGAGCGTTACCACAGCAGTGTACAATTTGATGATAAGTGCTGGAAGTGTCATGAGCCTGTGTGTATTGGCTCTGACTGCTTATCAGTGGGGATGGTACCCCAGAGCTGATAATGACGTACGTCAGCATTACCTAGGCAACGGCAAGGTCGCTTGTTACTATTGGTTACTTGCTGTACTGATGCTGATCGGAGCATTTTGGACATACGTTATAGGAAGAAGTTACAATATTGGACTTAACAAAAGTGAATTTGGTCATCAACAGTTGATCAATGAGGAGCCTTTAGGACCTGAACGGCTGCCGACTTTGCAGGAAGGCAGTAGGGTGGATCATGAAGCACAGACAAGTCAATTTGTGGAGCTTAGTTGAAGCAGCCTTTAAAACTAATGTATTATAAGATTGTGATTATTTTAACTATTTTTTTACAATAATTTAAATCTGTTCATAAATTTAGGAAGTGGATCTGGTCAACCGCAATTCAAGTACCAGTATAAGTATATTCATTAAATTAAAATTACTTTACCTGGCTTGTAAAAGAATAATTTTTTTTTCAATAATTTGTGCGTATATTGTGAGAAACAAGGGTGAAGTTGAGATATTCAGATAAAAAATAATATAATAATACACTATAGCGTTATTAATGTTCTTGATTTTAACATCATAAAGTATTGTAATAACAGAAAAAATAATAAAGTGTTTTCATTGGAGCGCAAAAGGTGACGCAAGACAAAGCCATAACCTGCCTCGTCAGTCATTTTCAGACCATATTCTGCTGCTGTGACTAGTTATATTGTGACCGGGGATAGAATCCGCCACCTCCCTCTTTATACCAGCGCTCCTTGCCTTAAAAAAATAAATAAATAAAAATAAAAAAGAGCTTACCTGGCCTGCATTAAACCTTCCTGGAGGTACTGCTCACCCTTGTCAGTGGCTACCCTCCTTAACTTGAAATCCAAAGTCATTCAAATATAGTTCCGAATTCCGTAACGCAACTTATCCATCCCTCCTATCCTTCACTCTTGGCAAATTTTGCACATTATATCTAAACACACGCAATTGCGCATCCACTGGCCCTGGCCCCATTCATGTCCTAAGAGCTGCCACAAGAATTTGCTTGCCCTAATTCTTTCATGTTGGCCTTTTACGGGCCAAAAAAAAATACACCGAAAGGGTTTTAAGAAACTGTGGTGTTGTGTCTGCGGAGAAGTGGGATTCAAAACATTTGGTTCATCACGAAGGCCTCTAGCGCTTGAGACGTCAGCCTCGCCACTCCCCCACGTTGTCCAATGTTCTTTATCAACTCACTGGATAAAACCAAAGTTTTTGCAAGTAAATGCTACTTCATACATATTCGATAGTCAAGTACATGCAACCTTCGCTCAATAGTGAAGCCGTAAACATCTGTCGGACTGATAAGGTGGAACCATTCCCCATCGCAGTAGCCTGTTCCAGACTCTCAAATAAGATAGTAGGAATAACGCATAAGTAAAAGGCAAGCCAAAAATATGAGCGCATGATCTGGGAAAAGGGGCGAGGCTACCGTCCGAGTGTTTTAGATTCTTCCCTGTTACGTAGCTGGCGGGATAAGAACAGGGAAGTGCTTTTTGGTGGCGGAGTCGCCGCGCGTACAGAGAACACCGTAGAATGAACCTGGAACGCCGCAATAAATCCTGCCGGCTACGTAGACTTGTTCCAGAAGTTCTGAGTTCCAATCCTTGAATCAATCTTGTTCAATTCCTTCCTATAATCCATCAGCCACTAAATTTGCGAAAACTTTATTGCCCCTCACCTTTTGTGGAGACCTACTGAGATATAGGTTTCACAATCTGGCCACCCCTTGTTCGAGTGGCCGTTGTTGCGGCGCCTACAGTTTTCTCCAAAGTAAAGACGTAAACCTAAATCAGTTATAATGAAAGTTTCAAAGTATTGTTAACTATCAGGAGCCCATCAATGATGATGGGCTCCTGTAACTATTTAAGACATTTGTCATGTTTTATAACTCTCTGAGCTTCTTTAAGCGTTGTTTTGAAATAATTCTTTGATCGGCGGAAAGCAATTTGAGTTCAAATCCGTGCTTTGGAGCAAATTATATAGCCGCCCTCATCAGTCATCTGTATTTCTTCTATACAGTCTCAGTTCAGCCTGTGGTCTTTGCAACATTGTTTAACGGATATCCTCTTTTTATTGTCTTTCATAAATAATGTTCAAATGATATACATGAAAAAAGAAAAAAAAAGGCAATTTGAAACAATCTTTTTTTTTTGGCGCTGTCGCATTCGAGTTGGCCGGAGCAGGGTAGCTGCAAAAATTTCCAAAATTTACCCCATCCCAGTCATTTTTTTCTTTTTCTTGTTCTCTATCGCAGAGCCTGCGAGCCAGGTAACCAGCAGACAACTACGAAAACTCATCAAAACGAGGCATCAAAATGGCCGACGGAAAACCTGAATTTCATCCGAGAATACACAGACGTTTTCTTCATTTTAAGAGCTTCTTCTAGCAGATATGAGTGATCGAAATAGAAACAAGTTGCCCACTAACTTGCCACAGTTGCAAAACTTGATTAAAAGGGATCCCGATTCGTACAGAGAAGAGGTGAGTGTGCTGTTTTAGGGATCAATGTCGCCGTTTCTTTATTTGCACGTGCAACGTTGCTCTGCGGTCCTTATGGATTGTCAGTGAACAAAATTACCCTTGCTTTGCTTTCGGAATTGTTGTTGATTTCAAGATTTTTTCAGTTTAACATGGGTAATTGATACAGATGTATATCGATTTAACAGAGCTCCCTTAATGCTACTGAAGGAAAATGAAGTTTGTATGATTTATTGAATTGATAAAATTAACAATATGATTCATTAGGGATGTCGTTTGTGCTTTGAATCAGGTTCCTTTTAGGATCATTATACTAAACTGTAGCAAAACTGACCTGAAACCTTGATTTACTCAGTTTTCTAACCCTAACATAACATAACTTAACTTCAGAGTCATTCGGCGTTCGGCATCCTTTCAGTGTTTTACAAAATACCCCTGCCAGGCAAAAACGAGTCACAAAGCGTGGACTGGATGCCAATGCCACCATCCACTTGTGCTAAATTTGCCTATTTTTAGCCTGAAGGGCTGCAGTAAATCACCTTTCCAATGTTCAACAACAACAGCGGGGGCGGATCTAGGGGGAGGGTGCAGGGGGTGCGCACCCCCCCTGAGATGACCTGCGGTTTTCTAATACAACTGGTATTTTGCAAAGAAAAAAAACTATGTGGTTTATTGGTATTGAAGTAGAGCAAGAGACGAATGCACCCCCTCCTAAAAAAATCCTGTATCCGCCCCTGAACAGTGTTCCTCTAAAAAACATATGTGCTTGGTGGTAGCATTGCAAAGTGTAATGTGAGGCAATGGTTTCTACTTTTAGTTTCTCCAGCAGTTTCGGCATTATGAATCCAATCTGCAGATATTTAAACTTGATCCATCAAATGCAAACAAAACTCTTGGAGACTTGGTCATGTTTATCAGCCAGGTAAGCAAAAGTAACCTGAAATGTAAACTTCCTGGAGTGTTAACAAATATTTTCAAGAAAAATGATCAAATCCATGATCATAACACTCGTTTAAGTAAACATCTACATAAGCCCTTGAGTAAAACAAATGCACGAAAATTTACAGTAGCAAACAAAGGGGTAGATATTTATAACAGCTTGACAGATGACATATAAGATAGTTGGTGAGGTTATTGTTTTAAACGTAAATTGAGAATATCCTTTGCGAGTAAAGAGGTAGTATGAAACAGTGATTTCACATTTGTGATATTTTATTGACAAATTCGATGTAAACACCTATACAGTATTGATGACATAAAAACCTTAATTCCTAGCCAAAATCGTCCACGTCAGCAAATGAAATTGATGTAAATTGTCAGGGAGTCCCTTGATGAGCAGAAAAAGGCTTCTGAGACTTCTTGTTCAATAGTAATTGTTTCTTAAGTACTATCAAAATGTTGTAACATACAATATTGAGCAAATCAATAAATCAAATCAAATTTCCCTTGAAATACATGTAAACTAATAAGGTAGTAATGATATTAATATTAGTAATGAAAAGAAGAAACAATAATAAATTATTATTTTATATAATGTTATAGGGTTTATAAACTACTGCTTATAAGCCTTGGGCTTATACGTCTTTGTAGGGAGTTTTAAGAGGGCCTAAAAATGGAGGGGCTTATTTCTGAGGGGGCTTTCAACTTGACTAGCTAGAAAAAGCATTTGCTGACAAGTTACAGATATGGCAGTGCTGATCAAAATACATTTTGTATTATTTGGTTTTCAATAAAGCTTCAAAACATCATAATGAATCAAATTCATTTTAATACAAGCTTGAGTGGCTTATATCTCAGGGGGACGGGGGGAGGGGGCTTAAAATGAATGCATTTTTTATGTGAAGGGGCTGACTATACTGACAGTGTAAGCTTATGAATTAATTTTATAGGTTTCCCACTGCTATACTAAAGAATTAGAACATTTTCCTCAAGAAATAATAGATGTCCTTCAAAGACACCACAGTGCCATGGATGCAGATCTCAGAATGGTAACCATCGATATGTAGCAATATTATTAATGTTGAAGTATAAATGTACAGGGCACATTATTGTATTTTTTAATTTTCAAGTTTCATCGTTCTGCTGTGCATTTGATGGGCCACATTATTTGTTAATATGGAGAAATATTAAATAAATTATTATTGAGGTGCTCTGCTATTCTTCATTTTCTATTGACACATGTTTCTGATAGAGAGTGTACACATGAGTTTCTAAGAGAAAAAGATTGTTCTAAAACTTAATGCACCCACACTCTGTTCAAATGCAAATTAAACTTAGTGACGGAAGCAATATTCAAACCCAAATGAAACAGATTCATTCATTTCAGACTATTGCACACTATGCTTGATTCCGCAAACTAATCCTAATTCAATGCTTTCTTAATTTTACAGACGCTCTGTAAAGCTCTTATACTTATTAGGAACAAGAACCTTCTCTCGCCTACAAGGTATTATTTCTTACAATGTAAACATGATTATATATAGTATCTTACATGTGGCACTCACTTTCTTCTAGTTTTTGCATATTTTGTATTTATTTTATCTGTACCATGCACAAAAAGATTCCTGAAAGAAAGACTACTGCAAATAGTTTTACATAAAAGTTTTGATAGTAGATGCTCTTACAAGCTACAACCTTAAATTAAATAGTTATCGCATTTATTCGATTAACCACCCTGGGCGCTTATTAAATTTTTTGACCTTTAGAGTGAGCACTTACTTGAGGCTGGGTGCTTATTAAATTTTCACCATTTTCAGCGAATGTGGTATGTTTACTTTGCAACAAAGCAATAAATGGTAATAACAAAATGCAAAGATGTAACAAAGTAAGGTTTCTGTAAAATACTCTGAAGAAAACTCAGTCTTCGTGGAAGTCTCTTTGTAGTATTTATTTAATTTCAAATTCAAGCCCACTCAAGTCAATAAGTGAATTCTCTGGTGCTGCTTCCTCGATGTCCGACATGGTAATGGAGGGGGAGGGGGGTGTAGTGGGGGTGGGCACTTATTTGAGGCTGGGCACTCATTAACTTTTTCTGCCTTTGACATGGGCGCTAATTCAAGGTTGGGTGCTTATTCGAATAAATACGGTAAGAGGCAGTGCACCAAGTGTTTAGGGCAGTGGACTTGCAATTTGAAGGCTTTGAGTTCAAGGCCTACCCCAATTGCCAGCTGGAAGTTAGGAAGTCCTTTTGTTCCTGTTTTTGAAGTGGATAGTACCCACAGGAAATCCTTGTCTCCTGGCCCTACATTGTAAATGTGACACCCCTGCTTTAATAGTGGTGTTGATTTCAATGATTATTTAATTTGTTTTTGTCCTTATTTGCGGTCCACCTTGTAAACTCCAGCTTACCAATTATTAAGACACCCCTACAAAGCCATTTTTGTAGTTTTAAATTACTGTAATAATTGTGGTTAGTTTTTACTGTTATGATTCTAATTTATTTGTACTACCTGTTATGTTAAACTAGCAACTGTAATTTATTTTATTTTGTAAAAAAGAAGGAAATGTTGTGATAAGTGGTTGACTGACTTTTCCCTTCTCATTATCAGTCTTCTAGAACTCTTCTTTGCACTGTTCAGATGCAAGGATAAACTACTTAGAGAGGTTCTTTACAGTCACATAGTCACAGATATCAAGAACATAAATGCAAAGCACAAGAACAACAAAGTCAATACTGTAAGTCGTCAAATGCTAACGTGATTGTACAGACAATTGAGTTGGCATACATCATCACAGAAACTGTCAAGTGTTAAGCTATAAGGAAGCCATTCTTTCTTCAATTCAATGTTACAAGTGTATTCCTTTACAGCAGCAAGTCATGCATGCAATTTCTTTTTTGCGGTTTCCCTTTAATTAACAAGAATTTGTAGATTTTGTCATCAACTATTTTCTTCTTGTTCATCATCATCATCACCATCATCATCATCATCATCATCATCGTCATTTTAACTACTTAATACCAAGACAGAGTGTAATGTAACTTCATGTCTACTCATTATTTTTATTTACTTTTAGACGTTGCAGAACTTTATGTACACGATGCTACGTGACAACAATCCTATAGCTGCTAAGAAATCCCTTGATGTAATGGTTGAACTGTATAGAAAAAATATTTGGAATGATGGGAAAACAGTAAATGTGATCACAACAGCCTGTTTTTCCCCTATAACAAAGGTAGTACATGTTCATGTATTACAGCTGTTAACCCAGCAACATTTTAATTCATTGAATAAGTACCAACTCTTTTACAAATAATAGACTAAGCCCCCTTCCCTGAATATGGTGTCTATTGCCTTGGCCGAACTGGTAAATAAGGACCCTTTCTTGTGTAAGTACCCTTCTCACATTTCGATCACGTTCACATTGTGCTAAGCATATCACATAAGGAAATTGTCTTTTCTTAGTTTATTAGTATAGGAGAGCAGTTTCTTTTGTGTTATGTCAGCTCGATATACCGTATTTATTCGAATAAGCACCCAACCTCGAATTAGCGCCCACCTCGAATAAGCGCCCATCCTAAAGGCAGAAAAAGTTAATAAACGCCCAGCCTCGAATAAGCGCCCACCCCACCACACCTTCCTCTCACTCCCAGTCAAAGTCAAATTAGCGACCACCCCTAAAATTGAATAAGTACTAATAAGAGACTTCCCGAAGGTTACATTTTTATTGTTTTGTAGGAAAATACACAGTCATACTACACTTGCTGAAAATGTTGAAAATTTAATAAGCGCCCAGCCTCGAATAAGCGCCCATCTTGAATAAGCGCCCACTCTTAAGGTCCAAAAATTTAATAAGCGCCCAGGACGGTTAATTGAATAAATACGGTACTTGCAGAGGTCTTTTGTCTGTAGCTTGTTCCAGTCCTCACTTCTGTATTTGGCACCAGGGAAAATGAAAGGCAGGCGCAAAAAGAATGAAAAGAAAAGAAAAAACCGACAAGGACTGCCAAAATGACAGGGTGCCCTCTCTCATACGTTTTATTTACATGTAGTTAGTTATATTATCTTATTTGTTTTATTTTATTTTATTTTATTATTTTTTTGCGCTCACTTTTCTACTCAGTTTGTCCCCACAAACTGAGTTGGCTATGTGAAAAGACTTTGTGTGCTTATGTACCTGAAAATTCATTTGTAGATTGTGGTTGCAGCTCTGACATTTTTTCTTGGACGTGATGAAGAAGACAAAGATAAAGAAGACAGTGATAGTGATCAAGAGGTTAGCAAAGTCATTACACCTTTTTTTGTTTGTGTTTCTTTTCCCTGATGAATAAACTTTTGTAACTGAAAAGACACAACCGCTACCTCGGCAGCTCCAATACTGCAATGTCTTATTGCTTGCAAAACTGAATACTGTAAAAAAAACGTCCTGTAACTGGGATCATTAGCCAGAGAACACCCTGGGTTCTTTTGAGCTTTTTTATGACCATCTTTTCAATGTGGCTAAATGAGATTTAGGCTAAGTTAAACTCTGGACAGTGCTGATCGACCAGATGTCTTTCTCATCTGTGATTTGCAGCAGGGGCGTTGGGTCTTTTTGCAGCCATTATGTGAGGTCAGGTCATTACATTTTCGTGTTGTTGCCGATCATCGGTCGTGTTTTTTTGGAGCTCAGTGAGTTTGGACGCCACTCTCAGGGCTGTCAAGGTTACGCATTGCACTCAGCTGCGGTCCATGGTTCTACCAGCCTCTCATGCACCTCCCCCCATGCTCATCTCTGTGGATGACTTAATTAATAAAAAGCAAAATGTAATGATATCTGAGGTACCTTTGTTCTTGTGTTACGCCAAATCTGTTTTGCTAGCTGGACCAGTCTGCCATTAGACGAATGCTTCATGCCAGTAGTGTGAACAAGAAAACAATGAAGAAGAAACAGAAAATTGAGAAAGCAATGGCAACTCTAAAGGTAGCTTTTTTGACTCTGCGTGTTCGTCTTCATAACTTTCTTGCATTTTAGTACTTCTTGTTTGCTCGGCATGTCTTACAGACTGTAAGTACCGTATTTTTTCCTTCCCCCTTTTAAACCCTTTCCCCCACCCCTCCCCCCAAACCCATGCAATCTCCTTTGCCAAAAGGCGAAAAACTCCTCATCTGAAGTGTGGGAACGCAAGGAATCCTTTGCATGCTGGTGTCCCTTTCATTTACCAAACCTCGTTCCCAGGGTTCAGGGGGCGTGTAGGAGGGAAATCTGATCTCGGCTCCGCTTCTCTTTCGTATCACTTTAGAGGTACGGCACCCAATATTGAGTTAACTCTTTAAACCCTAAAATCAAAATTTGAATTCTTATTTGTTGCCTCTATTCATTTCCTACAGAAGTAGTGGGGAGGAGTTGATAAAAATTAATATCAAGCAAATTCATCATGTGTGATCATGTCTGTAATTCTCATGACAACTCTGTTTTACATAGCATTGATATTACAAGGAGAAATTTGATGCTGATAACTCTTAAGGGCTCAAAGAGTTAAGTCATTTTTGTTCTCCTCTCGTGCTGGAGCATTGTTAACAATATTATTTTGTGCTTTTTAATATTAAATAATGTTAAATTATGAATTTATCTTTTTTATCAGAAACAAAAGAAGAAACGCAAAAATACGTCTGCAGTTAATTTTTCTGCTCTTCATCTTATCAACGATCCTCAGGGTAAGACAACTCAATGTAATAGACCGTAATAGGCCATTTCCAAGTTGCACCAAGCCTCTGTTTCACGGTAAGCCAAAGTGCAAAGCCATTGATGTGATAATGCATTTTTATCCTCATGCACATAAAACTCATTTTCACAAGAAAAGTTTTGCATTGAGCCAGGAGCTCCTGACTTAGCCTCATTTCGAAATTGAGCATTAAACTCGGAAATGGCCCGTAATAAACGAAAAAAAAATGGATAAGTTAAGTTTACAACCCCATAACATGGTAGTTTTTTTCATGAACTCATTATAAGTGTCTCACTGAATTTTAAAATTTTGGTTTTAACAGGATTTAGTGAAAGATTGTTTAAACAACTTGAGACCTCAACAGAAAGATTTGAAGTTAAAGTAATGATGATGGACCTCATATCAAGACTTGTCGGGGTTCACCAGGTCAGATATTTTTCTGCGTGCTCTGGTTATACCCACCTGCATTATTGCAAATTTTAAAATATAAATGCATCTAGGATTGTCCACATTCTGCTGCCATAATTTAGGGCATAAAAGTGAGGCAAAAGAGTCAGCAACAACAACAACAATAAGTTTATTTCAAATTAAATATAGCTTACAAAGCTTGTGCCCACAATTAGCAAAGGCTATTCGAGGCGGGTACAAGAGAAAAAAGAAAATTCTATGAATATATATATATATATATATATATATATTAAACGAACAACCCTAGAAGCAATCTAGTTTGTCGTGTGGTCCAGAATTATGTTGAATTAATAGTGGAACATTTCTCTGACTCTTTGTGTTTTATGCAAACTTTTCCAAGACCATAGGATTTCCATTTGAGACACCAGCCCATATACAACATTTTAAGACCATGCCTGATTACAAATTAGTAAAAACGTGGCTTCGAGCTGTTTAAGTTCCACAGCATTGTTAGCTGTCTGATTCTCAGATGAGTCATTTCAATGATTTAGCGAGAAAAATCATCCAAAATGAGCATGTTTATATTAATAATATTAATATATAGATTTAGCAAAGGCCAAAAGCGAAGCTTTCGTAGGATCTTTCAAGAAATTTATTTCTGCAGTAATTCAACTTTTGCCATAAGCAAGAAACAAACTGAATTCCTCCTGAAGAAAATGGACCTGAGCCTGTGATTAATTGAAAACCAATAACAGTCAGCGGATGACACGTCATCTCAACGAGTTGTAAACCTTTTTTGACAGCTGTCAATTGACCAAAACATTTATCAAGTTTAGCACAGATTGTATACTACTACCTTAGACTCCAAGGTAGTAAATGTCACATCCGCTAACATGAACGGGTCGACGAACGTACGGACGATTTTGTAAGAACCCAAATTTCTTGGATGCATGGATAACCAAATTTTCTTACCCACGATGCTCCGCTGCGCGCTTTCACGGAGCATTCTAGTGATGCTATTTGAGCGTAATAGTGACATTTGTTGAGCGTAAATGACTAGCATAATAGTGTGAAAGCATAATTAGCACATTTCAAAAATTATGCGTTCAACCTCGTCCCTAGGGCTTCTCCCCTCCCATTTTCGAAGAGAAAAGCCCCGGGGACAAGATTGTAATGCATCCCATTTTGTCCAGGACCGCGCCGTTTAGAGGATTTGCGGGAGACTGGGTCGGGTGTTCTGTCGAACTGCACTGTGGACTGTTTTGGGGACGCTAGCGCTATTTGATTGGATTTTACGAGGATGCGCGGGGAAAATGGGTCAAGATTCCTCCCCAGAAAAGTCCCCACAACAACGACCAATCCGATTTTCAACCACAACCGCGCGAAATGGCCAAGTGAGGCAGCATACTCTCCCAGGGTCATAAAAGTGGGCTATGAAGCCCTGTTTTCATATGATTTCTATCGAATTGTTACGATCGCCGAATAAGGTCGAACGATCCGGACGATTGCAATTGTAGTCATCTTAGCGGCCATACGGAAAATAGCCGTATCAGCTCAGCCATCTTGGCAATGATCTATCCGATTGTGGAAGAGTTGTTCACATACAATAAGTGCGACTGCTAATCAACTGCAGTGATTTTAGCGATCGTACATCTATTTTCCCAGTAATGTCCACGCCTTCTGTCAAAATCATCCGCAACAAATTCCATGTTGTAATTTCAAACGAAAATAATCATCCCCTTCACAGGAGTTTAATTTTTTTCCTGTTCGTTCCACAGCTTTTCTTGTTCAATCTGTATCCTTTCATCCAAAGATACCTGCAGCCGCATCAACGAGGTAAGAACTTGTGTTTCTCTTATTATATTTTTGTGGGGGAGTTTATGCACAAGGGCAGGTACTTTTTCCCCCACGATCTTGCGAATGGTCAGATAAATCTAAGGCAGTTAGTAATTTTTTTTCTTCGAACAGCTGTAGTATCGTTTTCTTAATGATACTGTAGCTTTGGTTTCTTGATCGAAGAGCAAAGGAAAACAAATACAAACTGTGTGGACTGGACCACGTGGCCAACTAATCAATTCACCTTAGAGTTTGCAAACGTCAGTTAACTCGAATCGTCTCCAGAATCGTGTCCGTCTTATAGAGGTGTCAGTTAACCCTTTAAGCCCCGATATCCACTTGGAAATTCTCCAAACTGATCTCCATACATTTCCTTAAAGAATTAGTTGAGAGAATTTGATTAAAGATCAAAGCTCTTTCTCTTTAGTGATCATTTTATTGACTCTCGTAACCATTTCTCTTGGTAACATATGGTTATTCTTAGGAGAAAATTGATGTTGGTCACTAGAGGGAGTTAACTGTACACGAGAGGACTGCATACAAGTCAGTCACTGAACTGGGCTTTTAGTTGCCTTTTTTCACCCTTTTCCTACATTGTGTGAGTAGTAATTTGAAATGGTCTGTTAGTAACGTTTTTCTTTTGTTTCTCGATCCATCAGAGGTCACTAAACTGCTGACATATTTCGCTCAAGCGTGCCATGAGCTTGTTCCTCCAGAGGTTTGTAAATCCTTAATTTCATATCCAGTGAGTTCTGGAACGACTGTTCCTTCACATTCGGGTTAGGATTCTACCCCTTAAAAATCGATTGTAAATAGATGTTCCACTTTTCTTTCAGGTCATTGAATCAGGTCTCAAAGCAATTGTAAATAATTTTGTCACAGAAAGAAACTCTAATGAAGTTATGGCTGTTGGGTAAGGATCATAAATTAATGTCTTCTGGTTATTCCAAGAATATTTGCTAGAACGTTTCTCTTTTATGTCCATGTCATAGGATTCCTCAAGAGCATTTTTGCAAGGGATGTTGAATGTATTTCTATTCTTTTGGCGCTAATTTCATATAATTTCAGTAAACATAAGAGTCAGCCTATCGGCATTCAATTATCCAGTCTTAGCTTTTCGCTTTTTTATATGGCTGTGATTAAATTAACTTCATATTAGGATTGATACAGCGAAGGTTGAGTTGCTTGGAGAATTTAAGACCGACTTATCAGTGCATAAATGGACTTCAGTTATGAAATCTAGCCCGTTTGTAGTACTCGCTCTGGAAATTTCAACTCGGATAGAAACTCACTTCATGCAATTGAAAGCGTCCCTTTATGAAGGCTCGTTTTCCTCATTCTAGATCATTGAGGTCTGTTAGTAATGAACTTTTAATGCAACCTAGATCGTATACCAAGACCTATGGAGATAGAGCATTCGCTGTTCATGCACCAAGAGAATGGAACTTAATACCCTATGAAATTCGGAAGTCCAACACCATCTCGAGTTTTAAAAGATCACTTAAGACGTACTTGTTTACTAAATTCAGTGATAACGGATCATTGTTTTTATAAATTTGTATATATTGCGTTAGTTTTAATTTTTTCCCTTTTTTTTTATCATTATGAATATGGTTTAATAGTTGTTTTAGTTTCAATTTTTCCTTTTTTATCCATTGTAAATATATTAGGATATGGTAGTAAATTTGTAAATATTTTTCAATAATGTTGTTTACATGATTGTAAAGCGCCTTGAACATAGGATAAGAGCGCTATAGAAGTAAAGTTATTATTATTATTGTTTAGGAAACCCTGTTTAATCCCTTAAACCCTAAGATCAAAATTTGAATTCTCATTTGTTGCCCTTATTCATTTCGTACAGAAGTAGTGGGGAGAAGTTCATAAAATATCAAGCAAATCATCTTGTGTGATCATGTCCGTAATTCTCATGACCGCTCTGTTGTATGAAGCACTGATAAGGAGATGCTGATCACTCTTAGGGCTTAAAGGGTTAAGACATTTTTGTTCTCCTCTCGTGCTGGAGCATTGTTAACAATTTGGTGCTTTTAAACAATTGTCAAACTAGGGCTTAAAGGGTTAAATCTGAGCCCCGCTAACCTGCGTAGCCGGCGGAATTGTTTTTGCGCGCGTGAGAGTTTTTGGCGGCAAAGCCGCGAGAGGCGTCTCCTCCCCGTTCTCCGCGCGGCTTCACAGCTCCTCTGCCAAAACTTTGCTTGCCCAAACGATCCTGCCAGCTCCACAGGCTATTCATCATGTAACCGGCCCCTGAATCCTAGCCAAAAGACGTGATTTGCTCTCTTTTGTTTTTAGTTTAAACGCTGTTCGCGAAGTCTGTGCAAGATGTCCTCTAGTGATGACCGATGAGCTACTACAAGATTTAGCGCTGTATAAGACGTCTAAGGATAAAAGTAAGTGTGTTTTGAACTATTCTCAATGCCCAGAAATAAACCAAGAATATTTTCATAACAATATATAGCCCACAATTGTAAGCGTTGTATATATTACCACCATTTTTCTTATTGTGCGCATTTGTCTAAAAATATCTCAGAGGGCGGTCAGCGACCCACCCTTCCAGCCCTCATGTATGAGGCGGTGCGTAGACTGTTCACAGTCCCCTATTTTCCTGTGAGATCATCGAGATCGAGCGCCTCTTACCGTTCATGACAGCCATCTTGATTTTCAAATGTACCGAGGGGGCGGGCTTCGAAGATTATAGCTTTATTATACTCGTCTCTTCCCAAACCGTTCCCCGCCCCCTAAGCAGATTTGATACTCTTCCCCAGGTCAGACTCGGTACATTTGAAATTAAGATGGCCGCCATTAACGGTAAGACGCGCTCGATCTCGACGATCTGACGGAAAAATAGGAGACTGTGAACAGTCTACGCGGTGCACTACCTTCAATACATGTGAATGTACCACTGTCCACACCAGTGAACAGTGACCATTTTCGTCCCATCTTTCATATCCTCATTCGTATTAGTTAGTGAGAATATATTACTGTTCCTTTACATCTCATAAAACTGACGCTATTGTTGTCCCTGCAGGTGTTATGATGGCTGCTAGGTCTCTTATACAGTTGTTCCGTGCTGTGAATCCCGCTCTTCTTCATAAGAAAGACAGGGTGAGAAAACTCTTTTCACTCGAGCTGTTGTGAAGGTTAAAGTCTTTGGGTGCAGAGGGAGGCGGGAAGGGGGTGGGGAGAAAGGGAAGCTCCCCCACCCCATGTCCCCTTTTTGGTAGATAGAGTTAACTTGCTCTTTGTGGTTAATTTACTTAATTACTATGTGCTATAGTTTTTTTTTTTTTCAAAATAAACTTACCAAATTCTTTAACGTTGACGATATTCTGTACCTCTGTTGTAGGGCAAACCGACCGAGGAAAGCAAAACGTTTACTGTAAAACAGTATGGTGAACTGAAGACGACTAACTTTGTGCCTGGAACAGAGGTAAGTCATTAACCCCAAAAAGTTTCAAAATTGTGTTTCCCCATATCATCAGTTTCTAGTGTCACTTGAAAAGCGTACAATGTATTACACGAATAAAATCTTTATTTGTCAATAGCAAGTAATGTGAGCAATAATTTTTATAACCTTGACAAATTTGCGTTAAACGACTGAAGTTAGTCACTTCCGTGCAAACACACGACACGCGATTGCATGTGATTCCAATCGCGGAAAAGTGCGCGCACCCTACACGAAGTGTGTCGTGGCTGTAGGACAACATTGTGGCAAGGTTTAAAAACCTAACTCAGTTTCTCCCACTATTTACTTGTTTCGATTTCTCTCCTCTTTCTTTTACTTTTCTTTTTAACGAAGTGGATTGACCACGGTTAGTTCAAGTTCACTCCGCAATGTAGAATGATATATTTTCAGCACTGATGAATAAAACCCTATTGTAGGTTCTTGACGAAGGAAATGAGGACGAGGACCTTGATTCTAAAATCGAAGCAAACAATGGTAATGAGATTTACTTCTTTTACGTAGCCGTTATTGTCTCAGTGAAGCAGAATAGATTCATTTCCCATTATGTTTAAAAGCAACACGAGTGAATTAGATGAAAATGTTTCTTTTCATTCAAGTTGTTCAGCTTAGCTTTCTTTTGACGGACAGTAAGTTTTCCCACTGTTTATGACAGCCATAAGGGCCGATCCAAAAACTTCTCTTCTAAGAAATCCTTTCAGCTCTGGTTAGAACTCAATTTGGGTAATTTCATCAACAGATGAATGGGAAAGTGATGACGATGATGACGAGGGTGAATGGATAGATGTTTATCACTCTTCAGAAGAGGAACAAGAGGTATCATTTACGCGCTCTGTTTATTAGGATGGTGACTCGCCATTTAGACCAGCATTGAGACCCAGCAAACTAGTATTTCATCCGTTTCTATCATCAAATTCGTCTTTTGCTTGGATTTATGGTTATCTGTATCAATCAAAGTTGTTGAAAATATAATATTTCTGTCCTCTTACCTTAACCACTCAAGTCTTAAGAGTGACTGACCAATGTCAATTTTCTCCAAACAGTTTCAGTGCATCATCAAGAGAAAAGCTTGTGAGGATTAATGTATTGGTCACTTAAGGGAAAAAGCTATGATCTATAAACTAATTCTTTCGACTAATTCTGTAAAGAAATGTAAGGAGATTAGTGTAGAGAATTTGTATGTCGATGTTGAGGCTTAACAGTCCCGCGGGTTCCCGCACCAACTGGCGTTGAATTATTCAGAGACTGTTCACAGTTTCCTATTTTTCCATAAGATCATCGGTCTTCCAAGCACTTACCCTTACGGGCGCCATCTTGGGTTTAAATATGCCGAGCCTAGCCAGGGGATGAGTCGAGAGCTTTAGATTTGAGGACGAGAACCAGTACGTGCTCGAGATTTAACTTAAAGTTTTTCACGCGTGTTTTCAAAAAGAGACACCGTTTTATTATACTGAAGGAGGTTACGCCGTCTCCTGATAACAAAATGATAAAACTTCTTACATTCGACAACTTGTTCTCGCCACTACGACATTCTCTCGTAGTAGAATGACGACGGCTATCATGTTTTCCCGCCAAAATGACGCTGGTTCACGCGTGAGGAATACTCAGTGTTGAGAAAATCTCTTACTCGTAGTCGAACTCGTCTCAGAATCTAAAGCTCTGTAATATCAAATCTACTGAGGGTGTTTTGGGTTGGGGGGGGGGAGAAGGTGTGCGGAGGAACATTTGAAACCAAAGTGGCAGCCCGTAACGGTAAGAGTTCGATCTCAACGATTTTACGGGGAAAAGAGAGGACTGTAAACAGTCTTACTTATTCATCGATTTTTTAAACCTAGCTTGAGCTCGTTGTTTACTGAACATTTGGGCTTTTTCTTGGCTAGATTGAAGAAGGTAAAAGTAACGATGGTAATGAAGAGGCAGAGGAAGATTTGAACGCTAAAGCGGCCAGGATAAGTCAGACCCGCGTAAGTTAAAAGTTTCATTTCTCGTGGCAAAGTTAGACTTGCTATCCAGTTATGGCAACATGATGTTGGATATCCACCACTCTTTTATCTACATGGACGCTTCACTAATGCCTAGTCTCTCTCTTGTGTCAACTGAACTAGAAATTTTTGATAAGTCACTGACATGTATATGTTTTAAAACTCATTAACATGTAAATGATTAAGAATTACTGTATATCAATAAAAAACAGTTATCCAAACATTAAGAACTGCACGGGGCGTGCTCATTTGTTTTGAAGTTTCTCACAGATGAGGATTTCAAAAGAACCTTCCAAATACGAGAGAGTGCGGTTCGTCAGATTGACCCTTTAAATGCTGGAAAGAAAAAACATTTTTCCTTGAAAAGAGGTGTCTGAACATTTTATGACAGAACCCTCAATTAAAAATGTTAAAGGTCTGTACTTTCTCACAGGCATGTTAATGTCCTTAGCTTTTCAGTTTAAACGTCTCGTATTGAAAATCCAATATTGTTACTTGACTAGCTAATCTGTACGTTTGGTCAAAACTTGTTGGAACGCTTCCTTTATTCCCCTGCCTCTTCTCTCAGAAAGCTTAAATCTCTACTGTGATTGTGAACCGTGCCTTTAAACAAAGTGTATGGCGATGTTTGGGTTGCGGGTGTTAAGTTACCGTTGGTGTGTGTGTTGTGTTAAGAAGAGGAGGTAGGCCTTTGTTCTGATCGACTTATTCCTTTTTAGAGATATGGGAGATTTGCGTTTACCGTTTGTGTGTGTTGTGTATTGAGAAGAGGAAATAGAGGGGAGATTTTAGTGAGAGATTTGTGTACTGTGCGGGAGGAGGGGGGTAAGGTTGCAGTAATTTTTGCATTGTATAACAGTCTTAGTACTTCTTTACGGTAGGGAACGTCAGATATATTCTAGAAACTACAAATCAGAAGAGATTGAATACCTGTCTTTTAGCGGATTTCCTATGGAAGAACACTTCTACCACAAATCTTGTCATTCTACAGACTTTTTCAAATTTCTTTTTATTCGTGTATTTATTATATTGATCACTATTGTTGTTATTACTATTATTATTAATTCACTTTTTAATAGGGGCGAGCTGATATCTCTAAGAGACATCGAAAACATTCACAAGAAGAGAAGACATGACAAGGAATCACGATTGGAGACTGTACTTGTGAGTATATTGGCTTCTGTATTCTACTAAGTTGAGACGAGTAGAGTTGCACCGAGTGTACAGAGTGAAATGTCCCTAACTAGGATACACCCTGGACCAGCCCGCCCCCCGCACACCAGCTACTTCGGCACCACATGCGCCCCCTCCCCAAGTCAAGGTTGGCCCGTTTCGGCCTTTGCGCGCCTCCATCCTTGATTTGGATTGGGGTTAGAAAGATTGCGTTTTCTTTGTACTTACTGCAATCTTGGACAAAGTAGACGGAAAACTAAGACCTCCCCTACCCTCAAGTCAAAGGTCAGTGGGAAAGTGGTGTGTTTTGGCCTTTGCAAGGCTATATCATTAGTTTTTGGGGAAAAGGGGGGATTACCTTTTCTTTTCCTTTCCTGTCCAAAATTGTAGCTCTGAGCGGGAGATCATCCGGCCCATTAACTGTCCTCTCGCTTATAATAATACAGTAAACTTTCTCCGAGAGAGACACCTTCGAACTTAGTTTGACTGTCTTACGATGAATTTTGTTTGACCGGGTATCATGTCCAGCTCTAAATCGTATACCGGAAACTTTGTCCGAGCGGGACAACCTCCGGACTAGCGGGACTAGTTCTAGCTCTCCGCCTTGCTTGGTTACATTGAACTTAGTCAGAGCGGGACACTCGCAAGACCAGCTTTGACTGCCTGAGTTAAAGACATAATCCTGGGACTCATGTGCAACTAGCCTGTGAACAGGCCTTTGGTCGATAACTCGAGACACCTGTTTAATGTCTCAACGACCACAATGTCTCACGACCACACACATGGGTCGCCCACACAAACAGAGGAAGGCTACCTTTCTTATTTGTTGACTTCAACTTAATTCAATAGTTCATTCATTTTCAGTCGAAACGGAGGTCCTTCTTTTTTCTTGCCCAGATTTTTTTGTATTAGAGTTTATGCACAGACTAAGCAGTGAAATTATCTAATCATGACCATACAGCCACTGATGTTCGACTTAAAGGAGGACTGTAACTACAATAAAGGTCGGTCATTTTAACGACGCTCAAGTTCAGTAAACCGCTAAATTTGTGTTTTAGGCAGTTTTTTTAAGGAAAATTTTTCTAGTGTTCACTATGCCTCAGAGACGTTGATCACTATAATGAAAACAATGTTTTGATGCTCGGATTGGAGAAATATTAAAAATGACTTTGAGCGCAATCTTTTTGACAATGGCTAAACGCCGGGTTCTTATAACCGACCCTAAATTTCCAGAGAACGGTAAAGTAAAGAACAACCCCTAAGATTTTTTTTCCATACAAATGGGGCCATCAAAAAATTATGGGAAACGGGGAATATTCCCTGCCAAGGGTAAAAAGGCCTGTAAGGTTTATTCTCAACTCTCATTCGTACACCAAATTGCGTATTATTGGTTTGTTTGTTTGTTTGTCTCTTAAGTCACGCTTCAATCTTTATCTCTCCCTTTAACGGTTTGATGTGTTTACAAGGCATGCACAAAATCATGCACTGTAATATAACTCTTGATCCGTAAATGTCCTCTTTTCGACGTAGGCAAGCGCATTACACCTTACTCCGACTTTTTGTCTCCCCTCTGATGCTTGACGATGCCAACTGGAATAACATCACGTCCATAGGTAGCCTGCATGCGCCTGACCGAGAACATTCTGAGACCTTCTTATCAATGCAAAGTTGCCAACGGAAATCGCTTTCATGTAACTTTTCATGTATCGCCCATTCTTGTTCATATTACAACCCGCTTTCGATAATATCTTAAAAGGAAAATTCATCAACTGTACTAATAACTTCCTTTTTGAGACGACAAATACATCACGCATGTTGGTCTTTCGTGAAAAACGCGCGTGAATGCGCGCGGGATGCACACGCGTTTTATCGGTACACTTATTAGGGGGAAAGTTAACAGCGAGCAAATTGCATTTTGCTGGAGTTGCAGGCCTCATGTACCATTACGTTCTCAGTAATCCTTTTTTAGGCAGTTTTGTGGAGCAAAATGCAGTCACGTTGACAGGAACACGGTTTGTCTTCCCCTGTCGCTGCAAAGGAAGTCATTTGAAGTAAACACTTGTCAGTTACGTAATGATCCGTTTTTAGCCTCACAACTTTAATTACGTGACATTGCGTGCGAGTCTCGCGTTTAACACGCAACCTTTGCGGTGAGGTTTTTGGTTTGAATTGTAACAACAGCGCTCCTTTGAAATCTGAAATCGAAGATTACTGACCAGAAACATCGTCCTGCGTTTAAGCAAATTGGATGATCAAGTTTAAAAGCATTTACGGATTAGTTTATTGTAATTGTTGATTTGCTAGGTAAAAATATTTCCGCTTTACAGGATATGCTATCCGAGGAACTTTCGACTCGCGCCGTCCGTGACTTGAGTCAAAACATTTTTGCGTCCAGTGAATGTTTTTACTTTGGCATCTTCACTTTTGTTATATCGCTTCCATGTTCCACGAAGGTTTGTTATCGACAAGGAAGGTACCTCGATAGGAATTGCCTAGAACTGAGACTGATTTAAGGTTCTCTGGGGTCTAAGCCCTCCTATTGAAAGTCATTCTGTCAACAGGGATCAGGAAATAGCTAGCCAGCACGCACGCACCTCGCGAAATCTTCTTATCTTTTCCAAGTTCATGGGGTTTTAAAGACACTCCTGAAACCTAAGATAGCTGCAAAGCGAGTTAGGGCATGAAATTCCAACGTCAACTCGTTGATCTTTATGACAAGAATTTAATGTAGTCTCAAAGAGAGAAGAGATACTTCAGTGTTTGAGGAAATTTTGCGATGAATATTGGTTCCAAAACTCTAATTGAAAAGCAGCCGAGCCTATCAGATCTGCGTTACAAAGCTAAGCGGATTCCGTTGACTGCGTTGGGTCGGCTCAACCTGTTTGTTGTCGGGCGCGTCCGTGTTTAATTTACCCATCCTGTCTCTTTTTAGCCTCAAGCCGTCTTTTAATGCTCAAATCCGTTATTTCTGTTATCAGGGATTTTCCAAAGCAGCCAAAGGTTGTAAAGAATAGCCTTACAGTAGCGATGTAATCAGTTCTGCTTTGGCATGGAATTTTTTATTGACGAGGCTCAAATGTAAACCCACAACTTTACCAAAGGTTTGGGTGCAAAATGTGCATTTTTGATGAATTAACCCTTTTAAGTAAGTTTGTGTTTTGCGTTTTCTCTCAAAATTATGAGGCCTCGCCCTTCTAATCCCCCCTGCTTAAAACCGAAGACAAACCGTATTTCCAAAAATCTAAACAACTTACAGCTTTAGACACTGCCAGATCAAAATGTCTAGTTTATATAAGAAGAGAATTGTAAGCTGCTTCATCAAAGTACAAAGACTTGGTTTGGGATGTGCAAAGTATGAAAATATGGTACTAGACATATCGTTTCGTCTTCTGGTTGGAAGTTTCAGTAAACAAGTTATGTCGCAGATATTAACCCTTCCACTCCTAAGCTTGAGGTAGTCCGTGTACGAAATCCTGTGTTGTGACCATTCAAATGAAATAGTTTTGGTAATACGTCCACGCGATGTTATTTATGACTGTACACGTGAGTCTGTGGACGAAATTATATAAGCTAAAGGAGTACTTTCCTGTGCTCAAGCATTACTTTTGTATTGCTGAAGAATGCTTTCCTTTAGTAAAGCAGTAGTTCAATTTTATGCTTGGTTTTTCCCTTTGTTTTGGGGTATTGTGGTGTATGATACTAAGTTTATAACAAAGGGAAATAAAGTTTAAACCAAGGATAACATTGAACCACAATATGTACAACGGAAACGCGAGCGCCGATTTTAACGAGGTTCCAGAAAGACGACGGGGAGGAAGTGATCGTACAAAATCCCTCAGTGTATCATTCAAAGTTTGCCTCGAATCCCAGCCCAAGCGAGTCGAGTTTTTATTTGAAAGGAACGTGGCCGAGCGGTTAGAGCGCTGGACTTATAATCCGGAGGTTCCGAGTTCAAGTTCCACCCTGACCATGGACTGGATTTGTTCCCAGTAGTCACGAGTTCGACAGAACGAATTTGCCACCTACAGGCACTCCGCGCAGGCTAGACCTCTCAGAATCCTCAGTCACGCTTGTAAATAGCCAACTCATGTGGTTTGCCTCCGGCCATTTGAAAATCTTACTTGTCGTGTTTATTGAATCGAAACTATTTGTTCCTGTCCTTATTTTTCTTATTCGTAGGCCACGATGCAAACTGCTAAGTTACCAGTCATTTTGTCATCCCCTTCAAGTCAATTTTTATCCATTAATATGCTCAAAAATTGGCCCAATTCTTACTTTGCTCCTAATGGTACACTTTAACGTTCAAAGTTGTGAATGAAATCAACTAAGAAAAGTCTATACAGTTTTGAGTCTTTGCACTCTTTTCAAGATAGCGTGCGACCTCACACAAGTCTTCCTTGCGGAATTTGACCTGTCGAGACAATTTATTTCCTCTCTCCTCTTCGTCCCGTCTGTTTGGCAGTTTTTGCTCGATATTGATCACCTGTTGAGTAAAATCATTTAAGTTGCGTGTGTATTGCTTTGAGTACCCAGAGACTATGGAAATCGAATGCCCTCAGACAACGTAAGAGCATCGAGTAGGTCTTCATATCAAAACAAAGCAAACGCTTGTGTGATATAGTGTTCCGGCCAGTCAGTGTCTCATGAACTTTTTTTATAAATAGCATGACAAGCGCAAACCAGTCGTCTAATTTGCGTCAACAGGCGATTAAGTAACGAAACGCTGGCGTGTATTTAATATAAGGTCTATTCGCAAGTTTAAAAATATGATTCCTCATTCTCCTCCCTCCATTGCAACAGCAAATTAAGATAAATAAAGAGAGTTTTTCGCTAACCGTTTCCCTTTATTTCGAAGGATCTTCTGGAGCTCTATTTGTTTTTATTCTGATTGATAATTCCGGCACCTACGGCCCAGTTAATGTCCATACCCTTACGTGATTATCCTTTGCAGAAACTTCGCACTTTATTTTAAGTAAGCACATGCATGCAGCCATGCCCTGGGGCACTGTTGTTCTCAAGCGTTCTCACGCCATGTGGTTGTCTGCTTTCGAGTCATAAGATATTACTATGTCATGTTTTCCCTTTCAGAGTAAAACTATCTTCTTTTGGCTTCGTGTTATCGCACGAGGTTATTCTTGTTTTGGACCTGTGGAACAAATTGTAAAACCGTGGTTTTTTTGGTTCAATGAGTAGCTTTCCAAACGTGGGTTATGGAACAGTATTTTTAATGGCACTGTCTTCAAGTCTCGGAGTTTTTTTCCCGGCATTAGTGTCGAGTTTCGGAGTCACAGTAACTGATGAATTTGCATTTTGTCTTGTTTACTCATTGCTTATCACAAAGATCGCCCGAATACCCAACATAAGCTTGTCTTATATCTGGGGACAGACCGAGTTACTATTTTGCGTGCTAAAAGTTTAATTTTGAACATATTTGTTGTATTGGCCTCGACACTAAAATCTCGTTCTCAGCTAGCTATTGTAGTTCTTACGTAATTGCCCGGTATGTGTGTAGTAAAAGTAATTTGTGGCGGCAGATATTTGGCTCAGGTAATAATTTCCTGCAGTAGAAAAGACTACATAATAACATGAAAATGACGTAGGTTTAGACGTAATTACTTCTATAACTCACTACTAAAAGGGCAATACTGTAGAACACGTCACGACACTTTGATTTCCCTGGCGTCTTTCCTTCTTTTTGTAAGTTGAATTCTTTCGTGGTTAAATCATAAACAACAACAACAACAACAACAAACGTGGATTGTAAAAAAAGTGAATTCCTGTTGTTACTGTAAACGTATAACTTAGAATTGTTTCGCGTAGACATTGAGAGCCGCCTTAAAACCCTGTAACAACCAAGCAGATCACTTCCATAGGCGAAAATGTAGACATTAGGGCCATTTATACGAGGAAAAATAAGACGCGTCTTACATAAGACGCCTCTTAAATAAGACGCGAACTTTCCGAATAAACGGCACATTTCGTCTAAAATAAGACTCGGCTTAGCTAAGACGCGTCTCATGTAAGACGTCTTATTTTTCCTCGTATAAATGGCCCTATTGTTTGTTATTGAACTAACAACAAAGACTAAAGATGCCAAAAGTGACTGTGAGTTGGTATAGTCTTTCGGTGGCGACACTGTGATTTGCGTAGTTTGCGAATCAGAAGAAAAACTACGTCGCTGACTGAGTCTCTCTTTACAGTGTCGCCACTTAAAGACTATACCACTTTCAAGCGCACAGTACCTTGCCCCTTTCCGCTACAGTGGGTTCCCAATTTGCACGTAAAACCAGAAATTTTACGTTGCTTTAAATGCAAATATTACTATACGAACGGTCTCCCCTGTTTTCGTCCACGGACTCAAAACTGAGTCACTGACGACGCCAGGTCATTCCAGAACTGTAGCTAACTGTAGCAGCTGCTCGTAAGGTGTTTCCTCATTAGTCGCAGAAAACAATAACACAGCATTGCTCATCAATATTTCCATTGTTTTCCGGTCAGAGTTGCAAACCAATTGACTTGTAGGGTTAGGAAAGCTGGTACACGCCCAGTTATTCGTACTGCTCCCAGTTGTTTCCCTTAAGACACAGCCTCTTATATCTTGCCAGGCTGGTAGACAAGACAGAGAAAAGTTTAGCTCAAAGAAAGCAACAAAGAAACGGCTCAACGAATTTGCCAGTTCCACGAATAAGGTAAGTGAAGTTCTTGCTTTCAATAAGGATTGGTATTAGTTAATGAAGATATATTGGTGTGCTTGTAACCATATTCTTTATGTTAACTTGTTTCTTGACTTGTTGCTCAGCTTGAAGGGCTCTCTTTTCTTGAAACTTTAACCAAAATAACATGTGCAGGAACACTTCTTGACAAAAGCGCAATGGAAGGCATTAGCTTAACACAGAAGTGCTTAGTAAGGTAGCATAGTTTTTAGACACTCGTCATTTGGGCTTTTGTTTACGCTATTGTTAGTAATTTAACAAAATAACTGAAAAGATTCGTCAAGTAACATAATATGTTCCTCACGTTTATACGGTAACCAAGCAAAGAAAAAATGTCAACTAAGTCTAGCATTGATTTCTTGATCTATTGGTTAAGCAGACGTTTAAAAACTTTTCTCAAGAAGGAGGGGGGAGGGGCATGCAGAGAAAAGGAGCAACAGGCAGCAGACTCTTGCTGAATTTTGATTGTTTGATTGATCCATTGATTGATTGATTGATTGATTGATTGATGGAGATGTAGGTTTGTAACCTCCTCAATTACTTTTCACTTAATTTCACTTTTGTATGACAAGCAACGTTCTTCTTGTAGGAGAAAAGAAGGAAGAAGAACTTCATGATGATGCGACACAATAGAGATGTTAGGGGCAAAAATAAACGTTCATTCCGAGACAAACAGGTTAGTGCCCTTAGCTTCCGTTATATTTAGGGGAGTCTCATAACTCAAAGAGAAGAGTGTGCTCCCTCGGGATAGGAAGTGCGACGGCGGCTTACGCAGTGAGCCCAATGGAAGGTTTTCTAGCATTGCTTGTGCCTACAAACACCCTGCTTGTTCTGTGCCACGGCTTCATGTTATAATGAGTTTATCTGAGAACTGTTTTCAATTCCCGACCTCGTTAATTTGAACTTTCTTGGGTACATGTGAAGCAAACATTCAGGGACATCATGTTGCAAACGTCGTGAGAATAGTGTACCATGCATCTTGTCACTAGCGCAAACCAACAAAGACCTTGGGTGTACGCCATAGCCTCTCAACCCATGGTCCAGTGCTGCAGACTCTGAGCCACGAAAGGCGTGCGAGACCGTTTTGACGTTTAGAAAAGGTTCGTCTGTGGCACCCATCCTGCACCCTGCTAGGATTCACCTATCTCCCTGTGTGGCAATCAGTCACGTCAGTTGGCGAGAGGGTACTAAAATTTCAATCTACTTATCTTCTTAATTGAATGTGATATCATAAACTTCTTTGAATCTTGTGCCGTTAGAGTGAAATCTTAAGTTTGAGATTTTAGAAGAATATGATGCATGGGAGATAATATTAGATTTAGGGCAACAACTCCAGAAAAAATTTCATTTCGCTTTATCATTTATTTTCTTCACTCCGTCATCTGTTGTTTTTCATAATTTTTTTTTCGAGAGTGCATATTTTCGTAAGCCCCTCCCTTTAGAGTCAAATAGGGGTTTTGTAAGACATTGTCCAATTCTGTTCCCCACGACTTGTTTTTTAACTGGGACGCATTAACTTTGATTCCTTTTTCTCTTACAGATGGCTCTGAAGAATTCTCTTCTCAAAGCCAAAAAGGCCAAGTAGTTACTTGCGTCAAGATGAACATCTCTACGAAATTCCGTTAACATTCCACTATTCCTGCGCTGAAGTGCACAAAGAGAACGGATAAAAGCCTGCATCGGAAATTCTTATCCGCGGTCGGATTCCACATCGCGGGCGTGACGATTATAGCGGTAAAGCGAATACTCGAACTCATAATTGTACCAAGGTACAACAGAACAGTGTCATTTCTGCCGCTGATTATCAAACGCAAAGACGGTCGCTGATGAGAAATGCGATTAAAACTTCTTGCACCGTTTTACAACTGATATCTTTGATTGCATCTTTTATTGTCGAGTCTCTGCTGAGTTCTACCAAAGAGAATGCAAATCTATTTCAACGTTCACAGTAGATTAACATGAAGCTTAAGCATTTCCGACCAGTTAAAAGCGGAAACGTTTGGGAAAACAAGGGTCTTAGCGATGCATTATACTCGACAGCTTTTGTTGCCTTGGTCTTAAATTCGCCATTCAAAGGCGGAAACGTTTGGAAGAAACTAAGTATCTTCAGTGCTGCATTAAACGTGATAGCTGATCTCTGTTGGTAAAATTTGCAATGCTTGACACTCTTGACGTTTTTCCTTGAAATAATAATTTGATTCTCAGAGCGGGGCAACCTTCTAAAGCACTTTGCGTTCAAAACCTTTAAGTTGCCATACAGTAAGGATAAAATTTTAGTTTTGTTCCCTATCTCTACATCTAAGAAGATCAGAAGCTTAAAGCTTTGTGTATTTTAAGGTCTTTTTCCAGCAGTTTTGAAGCTTCGTTCGTGCCTGCTCAGATCAGTAGATTTTAGAAGAAAAAAAAATCGGTGACTTTCCTTTTCTTTCACTTCTTCAGTGTCCTGAAATTTGTCGAATCCCCGTGCTATTTCTGTTCAGTCGTATAAAAAATTTGTGTATAGGATTTGATTTCCCCCCTTTTTTATATGATGTGAATTAGTGTGATCTTTGCATTAAAAAGCCTGAGATACTTACGTTAGGCCTGTTTCAATTAGGTGGAGGAAGAAACAAATTACACGTTTAATAACGTAAGCTTTTAGATTAGACTAGTATCCAAGTAAACCGGTGACATCTTGGTCTCTATATTAAAGTTTGTACTGTGGATGCCAAAACACTTCCACGAAAGGAAATAACTTCTGGACGATAAATTGTTAGTTTGTGTGGGTTAAAAATTTCGATCAAGTTAAATCGTTGGTTAAATTATGCATTCTACGTACTCCGCCAAAGTTCTGTAAATACAAAAAGGATTATACAACGGAAAACGTTCTGGCTTGGTGTGCTTGAGGTTTTTTCCCGGGAAATTTTTACAACGTGTTCCTGCAAAAATTCCCTGATTCGGTGTCGTCTGTGCTTTAGTAATAACATAATTATTATGAACCGTGATACTCCTTACCATTGGCAAAATCAGAAAATTTAATCAGAGGAGCAAATTAAAAAGAAGTGCTCAGATGTTTCCAATGCTATTATTATATGGATGGGAAACAAAGTTATTGTTGATAAATTAAAGTTCACACAGTAAAGGTAGTTCTATATTTAACTCGTTTGTGATAAAAATAGGACAGAATAAATTGTGACTACAACGTGCACCTTTTGTGTCACTCACGCAATGTTTCATGTTAAGTTTTCTTATTCTTTTTTGTACTGGAGGCTATGCTAAGTCTGCTAGATTCCATTAAAGTAAAGTGGCCGAAAGAAAGATCTAAATTGAAAAATTAAAAAGAAAAATTAGGTCCCGCCGAGATTTGAACTCGGATCGTGGGATTCAGAGTCCCAAGTGCTAACCGTTACACCACGGGACCAACGACACCTTCGAGCGGCGAGCTTGCGTTATATAAACATCACTGAATTTTTCGACATTCTTCGTACGATCTCCGTGACCCGATCTGTAGGCGTGTCGTCTTCGGCACGCAAACCTCGTAAAACGGCTTCCTATATTTGGAATGCCTACGAATGTCGTCAGGAGCTGTCAACCAAATAAGGGAAGCTGACATTAATGCAGTCTGATGTTTCTATGGTGATAGCCTACAGAGGAATAAAATACGGCGCCATGACCTCATTTCCTATTATAAAACAACTTTGTATGCAACAGCTATGAACAGGACAGTAGGGCACGAAATCTACCCCTCGAGAAGTTGTTGATAAGAGGTGGCTGATTTTTGGAGTTCGATTGCGTTTTTTTCCTAGTGTGAGTTCGCTTTGGAGCAAAAGCCGCTTTGAACAATCGGTGCGGCTTTGCGTCACCGCAGTGGTGTCTGCTCAACACTGCTTTGCTCTGATTTCCGAATTTCGATTTGAAATTGTGACGAGACTATGAGCGATCCTGTGACAATACGGTAAGAGTATTGAATAGAAAGCTCACTTCTTTCTCACGATTTATTTCAACCAAGTCCAATGGGTTCATGTTGTGACTTGGCCTTTGAGCATATTGGCTAAGTTCCATATTTGTTCCCCTCTCCGTAGTGTTCTGGTCGACGATGGAACGCCGCGAATTCCGTTCCCTTTGCGAATTCATCTCTCCCTGACTGTGTTTAGACTCAAACAGATGATAGAGGCACAAGAGGGTTTTACTGTTGGAGAGCAAGAAGTTTTCTTTCATGGAAATCCGGTAAATATCCGACTTTGAGGTATTTTCTAGAAACTGACTGATGATGTGGAATTCTTTCATACTCTCCGCGCGAGACAACATGGAACACGCGTGCATTGATCTCTAGTCACGCTGTCGGCATTAGTGCACGCTTTAGCGATTTTTGCTTCAATTCCTCATTCTAGGATCAAGTGTACTTTCTAATCTATCGGAACTTGTAAGCTGCTAAATGAATTTCTGTTGAAAGCGTTGTGTCAATTTCATTACTTTCCATTGTCGGTTTCGGCCACAAAGAAGTTGATTTGAAACTATTGAGAAGCCTAGGATTTTGCGGTCAAAGCGATAGCGGCGAAATTCCCTGCAACGCAGTCGTTTTTTGGAACAGCTGAGATCTGACAAAAATGTTGCAATGCTCTTGTACACATGACGATTTTGCCAGCTAAATATTAAAACGTGACTGAGCAGTGCTTTGTGCATTTCGGTATTGTGTGAGGAATAATTTTCACCACCCAGGGCCACATCTATTTTCTGCTTTCTTGATCAATATTCGTTGATGTTTTATCACCAGCTGCAAGATAATCTTACACTGGGGCAGCAGAATGTACAAGAAGATGCCCAAGTTGATATTCGGGTGAATTTTCAAGGTAAATGTATCTTTGTGTTCATTTTTAATTGTGCTCCACCTAATGGTCAGGAAGTCATCTTTCCTAACGTGATCTTCATGTCATGAATAATACCAAAGATTAGTAAACACGAGGCAGAAACGAGGTTGTCAATTTCTTCCGTTGTTACTTTTATTGTAATGAAAGTGATTTTAAAATAAATCATCGTTTGTCGATAGAGAATGTTCCCCGTAATTAAATCTTTTCGAAAGTAAATGTTATTTGCGTGGGTATTTTGCAAATGACGCTTTTTGGGTCTTAGTCACTTCAAAGAACTTTTGTTCTCGCTTCAAGAAAATTTATTCCAAGACGCCCACAAAAATTTGTGTCATTTGCGGTTTTTGACGATTTCACATCAGCGATTTGTGACCTGTAATAATTTTTATTTTTTATTTATTCTGTAAAAGAAAACCTTTACCCCGTCTTTTTAGTCTGTTGTAGATTGCTAAATTTTATTTTGACAAATGTTGTCGACGGCCTCGTGTAGCTTGCGTCGGAAAATACTTCGGTAATAACATTTGTGAAAGGAACAATAGAATGGCATATAAATTCCCAATGTTCTTTCTTGAGGTCGATTTTAATGTTAGAGAAATATCTTTTTTGTACCGTGTGATGTTTCGTCGTGAGAACAAATTAATCTTGTGTGGGTAGTCTGTTCTAAAATTTCCATTTTAATTGCTATTGTTTCTTTTAACTAAATAATAAATGAAAAAATACAGGTCCAGAAAGGTCGATTTTTACTTTCGATTGTTTTTAACTCGCGTTTGAAAGGTTGCAATGTTTCTGAGATACAAGCACCTTTTTAGCTTCCTCTAAAAGTGCTTGGTTTTACTGTATGAGTTCGTAGTTGGTGGTTTTCAACTCCAACAAACCCAGGATTTTTGTCATGTTCTTGTACAAGTAGACTGAAAGTATGGTGTTAAATTTTACCAGCTGAAGTGCATTATGGAGTGAGAGCAATAGATCAAAAAACTGTGTTGTGATAATATTCTCCTTAGAATGACAATAGCTGCAATATTTCATTACCAAGTGGGTGGCATGTCTTGAACTCTAAGATACAATGCCTCCATCTATCATTAGAAGTTAACATTAAGAGTCCGATTTATTGCGATGCCTACAACAATAGTCAAGATTGACTTTTATGGGAACATTTGGGTTATATTTACTTGCAGCTTTTACCAAATTGTGTTAAACGAAAATGGAACGAGAGACAAGCCTGTATTACTCTATCTTGCTTTCTCTGTCTGTACTTTTAAGGGTTATAACTCTAGAAATTTACTTGCTAATAATATAAATCTAAGTTACTTAATATAAACATAGAAAAGTCACTTATCAGAGCACTAGAGTAAATTTAGCTTGTGCTTACAATTCAGCCGTCACCAATGACGTAAAGAGCAACCTGTTTTAACATCAATCAATATTAGTTAAGTGTGTATATAGGATAGAAGATTAATGACGTGAAAAATCAAGACTACTATCAATACAGGTTCCGTTCTTAGAAACTTGTTCCTCTTCACAAATTCTTAAGGACCCTCTTTTGTTCTATAAAAGTGCTATGTACCATGTAAACCAATGGCTGATGAAAGTGACCTCTGATCATTTACAAAAATATGTAGGCTACAGATATAAAGGAACCTAGAAATTTTTTAACCACAAGATTAATACACTGTAAGTAATTAACTTAGTATTATGAAGAGGGCAAAGACCACAACTGGTCCTCTTATGTTGGGGTTTTCAAAGCAGGATTATATTAACCCAGGATTAGCACCCAAATTCAATTCAAATCTGTACATTATGACGCAAATTCCTGTAAATTCTTATTGCCTACAATTTGGCACTTGTGGATGCTCTAAAATGACCAGTTAACACTGACGAGGAAAATGCTTTCAAACTAATAAAAGAAAAGACACTGACATGGAAAATGCTTTTGAACAACAGCAACAACAAAAGATCTTGAATTCATTTAACCCCAGATGAGCAATAATCAGCAATCGAATAATCTGGCCCAGTCGGCTAAGTAGAGCGTCTGTGTGTGTGAGAACCATGCACTATAGCATTAAATAAGACGTTTCTTTTTAGTAATTAATAAATCTAGTGTCTGAGAATAATTTATTGCTTTATTGACACTTGGTACATCTACACCTTAAATTTACTAGAGCAAAATTGTCTCTATCAGGTTCAGTGGTATCTTAAAACTTTTCCCACACACTGTCATTTAATTTTTAATTGTTTAAGAACCAATTGATATTGCAGCCATTTCTTTCCATGTAGAAGCTCATATGAAGAATATATTTAAGTGAAAGCCCTTATCATTACATCTTTTGTCCTTCTCATAAATTCAAAACAGAATTTAGTCAAGTGAAAGTGATCTCAATGGTACTTACAAAAAGAAAAGTGTTATTTGTAAAGAAGAGCTATTGCCTTAAGAATTACTGTGTAAACTGTCAACAGTTCTATTTTATCAGTGGTGAATGTTTTTAGCCCCCCACCCCCTCCCCGATGGTTCACCCAGGCATACCCCAGCTAATAGTTTCATGCACAGGGTTCTCATCAAGTTTTCAAGTAGACAGCTAAGATGTAAGAGTAGGTGGATTGCTAATCAAGTGCAAAGGGAACTGCATGCTTCCACTTTCTCACGGTACCTTTTCTCAAAATAGTAGACGGCTGAAAATTTATCGGAAGCAGCCGCTTTTTAGTGAATGAAAACCTTGTGTAGAAGGCTAGTCCCCTAGATGCAGAATGCAAAAGAAGACCTGCCCAGTTTTGTATTTGACTATTTTATTTTCTTGAGTAATAACAACCCCTTATAGATGTTCTCCTTATTTGTCATATACATATAGCTTTCATAGTAAATGTAGTTGGGAGAAGTGTTTGAAAAAGGATGAGAGTTTGTTTGTGATCCTGTACGACATCTCCTGGTCACTGCTAAGGCAAAGATAGCATGCTCTTTACCCAGCTAATATTAAGATTCTCTTTTCCTCTTTCTTATGTTGATCTGTCTTTTTACTCAGACATCCCGTCTCCAACAAGAAAGAAAGGTAGCACTTCAACTTCAGAAGACTGCGTTGTGCCAGATATTGATGATGAGGATAATGTATTCAATTTTGAGCAACCTAGAGTGCCAGCTGGTATGTATTTCATCTGAAATCTGGTTGTGTAATGGGTGAAATAATATAAATGGCACAAAATTTGTGCTGACATATTCTTTTTGGCATATAAATGCACAATTATATCACTAGATAATAACTTGCAGCAGCATTTTTTTAGTTCTTTGTATGTACTGTTTTATAGAGGATGCATATATATTTTTAAATATACATTCAATACTATAGAGGCTGTACATTGTGTTAGTTAGTTAGCCTTTCTTTCTTATATTAGTACAACAAAATTTTATGTTTGGTTCACATACAGTAGAAGCCCTATTAAGGTCTCGGTGAAGGAAAACCTTTCTTTCTTATATTAGTACAAATTAAAGCAAAGTTTTATGTTTATTTCATCATTTCAAAAGAAGTTTTTTGCCTCGAACTCAGAGGTATTGAGTTTACTGCTGAAGCCCACCCTTCGCGTTGTTAAAATATTCACTTTCTTTTTATTGCATCTGATTGAATCAAAGTCCCAAAATAATTGTAGAAAAGAATGGGAAATTAAACCTCTAACACTGCAACCTCAATTTTGATAACAATCATATCTGAAAGTTTCAAGGGAAAACCTGTCCCGACAAAATTTTGTTTTTCATAAGGACCCACTCATGCCAAAAATCCAAAAAAAACAAAATCGAGCAATGTACTAAAATTTTCATTTACCGAGACCTTAAGTGGCCACCCTCTATTAAGTAGCCAGTACAGCTGTAATCAAAGTCCCAAAATAATTGTAGAAAAGAATGGGAAATTAAACCTCTAACACTGCAACCTCAATATAACAAAGGGCCAAGGGACTGACAAAATTTGTTCATCATATCGAGGTTCTTTTCCGTACTTTTTACTATTACTGGGGTAAAGAATATTGTACGTACACGCTATACCAAGGATTTCGTTATACAGAGGTTCATTATATCGAGGTTCCATTGTATTAAGCGACCACTTCTATTGAGCGGTTACTGACACATTTTAGCCATTGCAACCGATAGTTCTCTCAATGTTATCACCTTCATCTATTAATGAATATGATGAAGGAATATACAGTCAGAGATTAGACGGGGATGATCAATTGCCGATGTGGACCAGTAACACTTCTCCTTTTGCATGTTTGTATTAAAATAAACTGATGTTTGTGTTTGTGCAAAACTCTATATTTGCGCAGCCAACCTCCATTTAGCGGCCACTGCTGGTACCCCTAGGAGGTTCAATTGTACATACACTGTATGAACTAAAAGCTAATCACCACTATTTTTTCAACTGTCAGATCCTAGAGTGTGGAACAAATGGGAAGTAATGGAGTGGCTCAAATGGGCAACAGAGAGGTACAGCATAAGAGAGGTCACTGCTGACAAGTTCCTAATGAATGGAAAGGGCCTGTGTATGCTGAATGTGGATGGTTTTCTCTACCGAGTTCCAAGAGGTGGAGACATACTTTACAGCGATTTCAATAAACGTGTGACAGCTGCTGTGGAACAGTCGCGGCATCTGGAAAGCTATTTGAACCCTGGAGCAGCTTCAAATTTCTACTATGTCTACTGAGAAAACAGATAATTTATTTGAAGAAAATACAGACTATTGAATAGAGAGTATGATATTAAGCCTGAGATAAGGCTGCAAGCATAAAGTACTGTATAATATTTAAACCAAAATGCTATCTTGTGTATATATTGGAATTTGCACATGGGATGTGGGTTGCTGTTTTTGTCCCTTGTCATTTAGGCCTTGTAGTTGAGAGAATGCCTGTCTGAGAAGTTTTCCTTCAAAGCTTTGAAGAAGTCATTTCAAATGTTAGTCCAGATTCAAAATGGGGTGGGGTTAATTTATTTAATGCAAGAGAAAACAAACACTGTCATTTTCGTAAAAAGTAGATAACCAGTTGTAAGTCTTTGCTCATGGGCCCAGTTGTTCGAACGCCGGTTAGCACTAACCCAGGGCTAAATTTTATCTCGGGTTTCTTTTTCTTTTGTCAAAAGTACTCTCTTGGATTATGTTCTTGATTCTTTTTCGAGTATCCAATCATCAAATTGTAGGCAAAGAGAATTGAACGGAATTTGCTTTTTAAGCTCTCATATCTGAGTTCAAATGTCGCACTAACCCTGGGTTATCTTAACCCAGCTTCGAAAACCTGGCCATGGTTGCAAAGCTCTTCCTGTCAGTCTCCCTCTCTTTGGGTTCTCATACTTTTTCAAACGTTTCAAGTGTTGTCAACTTTTCAGGCCACATTTTTTGTACTTGTACTTATGTTTTGTTGATTTCTGGTCATGCAAAATGCAACAAAAATTGAATCATTGAAGGTCAATGAATTGCCGGTCTTAGAAATTAGGAACTGACGTAGTTTACATCCAACAGAACTTCAAACTGTCATTCTGGTCTTCTGTCACTATCACATACAACGACTTGTGGCCTCATTTCCTCTATCTTTCACACACTCACTCATGTTCTCTTTTTGTTTTGGGCAGTTGTGGAGCTAGTCTGCTACACAGCCGTTTTTAGCGTCGTCACACAACGTTCCTCCCCATAAGGGGAGGAGCGTTGCGTGACGACACTAAAAACGGCTGTGTAGCAGACTTTTGTGGAGCTTACTAGGCAATAAGTATTATTCTATGTCGAATTTTGTGTTGTTACAAATTTAAAAGTACATATTTGAGCTTAGGGCTGGTTTTTGCATGAATTTAATTTTAACAAGATATTTGCTGTAAGTAGAAGCTTAAATGCTGTAAGTTAAATTTAATTATTTTAATGGATTAACAACGAGAGAAATTATGAGCGGGATTTGAAACGGATATTGAATGGGGTTTAAAGAATTTTAAAACAAGAAAAATTGCACCTTTCATTGCAAAGTTAGTTTCATGTTTTATTTCTCTTATTGACGTTTTCTTTGAACGAAAAATTACAAAGAAATATTTTAAGGTTGGGCGTGGTTGTTAAACAACAGTCGTCTCATCTGGAAAACATTGCATGAATTTTACTGGGCCAAGTTGTACTTAAAAATTCCATAAAATAATAAAGTGGCTTGGCATGTCATGATGGAAGAGATTTTTTAGTTGTGTTGGGGGGAATGTTAGAGTGCAGGGGTCGAGAAGTTGTTTTTAAGGGGTAAATACTTGGTCGCATTTGTCACTGTTGAAACTGCATTAAGGCAGTTTCACGAGACGACAATTTTCCCAACATTTCATGCAAGCTACGCACAAAATGGCTTTTGGAAAACAAAAACAAGGGAAGTATTGTTTGATTGTTTAGAAGTATTTTAAAAGATGTGAGCAATGGTGACCAACGTTCAGTTTTCGGGCGTCCCATTTAGTGATGTACTGAGATCCACTTTGGAGAAAAATGTTCACTTCTCTGAAACTCTGTACCATTACGCCATTAGGCATGTGCGTACCTGAAAAAAAAATTACAACAAACGAAACAAAATAGAGAAACAATGCAAACAATTGGGAAAACAACGAAATAAAAAAACGGCTGCAAATTGGGTATGGAAATCTTTCCGCTTCAACTTCATTTACATTATCGTTTCAAACCAAATGGGGTGTTTTTCCTACCCTGAGAAAACAGCCGACATTCCACGACGCCAACACTGGTTTCCCCGCGAAATAACGTCTGAGGAACGAGCGCAGAAATTCCATACCGATGACGCGTCACTACCGAGATCTGATTGGCTGGAAATTTGCTTCAACCAGCCACATCTGGGTAATGACACGTCATCAGTATGGAATTTCTGCACTCGTTTCTCAGACGTCATTTCACGGGGAAACCAGTGGCGATGACGTAAATGTCGGCTTTTTTCTCAGGCTATGGTCTCCCCCGATTTTGCCATTCGCTGAAGCCGATCGGCTGCTGTCTAAAGAACACGGATCTGCGAACAAAAGAGATGGCTTCGTCACAATACTAGTGGTGGGCCACTCCATTCAGGCAATTTCCTGATTCAGGAAAGCAACCTCGTTCCCAGAATTCACTCTCTTCCCGATCATGAGAAAGAGGTTTTAAGAAATGTGCTTCGTGATAGCATGGTTATTAAACTGGAATGGTTATGAAACCCGTGAGACTTCTTCTTAGCTTTTTTGGACCTGATTTTGTACAACGTTTAATAGCATTCCTATCATTTTGAACTTACTGACCAACAGAAACATCGCATTGATTTATTGAGTCACAATTTGTGAACAGAAAACAAAGGATTGTGCATGGTCAGGGAGCTTCCAGCATAAACTACAGCACCATTGTTTTCGACTTCGGTGTTTGCCAGCTTTCATTACCAGCCTCCTTCACTAACTACGGTGATGGAGACGCCTCCAGGCTGGGGTGGCCGGCGGAAAGACGCAGGAAAAGACTAGGGTCTCCCAGCGTCATAAATGAAAAGAAACACAACGATGGTCACGGAAATTTTATCAAGCCACCTGCGAGAATACTACTCGGGAAACCGGTTAGGTTGGGAGTAAAACAAAACTCTGCGTGTCCCCGGAACTGTTTCAAGCTGCATCCGTTAAATGAAATGAAATGTTTTCAGTTTGACCTGGAATGAAACTTTTTAAGAGGAATGAAACTTGCCTCGTACCTGTACGTCGTCTTCCCAGGCCTTCTCCGTCAATGCATTTTGATGAAGTATCCGAGGCGAACGGTCGAAATGAGGCCTAAGCACTAGACAAGAAAACGCTGATCTTCGCTGGCTAAATCTACTGACCTCTCTAGAAATTAAACATGCTGACTCCTCTTCAAAAGACATCGAGTCCTCTTTAAAGAAAAAAAAAGAAGGATCGAGCAAGGCCAGGCAGCGCGCAGTCCATGATGGATTGTAAGATGTTGATGTTCACTAGGATTAAGAATACTTTTAAAATCTCTTTTCTGGGTCTGAGATTTAACGGATATGAACCTACTGCACTCGTACAAACAGTTTCAGTGAAACCTATATTAAAAACATCCTGTAAAATGAAAATCCTTTTTCCCTTATTATTTTTTTACAGGAAGTTGAAGCCTTCAAAATAAGGTCTCCACAAAGGTGCCCACTTTTTTATACGTTATGCCAGATTAGATAATATTCAAAGCTATTCAAGGCCGGTGTAAAACAATATTGGTGGTCCCAAGAGAGAAAAAAGAACTACTCTATGGGCACCCTTGGTTTGGGCATAAATACATTTCATGATGTTTTAACTACCATTGTTTTTATGCCACACGCGTCAGGTGGAAATGACCATAAATTTACATAATAATAACAAAAAATATAAAAATTACTCGTGACTGAGTTTTTCGATCGCCGCTAAAAAACGGGATCAATATACTTCTTAGCAGTTCCTGACCAATTTTTCTGCCTCTCTCGTATTTGCCTGCGAGCACTGAAGGTTAGTGCGCGCCTGGTGGAACAAATGACGCCGTGAACTAAAAACAATATTTAATTTCTCGCTGGGAGAGCCAAAGGAGACTGTGGAAGCCAAGAGAATATCTCCACGGCTGTTCTAAACAGGTATTCAAAAATAGAATATATAATTCTTTCATAGAATCAGTTTATTATTTTTTTTTGACATGTTCAATCTGATTAACAGAAGAAATGTTAATCTATCCCATTACATGAGCAGAAAAAAACAATATTTCGTATTTCAGTTTTTTATCTCTCTCCTTTGCTTTCAGCACGTACCGTAATATATAATTAATCTATGTTCGACTTCTGGTAATTTCTAGTCTTGCGCGCGAAAATACATCAATATTACAAACAATGGTATCCCATGTTGAGGTATCGTGGAAAACGTAACTAAAACGGTATATTTTCTTAGAATAGCCATATGTGGGCTATATAAGCGGTGCTTTCCTCTATGGGCGAAGTGGCATACTCCGCATCGGCGGTAAAGCGTTGAAAGAGAAAATAAGTCATGACATGCTTTTAATTAGTCAGTGATGCAGCACAGCTTTGCAAGTGAATTTTTAAACCTATTTGCAAGTAAATTTTAAATTTGATTGATTTTTAGCTGAGTGGGGGAAGAAAAGTTGACCTGATAGATAATAGTTGAACAATAGCAACCAGAGAAATTTTTAATCATCATACATACAGTTGGATCAAAGTACGATAGCGTCATTATACTAGGCTATACTTCTCAGTGCAAGTTACCACTATTACTGAAATTATCTCAGATGGTTTAGTTGCCTGTTTGGTAAATTTAAAGCCTTCCTAAAAATGTTCTAGGAGAACTTCAGTCGTCTCGAACGTTTTATGTAGCTTTTTCGTCTCATATCCGAAACTGTTACGAAAAGGCTTGATGGGTCTGGTCGAAAGTTAAAGGACAAGAAGGAGCCTTATTCTCATTAGAAGATTCTTGGGGACGTTTTGTCTATGAACGGAAATTTTCAGGAGACCTTTGTCAAGAATAATCGCAATATCTGAGAAATAAAACTGTGGAAACACAATTTCATAAAATCGTAGGTAAGTAGTAGAAAAACAACGAATATCTTAGACGAACTTTAGAAATTGATATTTGCTTTTTCGAACAGTTATCATACAGAAAAGAGTCGTTGGGTGCCCCTGAAGAAATACTCAACAAAGAAAACTCTAGAAACAGGCAGTACAGCAGGCTTATAGCTGCCATGTCCCGCCACAAATCTTGAAGCACAACCGTGACATTTTCTTTTTTTCCTTCTTTTTTTTCTCTGGTTTTTAATCTTGTCATGTGCGTAAGATCATTCCAACTTTCCGCACATAAAAATTATAATCAGATTGGAAGTTATTAAGGATAGAGCAGATTTTCGAAAGCCATCATGTTACGTGGTATGCGCCGAATTGTATGGGTAAAGTTTTACTTGTGCACTCAGATATTTAAACGAAGTCTGTACTAACTTAATTAGGCCGCGGTTTAGCAAATCTTCGGACCTCCAGATCTCGTCTTTAGTGGTTTTAAGAAGATAATAATAAATTCTTTTCATGTCTGTCTACGCCTTATGCCTTCAAGGAACTTTTTACGATAAATAGTTTTAGGATAAAAGCTTTAGGAAAACTGAAAATTGATTAGAACGAGGTTTTGTTAAAAACTGGCTAAACTCCGTTTAAATCACGGTGACTGGCCCTAAAAGTCTCTTACCTTATATCTTGATTATCATCGGCTATCAAAACGATATTACTAAAACCAAGTATCTGCATTTAAAACACTACTAAATTTAATCCAGGAGAGGACAGGAGAGGTAAGATCATGATGAGATCATTTCATACAAAAGCTTCTTGCCGAAATTTGAAACTTATTTTATAAATTCTTTTGTGCAAGGAACTTGCAGAAACTGTGAAGATATAAATGTATGTAGAGGGTCTGTGCATTTGAAGCCATGGTGACTCTTGCCCGCCACCCGACGCCTCTCGTTCCTTTTATGACAGGCTCTCGCTGTTAAAATTTTTTGGTAATCAGTAGTTAATAAATACCTAACCACACAATTAACTTTTAGCAAATGCTTCTTGAATGTCATGTGACATCTAAGTCACAAATTCTCTACAAGAGAATGCAATAAATACAAGTGTATATCGATCCGAATTAGCAGCGTAAAAGCTGAAGAAGGTGACCATAGAGGTTTTAGGAATCATTAATGATATTCCAGAAGTACTTCGGGCACGTGTCGCGTTCAGTAACTTGTGCTTTTATATATTTGCGAAGGACAATACTGATTTTGCTGTTCGAAACCGGCCGCCACGGTTTCTAATCTTCGCGTAGTGCAGATGGACAGATAAGAGATATTTTACTTTAAAGGTAAGGTTGAAGCAATAATATTTTTACTTAGTGCTAAGTGATCGTATATTAATCGACATTTGAAGATCTCAAAAACGATTTATCCTAAAGATAAGGTCGCCAAGGCGCTCGTACCAGCTACAAATAAAGCGGAAAGACGCCTTGTGCCGGTTTAGGATCCCAAGGTCATATGAAATATTGTGATTTTTAGCTATTTGGGGAGCGTATTAATATACGATAACTACTTTAAACCACCATAAACGTATCTTAGGTAACGTGTATGAGAAAAGAAGAAAAAAGTTACTTTACGCTGCCTGTGTGATGTAGAGATTAGCGCCTGCATATAACTGACTGAATTCACTACCATGGAATGTATAAAGTAAACGCTAGCCACAGCGTAAAGTAAATGTAAGATGCCCTAATCCAAGCCTTAGCTAATCCCGTATTTCACTCCACCAAGTATATATTAGCATGCCCACTGGTGAAGGGGCGCATAAGAAATATGTGACACGATATAAGCAGGAGCCCGGCATTGTATAAGTCATGCGCGCGAGAGAGAAATACTTTTAAGTCCCGAATGTCTCGCGCGCCTGTTAAGCGCTGGCTAACTATCAATATATAAAATGAAGTGTTATGAAGTGACATATAGCCAGCCTGAGAATACAACCACCTTTCATTGCTCCCTGTCACGAAAACGTCCTCTGCTACGGGGAGCGATGCGAGATTGCCTGTGTAAACTCCCTTCCCACAAGAAAAAAATCCCGGGGGCGGCTTTGCACAGGCGGTAATGCTAGGTGGATGTACATGTATTCGCAGGCTAGTGATATAACAAGTTAGTATTGAATTTTAATGGACACCGAGGTGACTGTTAACTCAGTTAACAGCCACTTCGCAACCATGTGGTTTTGTCCACACTAGTTCACTAAGCAATACGGATGTTCACAGTAAAACGATTTGGTTTCCAAAACTAAAATGGAATCGCTCTGAAGCCTGTTTACGAAAACTAGTCTTCTAAGATCGTTCATGTGTGAACCGAAGCCTTCAGCCTTGAAGCTTGTGTTGTTTCTAGCTCCCCACATTTTTAGTGTCATAGAAGTGCTTCTAGTAGTGCCACCACTTGTTTCGTTATGACAACAGTACAAACGCGGCTGCATTTGAGACGAAGGGTTGACCGGTCAACTCCCCAACCAGTCCGCACATGGTCCGTTGACCGGCCGTTATTTCGAACCCTGCTATTCACCTTTATTTTGAAGGTGCACAGTTACTTTCTGAACTCTTCCTAAAAGCGCCCAAAAAATATAAAAGAATGAAAGAAAAAGCAGAAAAATGCAAATTCTGTCAAGCGAAACGCTGCTGTCCGTCCCAGTAGAGTTAGAACGCTCTTCCAACACCGCCGTGTTTATAGCCTGCGTAGCAGGCGCCGGTTATTTTTTCCTTCGCCCTGAAAAAACTGGCGCCAGCTTTGTAGGCTACCGGCTACCGAGTTTAAAATATGTCTTCTCCATGTAAAGTCCTGCCCCCAAACCGGTAACGCAAAAACCCTCCGTTAAATCGCCCTCCAAATATAAGGGCTACATGCCCTCAAATTAAAACAAAGCAAAAACGGTTTTTCCAACTAAAGGCTAACGTATCGATTTTGAAAAGAAATTTCCCTCCGTAGATTTATTCATAAGCCCCTCAAAAAGGGCCTTTGAAAAATATAAGCCCCGGGGCTTATTTTCGGAATTTTACGGTATGTCTTCTGAAGTCCTGCTCAGGTTTACAAAGGGTACATGCGTCTTTCAGTTTTTGAGAATAACGTGACATGAAAGTATTTATTCATGCTCTTTGACGTCACCCCAGCCTCTACCTTGTCAGTCACGGGTTTTGGCTATGCATCATTGCCAGTACAAAATACGGAAAGAATGCTACTTGTTGAGTTTGGCTTGATAGTTTGTTTAACTTGTAAGTTATAAACGCACGCTGCGATAGCCCACGGAGAATCAAAGAAACGATATAGGTAAGGTATTTTGACTTTGAATCTAACAAACTATTATTCCACCAAGTGTTAAAAAATTTGTGTGGATAGGTGGTAGAAACGAATTCAATTCGCCGACTAAACAGCTTTCATTTTACATGTTTTATGCTCTTGATTGCGTATTCTCCAACATATACCCTAATTTTATGTATGGCTTTGCTGCTGTGAAAGAAGGAGTGCTTATAGAAAATTAACAATTCTTCGAAGTACTTGAGGTATTTAGCTTATTTAGCTGACAAATTAGCATCTTTAATAACTCACGCGATCCTTTTGACAATTAGAAACTACTTGTTCAGAGTTACAGTCAAAGATTGTGGCAGGTAAAACCTCTTTTGCTATGGTTAAAAGTTTAACGCGATGCGAACATTTACAAAGGTTGCCGTCGCCTTCGTTTACTATACAAATCTCTTTAGTCATATAGAGTATGTTTTCAAACACAGCTTCTTATTTTAACATTTACATATATCATTTAAACATGTTGTAACAATATGGTAACAATATTGTCACAGCGTAGTGGAGAACCTACACTAACGACTCCATTTTGAGTCCCTAGCCTCGCCCCAGGCTCCGGGTTCAACTTTTGGAGACTCCCTCTTGGACACTTGGTTGTAGATGAACCACCATTGTTGATTATTCGACGGACTGTGTCCTAAACGGAGAGCAGAACTGAAACTTATTTCCTCGAATAATAGCCACCCCTCGATCAATCGCCTCCCTTGGACGGAAATACTTAAAATAATCGCCTCCTCCCCCGGTCCCTCTTGCCATCTCCTCTTCTTTTTATCCCCTCCCTGTCAAGTTGAAGTGCAATGAGATCCAGCAAAACTGATCAGTTATGCTTAGAAAATTCCATGCCAACCCTTTTTAAATTTTAAAATTTTCTAAATTTAGAAGGGTTTGTATGGAGTTTTCTAAGCATAACTGGGCTACGATCTCAGAGACAATTTGCCCCGAAATGATCATTTTTGGCAAGTAGGCCTCTTGGACATTGTTCTTTCAGAATATCCTGACAAATCACATAATTTCCGAAATTTCATTTTTATGACGTCATCACTTTTAGTACTCTATAGCCCTTGAGCAAATGTATTTCCAGAAGGGGAGGCTAACTGTATCGATTCGTAGAAAGGTCACACCAGGGGTGCTTACCATTTGACGGAAAATTTCGGAAATTCCGGACGGAAGGTAAATGGTAAGGTCACTGGAAATTTTGATATGTTTTGACATTCCGTGCCCAAACGAATGTTGCTCATTTTTCTCAGTTCCTTCTCGGTTCCAGACTCACGCGACATTGATTCAAACCGTAACGGATGTGTCCTACGGTAAACTAAATTGCTTACCATTATGGCGCGACGACAAATTTCACCCCAGGACATCCTGGCCCGGCTGAGTTCGTCAAAGTCTGCTGGATTCGTTTCTCCAGCTTGGAAATTTTCATTGGTTTCTATATGTGATGCTATCCTATTTCTACGATTCATAGCATGTTTATTTACCGTTGGAGTTCGAATTTCGTGGAAACGTTGAGTTGGAAAGAGAGCAATGGCGGCCGAGATGCCATCTCGTGCCTCCTACCTTGTGTATTATATTGTATGGAGGGTGAATTTGAGCAAATTATCTCGAAAATTCGTTTGAGCAAAGGGCAACAACAACTAACTGCAGAGTAAGTTTTATTGACCTTTATATAGTATTTCCTAGAAATTTTAGGATCGTATTTTTACCCCATACAAACACTGTAATCTTACTGGAACCGTACTTTGGTACCATAAGAGAGCCTGGCTTACCTGTGCTCAAACCCACTATAATCCGTGCCAGCAAATTATATTTTTTCCGTTTATTTTAAGTTTGTAATGACAATGTACACCTCAGTAATAAATAAACATTCCATAAAAAATAGTTTTAGTCTTTTAGTATTAATTTATTCGTAGTAGGATTTAATGTAACACACGGCTCGATGGAAGACCATATCATATTTGTAAATACGAATTGATAACGTATTTAAATAAAGCTAAAAGGAATATTACGATCCTACGAGGCGATGGTAAAGGGAATATCAAGAAATATGAGTTTAGAAGGCAAAACAAAAACTTTGCTCGTGCGTCTCAGTTTTTTGTACATTTCTTTGTCGTTTTGCACGACTACGACGTGAATTTGCCTAATTTTACACTTTATGCAGGACGTAAACAAGCGACGACGAAATTTCATTTCTCTTTGTGAACGTGGATAGGGATCCTAGGAATTTAACTCCAGGGGGGTTCGCATACTTTTGATAAAGTAAATGGGTGGGAAAAATGGCGATAAAGACTGGAAGAATTAATTAAGGACCAGGGTCGTCGGAAAAAGTCCCTAGACAGTACGTGTAAGAAGACTGCAGACTGCACTGACTGAGATTGCGGACCAGGGTAAAATGCAGGCTGGGTGCAAAAAAATGCAGGCTGGGTGCAAAATGCAGAAATGAAGACTCCTTGTTCTCCAAATAGTTACAATCGCCAAAAGTTCAATGAACATCCGAACAGTTTACAGTCAGCTGCTTAAGTCTGCGTAGCTTGATTTTCAATCCTTTCATAGAGGATCATCCAAATTTCCTGCAGAACATCTTCCTTTGTTGTTGGAATGATTTACTCCCTTTTTTTATGGCCATAATTCTTTTGAATTCGCTCTGGACGGTATTTTGGGTCAGCAGCTTTTATTTAAGCGTATACATCGTAGTGTTGTACCAATTCGCGATCACGTGTATCGAATACTTCGCGGATAAAGTTGAAGCTTGAGGTTTCTCGAACGGAAAAAAGGTTCAAGATTGCGATTACTAATATGTTTTTGGGTTGTCGAGGATGTTCCCGAGAAGAAAGGAATGGATTTGTGAAAGCAGATGTCGTCAAGTAAGTGTTCGTTTACATGTATTTGTGGGATTGTTTGGCCCTTAAACCTCCGCGACTACAGTTTATGCTCGGTCTGCATTTTACTCCAACGTGCCTTTTACTCCGAGTCTGCAGTCCGCATCTTACACACAGTCTTCGTTTTACCCCTGGTCCGCAGTCTGCAGTCTGCAGTCTGCAGTCTGCAGTCTGCGTTTTACACTGACCGGTTCCTGTAATGCGCAAATATGATTGCCGCTTCTGTTCGCTGGACTTGTCCTGACTCCTCATTTGACAATCGTACACATGTGTAAATGCTATAGTTATATATCTCAAGGGAATAGTAAGCTTGCGTTTGAACGGATTCTGGCATTTTAATTTTTAGATTCCTTTTAATAACACCAAGTAATCGATCTGCTTTTCCTGTAACATTAGTTATATGGTCATTCCTGGTCTTTCAAATTCTGCGTCTCGGTTTGTGTGATTTGAAGCTGCACAAAGTTTTAGCAGGATAATCTTAACTAGGTTAACGAATTGTTAATGCAAATGCTGTTAAGCTTTGAGCGTACGACTTTACTCCTGGCCTTTGTTTTTAGGCATGCAAGCCTGTAGCGGTGTTTAAATACCTTCCACTGTGTCCAAGATAAAAGGCGGCGCACTTGCTTATAAACTGATCTCCACGCGCCCTTAATTGTCATGCAAACATTCGCGCGCCTGGACACTTGTTTTACGTGACTTGCACTCAGGCCGGCGTTTGGGGTTGTCCGATTTATTCGTAGATTGAAGCCTCTAAAAATGCAGCAGTTGGCTTTTGAGTGAGTTTGATTCACAAAGCACTGTAGCAGATACATGATGGATAACTAGATTCGTAAGCGAGAACTTGTCCATTGAATTCTTGTTATCCATAAATGTGTGTCTTATTATTCTTTCAGGATCCCAAAAAGCGAATTTAGTGCTCGCTGCGAAAGTTGGAGCAGCTTGATGTCAAGCAACTCTTCAACGTCCACAGTTGGATCGCAAGTTCTTGTCACTTACTCCGATTCCGATGTCAGCTCTAACAAAGAAGCAAGGACGATTAGTCGGTTGAAACTTGCCCTTGTGGCTGTGTCATTCGGACTCCTCGTAATGACTGTTCTGTTTGTATGGCAAATCACAAAGAGAAATGATTCTTCAGAGCAGGTTAGTTAATTTTTAGACCTAGCCTTCCCACTTCTTTCTTTGGAAAATAAAATGTCAACGAATGCTTCACAAATGAATTACTGTACTACAAAAAGCATTGTTGACATTAATTTGCTTCACAAATTAAATTTATCCTCTTTTATACTACTTCTGAATTAAGCTTTCAGTCAAATTTTATTTTTAAAAACTAATATGAAGAATATATTACAATAAGAAGTGCTCCTTGGTTATTCAGGATCTCGCACCATATCACCTGTGACCTTTACTTGTTTTAACGAGAACAAATGTTGCGGCTGTAATGATAGTAATGTGTTTATGAGGCAGTAAATTCCGAGTTTTCGATTCTTTTACGGATAAGTCTCAAATAACGGAATTAAAAATATCCGGGGCGAAAGTCAAATTCCTACTTCGTAGGGTTGATAAACTTTCACGCCATGGGTGCCATGTTTAAACTAATTATAACCCTCATGTAAGTTGGCAGGTCTCGCAGGTTACGTAACCAGGTTCTAAAGGTAATTTTATAGTGGATCCTCCAGAGACTCCGGGGACTTCGCACGCTATAAAGTATTCATTATTTAATGAAGGAAATCACAAATAGATAAGCAACTTCAAACCGATTTCTTTACCACCTGTGTGTTAAAGGTAATGGGACGTTTTATATACTGGCAAATTCAAACTCTTTTCTGGTAGATTTGTATTTTTGGTCAAATTAGTCTTTATTTGGAGTATTTCCTGACGATTACGGCTGTGCTCCGGTACGTGAAAACCCGCCACGAATTAACAATCACAGTTATTGAACAACTGCACGCAACCTTGACCTCGGCCAACGAAGTCGGCGTTGGTCCTCGAAGGCATTCGACAAGGTGTCCCACCAACTCCTTTTGGCTGATTTAGATCTCCACGGAATCCATGTAAATCTCAAGGAGTGACTTGAGAAATGGCTGACTACTCGACACCAAACTGTGCTTGTTAACGGTTTATTGTCTTTATTGTCACCTGCAATTTTCGCTTCTGTAATTCCCGCCAGATTAGGGAAGGCCCAGGGGACAGCGGTAGTCCTTATGTGTTCCTTTTGTACACAAACGATATTGGCAAAAATGTAATAGCCAAAAGCGAGCCTTTTTGCAGATGATTACGCCGTGTTGTTTGGACAGTGATCATGAGACACAGTCACTATAGAAGGTCAAGCACGCACGCACGCACGCGAGGCTGACCTCGTGGAAGTGCACCATGCTAAAATCCCAGGGTACGTCCACACGCATCCTGATACGCTGAAACCGCATATTTGATATTTGCCTCAACACGAATTCGTTGTGGTCTACCCGGTTTGGATTCAGTCGAGCACACAAATACGCTATTGCGATTCATCACATTTGCTAACACCCTCGTACCCAGGTCTTCGTTCCCCTTGACAAGCGGTCGGTCAATCCAGTGTGCGCAGTATAGTAGGAGGTACGAGATCGACTTGCTAATTAAGTAGATAGTAGGCATGCGCAAACCGAGCCAGCGATGTGATTTGGCGGCTTTTTTTAATGTTGTAGGTATATCAAGGACAATGGCCAGGCCTGCCCGTACGTGATCCCACCAGACACTTGTCTGCGCTGGACGAACCCAAAATTCGACAAAATCGTCTTTGACGAGGTTCAGATCAGAAGAAGACGTTTTAAACTCCCTCGTCTCACACTAAAACATTCCACAATTTGGATAAGATTAAGTCTTCTTTTTAAATGGGTAATTGTTGTCGTCAAAATAGCAAAATTGAGTTCAACGCAGTCAATAAGACTGGCGATTACAGGCGGCAAAAAAGCAAATAGAACATTAGTGCCTGCTATTGACCTTGAAAGTTTTCATTTAAGACTGGACCCGAGTTTATGACGTAGTGGACTGAAATATCCGGTTCCAGTCGTCCACACGAATTCACCAAACCCGTCGAATCTAAAAAAATCCACTCTGGGCAGCGGTTTAGAAAATATGCGGTTTCGTTGTGCTGATTCTCTGGGGAGCTTAAGCAACGGCGACGGCAACGAGAACGTGAAAAAGCAGTAGGTTTAGATTGGAAAAACCACAACTTTGCCCTTGCATCACCCGTTTTAGTACATTTCTTTGGCGTCGCTGCACGACTACAACGTGAAAGTGCCTAATTTCACGTTTTGTCAAGGACGTGAACATAAGACAATGACGTTCATTTTCTTTTCCTGAACTTTGGTACAGTCTTTTAGAATTTAACGCCAGAAAAATTATTCAACAGTTGACGAATTGAACGAGTTGGAATAAGCGCGATAAAGTTTGAAGTAGCGCGAATTCCCTTCGAGTGGTTGGAAGGCCGATTCGTATAAAAACGTATGCGGTTTCAAAAGTATCCGGATTCGTGTGGACGAGGCCTTAAGCTCGAAATCTCCAGTTGAATGCAAGTAAACCATTCATGGGGAACCTTTGGAGTCCGCCAAAATCACAAATACCTTGGAATTTTGCCGATCCGTGTCCGATCTACTGATCTAAACTGGGGTGATTGTATCGCTGGTATGATGGGAAAGGCAAACGGCGCGATCTTGCAGGGGGTGTAGGTAGAATTTTCAGGAGGTACCTACAGTTTTTCAATCGACCGCACCCCTTCGACGCGTAGGAATTATCTCTCTTGGTGTTAGGTCCGTGTTCCTTAGGATAAAAAACACTGCATTTTATTTTGAAAAAATCATCTGACCTAAAAGTGATTATGAAAGTTTCATTCCCAGTAATCGAGAATGAATCTATCATGCCAGCAAACGTAGCAACATAGTAGAGTTGATGCATTTTGTTTTAAATGTTCTCATTTTATTTTATTTTATTTTTTGTTTCAGAAGCCTACAGTTGATCCTTTAAAGAACCAGGTGGGTGGAAAGTAGTTGGAGAGATAGTAAACTAAGTAAAAAGTAACAGAGAACAACCAAAAAAGGAATGGAAAACAGACTGAATCCTGAATCACTTTATTGTACCTTTCAAAACTAGAGAAACTGCTCCGAAGGCATCGATTTGATGTTGATTTCAGTTATCTAATAAAAAAAAATTACTCCATTTTTATTCATATTTTAGAAGTACCTGGAATTTAAAGCATCTCCATGTCCTATAATGATGGAGAAAGTTGAGCCGCCATTCCTACTTCCTGCTCAAGTTCAGCGGTATCTCACACAAGCAAATCGTATCCTCGAATCCTTTGATGGACGCGATGGCCTGGTATGTTCAGTTAAATATTGATCGGTTTTATTTGTTCTGTACATAGATTTCTGATTGATGCGGCTGATGATGATTTGCAATTTTGTGAAAGAATTAGCCATATCGTAAACTGCAGGCCGCTTATTGCCCTGGGCTGAAACATTGCACTAAGGGGTTTTAGGAGGGCTTATAAACGCAGGGGCCTATAACCAAAGGGACTTGTATATAACCGGATTAGAAAAAGTGCTTCGAAATAAGCTATTGTAGTGAGTTCGAAATACGTTTCGCATTTAATGGTTTTTACTTAAGCTTTAAAACGGCATAATATATAGCCTGCGAGCAAGCTCTGCGGGTTGCTCTAGCGGCGGTTAGAGCTTGCAACTACGTCTCTGGAAATTCTAATTCCACCTACAATTCCCCTGTGGTTCCACGTCGACTGAGCTGTCAGATTTCCGCCTGTCAGGGCGAAGTGGAAACGAGTGCGAAAGTAAACAAACATTGAAAAACACTTGCCAAGGGTAATTACATCATTACTACTGTCATTTCTGCCAATCATCACTTCGCATCGACTTTTCGGATACAGATCTTCAAATTCCAGAGACGTAGTTGCAAGCTCTTCTTCCTTTTCCGCCCCGCCGCCAGGGTGCCCCGGAGAGCTTGCTCGCAGGCTACATAACGTATTGAAGTCATGTCAATATAAGCTAGAGGGGGGCTTATAATCTATAACTGGGGTCTTATAAGGGAGGGGAAGGGGGGGCTTATTGGGGTCAGTGTACGATAGTGCGGCTCATCCCGTGGAATTACCTTTTGTCTTCTACAGGGAGGAATTACTGCTAATGTAGTATATCAAGACAGAGTTGCGTGGAGACAAAGTTATGGAGTTAAAGATAAAAAGCAGCTAAGCGACCCCCCTGATCAAGATACTGTATTCCGTGTCGCCAGCATTAGCAAAATATTTACTGTAAGTTTTTACCGGGTTTTATCTATTACCTGCACAAGAAACCGGTTCACGATGTGAACTTCAATTAATCTAGTTATACTGATTACCTTTGCAGGTTTTTAATTCACCTACAAGGACACCCTAAATAACACATTTAACGAGCTTTAACGGCCACCATTGAAAAAAGTACGCTACATTTAAGTTTTGATATATTTAGCACAGGGGCCCCATTTTACGTGGTCATCCGAGCCACACTAATGTCTAGCCGCGCCGTTTACAGGGCAAAGAAAGTACCTTAATTACTCACAGTTATTTTAAGACCCTGAGTAATTGTCCAGCCCGGAGCCATCCCGAGCTGTAGTCAAGCACTCTACCGGCTGTGCTAATCCTGCCGCTAATCCCGGTTGTCCTGTACAACTTAACTAACTGTAACCAATGTCATTTTTTCATTTCAGAGATACGTTTCTTTGAAATTGTCTACCTCAATAACTCTAATGTTTGTATCATCAAAAATGGTTCCATTGATTGTTATTTCTGTACCCTTGCTGCCTAGTTTGCGGTTTTGAACAAGTTGTAGCAAAAGCTGATCCCCCTTCCCCCCGACTTACCTTTGGTGTTCAGTGGCTGCTTTCGTACAAGAGGTCACCGTGTATTGATTTGTTTTTTAGGTTGTAACGCAGAATTTTCTCATTATTTTAAACAACAAATTGTGTTTTTGCTAGGTATTATTTGTATTTAAACTCTTGGAAACTGGAAATATAGACTGTCTGGATGATCCTTTAGAACTTTACGAACCACGATTTCAAGTCAAGAATCCCTTCAACCAACAAAAAATAACAATCAGGTGAGAAAACTGATGGTTTGCTTAAAAAAACTGTGCGGCCAGAACACTGACTCCACCTCCAGGAAATGAAAAATACATTCTTCTTAGAGCCTGTGTAGGGTAGCCTTTTTGGACTAACTAAACCTAGAATCGCTGGTAAACTGGGACAACGTTTCAGTGTCTCGGTGACGCAATTTTAAGTTAAAGAACTAACATTTTCTCTTAATTAATGTCCAGTCGGACTCTATTCGGGAAAGACTATTTGTGTGCCTTCGGATATTTCATGTTTGTAATGATCTTGAGCAGGAAATTATATCCAGCAGTTTATCGACCAGACACCCTGAACTTGAAAAAGGCGTCACGATGACACCGAAACGCCGTGGCCTTGTTGCCCTCATCTTTCGTTGTAATATACTCATCAGAGTTTTCAGTTAATTGTTGGCCTCTCCTTTATTTTCATGGAATGTATGCAGCTTGAGTCAGTTTACTCTATTATCTTCCTCTGCAGGCAAATTTTATCTCACACCTCAGGTCTGCCTCGTGAGGTACCTTGTACCGATTCGTACTCATACAGCACAACTCATTTGTGTCCTGTTAACAACTCTTATGTCCTTCAACAACTGAAACACATGGAGCTGAAATCCCCTCCAGGAAAACTCCCACACTATAGGTAAAGAAATACTATTGTGCTTTTATGAAAATGTTGGTACAGTGATATCCTCCTTTATAGCAATGTGATAATGATAATGGTGTCAATGATAAAGGTAAAAAGTAAAGCAACCATATTTTACGTCGATAGCTCGTGATAGTAATTCAACCGATAAACTTGAAGTCGACGGTGCGCTCATTTTACCCCCCTCTCTCCATCAATGCTTCGTTTTAAGGGTACTTAAAGCTAGTTAAAGCTACACAGAAAGGAGCGAAGTCAAAACAAGGATGTGATGTCACCGGGGATCGAAATCGGGACCTCGCGCACCGAAGGCCGCGTACTAGCCTGCTATGCCATGGTTGCTCCTAAATGATGATGATATCTGATGGTGATGATAGTGATGATGATGATGATGATGGTGATGATGATGATGATGATGATGATCCGAATTCGTGTGGATGTATTATAACTGAGTTCGATCAGAAACTTGTGTTATTACTACTTTGCCTTTTTTTATAGACATTCATTAACATGAGTAGAGAAGGTATCGATTTAAGCAGCTGACCCTTTTGTCTTTTTATCCATTCTTCAGTAACTTGGGCTATGCCTTGCTTTCACGCCTATTGGCCGAGAGGTTTGCAAATAACGATTACGAGGGATGGGTACAAAGGAATATTTTCACTCCACTCGGAATGAGAAACACAGGTTTCAATCTTGACAGGTAGGGAAACAGAAACTTTGTGTCTTCTTGCTGTCATCACCTCCTAGAGAGCGTTTTCACATGGCGTCATGGCAGCCATATTGGTGTTCCAAAGCAATGAAATGGTGGTTATGTTGCTGTTCCAAACCAACCCTTTTCTTACTTAAAGGCTTTCTCTTGTTCCAATGAATTTGCACAGATGCAGGCCACGTTAGTGAAAACGCTCTATACTTGAGGAGTTCGCCATATGGTGAATAAGTTTTAAACTTTTGAGTCTTGCGCTGTAATACCCCATACTGCAGTCAACGCACCAGGGCAGATATTACCTTAAATAAACTGTTTTGGTATCATGCGCCCGAGGTTTACCTACCCCTTTCTCTGATCCCAACAATAGGAAAACTTTAAAACTTCCGCAAGTGGGTCAGTGAAAATAAAGTTTATTTGCTTTATCACAATATACTTATTCACCGTGTATGTGTTAAGCTGCCGTATCTGACCTCTAAAGATGAATACAAAATTGCAGAATGTCCTCAAACAAAGCGTTCGGTTACTATGACGATCACCAGGCTCCCTTGGTGGACTGGGACTGGGCATCACCAGCCATACAAGCTTACTCCACAGCAAACGACCTTTACAAGGTTTGACATCCTCTGTATTTTTTAAAAAATCACTAACTTTCAGTTAAGGAAATATTTAACAATTAATGAATGAGTCTGAGTGGCGGATAACACCCTCACCCTCCTCGTTCTCGATAATTCATCATGTGATACGAAACAGAATTCAATATTTGTTTCATTATTATTTCAAAATAATTCCTAGGTTAAAAACATGGCTAAAACATGCTTACCTCCATCGTTGTTAAGTTCACCTTTGATAGTGCACGTTTAGGGTTGTCCAGCTCCGCAAATATTCTCCAAATAGCAGATGTCGCCCTTCGAGTTGTGTTCTTGCTGTTCTTGTCATGTTTTTAGCTATAATTTTGCCTAGTTCTTACTCTTGAAACGAGTGAAATGTACGCCATTTTTTGTTTTCACAACCAAAACAACTCAGCCTCGTCCCCAGGTCTTCTCGGTTAACGGTGCATTAACCTGCAAGAACGCTGCATTTTTGACGTCATTTCCCCATTAAACACAAAATTCTCCCAAATTTGGTCATCAGTAAATGGTTATGGTGAATTATGCGTGTGCCTTTAGCTAATCAGAATCGGGGAAATATTGGTACCACGTGCTCGGAAATGGTCAATGTCAACCTATCAACGAAATAAATCCATAATGGTATAATTCTTCATTTTTGCAATATGATTAATCGAAAAACCCCAAATGAAGCAATCAATTACTCAGCCAAAAAAGTCAAGCTATATGGCTTGCAGCGGGACTGTTCTCCTGATAACTTAAGCTGATTGTTTTATTAGTGCTAATATTGTATCACCTTTTTATATTATTAACTCTCGAATATCTTATTTTCCTGTATGTATAGCTTATGACGCTATTATTTGGTAAATCGTCGACAAGAATACTGAACAAACAACTTATTCAGGAGTTAATGAAACCAGGTTTGTAAGCGTCCAAGACTTTTAAGTGAGGAGTCTCTCAACAGCTCGGGCTTGCTGTTAAGTGAACTGTAATTTAGGCTAGCGAGTACATAAAAAGAGGATTGTGATAAGTGTATGTTATAGGATTGCATGATGTGCGTACGCTTTGGAAATAATTGGATCAAAAAATTACCGAGGAAAACCAAAATTGACGATGCCGGGACTCAGGCACTATTGCCAGGTCTACTCGTGCACCACTGAAGTGTGAATAGCCTTCTATATAAGAAGGACATTTAGTGCTGGACCCAAAAGTGTCCATCTTGGAAAGCGTCAGCTTTATAAATTACAAAGCACTAGTATAGTATGATGATATAGGATATGGATAAGCAGCTTTTTTTAAAGAACAGCATTCCCTTTTTTTGTCAATCAAGAAAGAGAACAGTTCTTCTCCTACACATTCTAGTAAGTGTGTCATGCTACCAAATATCAGCCCATGGATAAGTAACATCAAGTTTGTAATTGTAAGTTACTTTGTAATTGTCTTGTAGATTTCATGTATCCAGATGGCACAACAGTATTCGGCACTGGTTGGGAAATCAAAGACGCTGGAACGTACTCGGTGTTAATGAAAACCGGATATATTCCTGGCTATTCAGCTGGGTTTGCCTTTGTTCCAGAATTCAAGCTAGGTTAGCTAAGATCTATTTGCTGCTCCAGCTGCAAACAATTTCTTTAATGTCTCCGTCCTCCTGCAAACACTTTTTTTGCTTGCATACAATTTATTTTAGTGTTAACAGTCTCTACAAACGATTTATTTCAAAATTTTCCACTCCCCCCCGGTCAAAAAAATAATGGTTCGTCCCAAGCATCCCATCCCGTTGGAGGAGAGGAATATTAATACTCATAGATGCTTCATGCACTGAAACCGGGATAAGTTCTGGCCACGTGGAGCAGAGGCTGGTGTGCGTGTTTACCTTTACCTAACTGATTACTCTTGAAAACAACTGATAACGAAACGGGTAAATCTGAAACTCGGGTTGAACGAATTTTCTCAAATATTAACGGCACTCTGTAGTCGACTTATTCCGGAACACTCGCGTCAAAGCAATATGACGTCCAATCCCCAGGTTAAGATGGAAAGGACCGTTTTGTATAATTGTGCATGGAAATCAAAATGGAGAATGATGATGATGATGATAAATGACGTTGAGTTGTTGTCAAGATTATTTTCATAATATTTCTGTAGGTGCCATTGTTCTAGCCAGCGGTCGTGAATTTGCCGGAACCGCAGCTCTTTCGATCGTTGAGACGCTGGCTAAAGTTATGGATGCAGTTTTATTACATGAACAGCTTCAGGTATTGACGATCTCATCAAATGTTTTCTGTTCTAAAACTGGCCATACTACCTTCACCACATTACAGAGGTTGTAAAATACATCTATATGATTTGGGACCTTCTGGGTGGACAGACGTTACCTTCTGATTGGTTAATGGTTGCCTTGAATACCATCAGCCAGTCATAACTAACGCATTTCCACCGGAACGATCCCAGAAATCACTGCGCTCAAATCTTGTACCCATTCTCAAGAGTTTCAGAAGTGGGAAAAGACAAACGTTGTCTGATTCTGTCTGCAAAGACACGCGAAGTTACCGGAAGGCCATGTTTGTAGTTTAAAAATAATAACCTCGCAGTTGTCTGTGCCATAGAATGTTATGAAACGTCACAAACGTTTACTTTGCTGAAGTATTTGGTAATTCTTTGTTATGAAGTTACCCATAGTGCTCTGCATTCTTATCGCTTATTTGCCACTGCACATCTCCCATAATGCACCTTATTTGCCCCCCAAAATTTTGCATAAGCATTAATTTCAATTTCTCTTGGGACGGCTGTAATACCAGGAGAAATGAAAAACGAAGGTTATGCAAAATTTGGGGGGCAAGTAAGGTGCATTATGGGAGATTTGCAAGTGGCGAATGCTTTCTGACCACGTCTATTGAAATAGCTGTATACTGCAGAACCAAGGTGTTCCACATGCGGAGTCTTACATTTGAAAGTTTCTATTTCTTGTTCTATTACATTTAATGGCTGCGCCTCTCCTTACGTAACATCTTGGTTTTTTTAATTTCTTATTCTGTGTTATGGGTCCCATCAATCGTCTCGGAACATGTCAAAAAGATGTCGCGATCTTTGCCGTAATACTTTGTACCCCCAGATATGGATGTTCCTACCTTTTTTCTAAGGAAGCATCATATATAATTTCCTATCTCGTTTTCCTCTCTAGATTGAAGTAACTCCAAATAGGAAACAATACATTGGGGAGTATGCAATCGTGTCACGTTGGATACCAGAAGTGATTGTTAACATAACTGAAGACCGTGGACTTCTTCTTTTTACGCAGATTCCAAGCTCTCTAGGGTTCTCCTATCTAAAGCCCATAAGAGGTCATGAGTTTGAAATCATTTACAGAAGTGGATTGGAATGCAGCGTATATGGAATGGGACAGAATCGCGAAAGAGTCATTTTCGATCCACCTTCTGAATCTGGGCAGAGCCTTAGCTTAAAGTTTGGGCCGTTCATATTCAAAAGAACGTTACAGCATCGCGCGCGAAAAGCGAGCGCTTTAAATTCAAAATTATCTCCGTCTGGTCTACTTTGATCACATAAGACTGCGTCGTATAAGTGTGATCGCATGCAACATGCGTTCTGCGCACTTGCACAAGCTGTAGTCTAAAGATTTCCTATCATCGCTCAAGATCACAGACTCTCGAGCGATGATGATAGTAAAAAAAAACAACCCTTAGCTTGGTTACAAATTTAAACCTTACTTTGCATCTGTCGTATGCGACTGTTGGAAACATACGACAGATAAAAAGATAACACTTGCGTTTGTTCCTTTTGAAGAGAGCAACTTTGACTTGTCAAATGTGACACATACAAGCAACAATGCTGTAGTGTCGAACGGTACTTGCATGGTAAAGCAATCAAATTTCTTGTAATGTGTGATGCTGTTTCATTATATGACAGAAGAGAAATTTTAAAAATTTTAAAGTTTATCAGTGCCTGATAAACCTTTATAGCTTGGTGAAAATGTGTTAAATCACATAAAATTTTGTAAAATATGGTATTTTTTACACAGCCCCTCGATTTATCCAATACCTCGTGCGGAATGTGTTCTTATTCATGCGAAAAGATAATTACGTTATTCTTAAGCAAAGCATATGCAATTAAAAACGTAAATGGTCTATTTAAAAGAATTTAAATTAAATTGCATTTAGAATACAAACTATGGCATATGGTTGGGAGACCGGGGAATTATATTTATAGTCAATAAACAAATACAATGAGCATTATTTTTCTGAAGTCAATATTGATATGCTTTCTTAATCGTCGTTATGTAGGCCAATCAGATCATGCAGAAGCATCGTCTGTTTTCCGTTTATTGTATGATATCAAGTGACTGGCCCTATGTCCCACGTTATCTGTGCCTTTTTTATAATTTTACTTTACAATATTTAAAAAGAGGATTGTAAAGTAAAACACTGTTTCCGGAACGTCGAATTTTCTCGCCAAAATTAAACAGGTGGGCGATCACTAATTGGGGGGTTTTTACCACCAGTCCTGGAAATTCTGGCTTTTAAAATGAGCCGGAGAATGCAAATTTCTTTCTGCCCTCTGAAAATTCGGAAAAATGAAACTCTTAACGAACAAGTAACAAAAAAAGCTAATGTGGTACTAGACGTCATAGTCTGCATGAAAAATCGTCTAAAATTCCTAACTGGTCTACACAAAGTCTATTTGCCCTACGTACTTGCATTACCTGGTATAAGAACCTTATGAGAAGAAATCTATGAAGCTCTCAAGACTGAAGCAGGCACTCTCTAATGATTTTAAATCCTTGTTGAACTCAACTGATGAACTGCCAGGCCATTTTTTACCGGGTGAGATTAATATAATCATACCCAAACACTGCAGAACACTGTAACTGCAAATTTGTCATTTTCAAAATCGCTTATTAATTTGACATTTTCACAGAGGAAAGTTTTACAAATCTCTGTCTTACCACTCGTTTTATAAAATCATGGTTGAAAGGACATAAACTGGGTATAGATATTTGGGCGTGACTTATGCAGGGGTCATCCTAGCTGGACTATATCTGATTGAGATGTAATATATCAAGCAAGCGACGCAGTGTTACATCACCTGATGAAACGCTGAGAAGAGAGTTGAAAATACGGCTCGCAGCGGAGTATTTTTGACGAACTTCGAGGTGTTTCATCTGGTGATGAAACATTGTGTCGAATGCTTGATATTGCTTCTCAAACAAAATGATTTTAGAAGGAGAAATCAAGGATGCAAAATGAGCAGTTTCTCCCCCATGATTTGGTTTCCAAACACTCATTAATTAATTTCCTTTGTGTTTTTTTTTATGAATTATTACTGAGTTTGAGAAGTAATTCAGACTGTATGAGCTACGGAAAATTATGTAGAAATAAAATCTGCATACTTAAAGACTGACTCCGTGCTGTACTTAAGATATAGTGAAAGAGCGACAAGTATTTGTTTGTTTGTTATTTAAATTTTTTTCTGCGAATATAAAACAAAAAATTTGGAAAGTGCATCTTGCGCAGAAATTGCAGTTTGAAAAAAAAAGAAAAAAAAACAAACAACCAAAAGCAAAAAATACACAACAATATCAACAGTGAAAAATCGCGGCAGGATTAGCTCAGTCGGTAGAGCGGTTGACTGCAGAGCGGGAGATCGCGGGTTCGATTCCCTGGGCGGGACCAATACTCAGGGTCTTAAAAATAACTGAGAAATGAAGGTACTCCCTTTGCACTGCAAGCGGCGAGACCTTCGCGTGGCTCGGATGACCACGTAAAATGGCGGTCCCGTCGCCATTAGGAGACGTAAAAATATAGTGTCCCGAATTAGCACTTTCGCGCTAAATACATTGACACTGAAATAAAAAGTGCCTTTTTTTTTTTAAAAAACAGACACAGAACAAAGAAACAGACGAAAGACTCCACGCAGTACTTCTAGGGCCCCGTCCACACGAAGACGATTGTAAACGCAAACGCTAGTAAACGCATATTTTTATCTCCGTCCACACGAAACTGATCATCGTTTACGTAGCGTTTTAACCCGTCCACACGAAAACGCTCGTAAACGCATAAAACGATGTCATACACCGAACGCGCATGGTCTCAGTTCTTCAGCTAGATTATATAGCGAGTCTCTGCTCATTCGAAAGTTCTCTTTCCACTCTTCTGGTATCACCACTTGATCGGCAAAGTTGTTCCACCAGGCGCTTGTACGACCTGGTCTGGTCCAGAATCTTCTCTCTTTGCTCTCACGTCTGCATCTAAGTCGTTTTACTCGAGTAAAAGTGATTGTAGTTGTGGATATAACAATCTTGAGAGGTTTAGTCTTCTTCTTTTGTAGTTTTCCTGTATATCGATTATTGCATGATTCAATTGAACGCTCGCAATTATGCTTGAAATAAGCGCCAGCGTGACACAGCTCAACACTCGTGTGTACGCCATCTTGGAAAACACTCGATAAAAGAGACTGGCGCTGACATCTGACGTCAGCGTTTTCACAGCGTTTACGAAAATATACGTTTACGGCCGTCCACACGAAGACGCGTAAACGGCGTTTTCAAATTTATCCACTTTGGAGAGCGTTTTCGAATTTATGCGTTTACGGTGAGCGTTTTCATCGTCTTCGTGTGGACGGAAGGCCTAAACGCATAAAAAAGTTTGCGTTTACTAGCGTTTGCGTTTACAATCGTCTTCGTGTGGACGGAGCCTAGGTTTGAAGAGATAAAGAACAGGTAGTATCTCAAGTGCTTTAAAGTCTTGCGAGTTTTCTTGGAATGTTACTGAAAATATAAACTGTAAAAGAAGTTGTGAAGTGGCGTGTTTTTGTCTTATGCAAACAGGTCATATTTCTAAGAATTGGTGAAGAACAGGTGGTATCTCAAGTGCTTTAAGTCTTCCGAGATTTCTTGGAATGTTACTGAAAATATAAACTGTAAAAGTTGTGAAGTGGCGTGTTTTTGTCTTATGCAAATAGGTCATATTTCTAAGAATGATTCTGTTAGTTAATCAACTTCAAAGTTCGGACGATTTGTTTTAAGAAATAACTTGCTTGAACTCTGAATTTACCTCTCAAACATTTTGAATCGAAGGCAAACTGTATTACCCTATTTTCAAACAGAATACTGAACTTCTTTGCGCAAACCAATGTGTAAATATTTCCTCCAGTTATCGTCTTCCGGGTTTTCTTGGAAAGTTATTGCTTTTGCGTTGTACCTCAAAACTAAATTCGCCTGACAGCTTCTGAAACTCTCTAATTTCAACGATTAATGCCGAGACCTTACCATACAACCTTCCACGCAAAAATAAATCGTTGATCGCCTGCATTTTTGTTACAAAAATTTTATATAACGTGTGCTCGTTTTGCTGCTCCTGTATATTAAAAAAAAGAATGCGGTTCATATTTTCGACTCACACTCAGTGACACTTACTTTTATTACAGTTGTTCTGAACAGGTAAATTAACAGAGTATTAAAACGAGGTAATTTTTCGCCAGTACAGCAAATGAAACCCGCATCAGATCTATCGGTCCTCTAAAATCCATAAATCGACTGTATAAGCATCTACGGTAGAACTTCTGTATAAAGGCTTGTCTCAGTTTATATATAGTTACTCAACGATTACGAAGTTATAAATATGAAGTAGAAACTCATTACACGTAAAACTTTGCACCAACTGCGGCATCGTATCCACACTCACGAAAACACTTATGCTGTATTTAGCTTAGCTTATTCGTTACGCTATCTGTCTGTCTGTTAGTAGCCCCCCAGTTCATCCATGGAAGAAACCTTGCGACGCCATTTTATCCAGGACAGGACGATCTGGTACACTATGTCTGGATGGCAGGACTGCTTGTTCCTCTGGAGAATCGCTTACGACCAATTTCCCGGTGTCCATGTCGAACTGCAACCGCTCTTGTCTCTCTGGCCTATTGCTGTAGTTGTAACCAGAGGCTCCTTCCTCGATTGCTCGCGATCTGTGCGATCCACCATAGCCTGTGTCATGAGGCCAAGTGCTTTTTTCATGTTTGTCTTCCATCGTTTCTTAGAACAGCAGGAGTACGGTGAGCATTCAAGGCGATGTAGTAAAAGGCTCACAGACTAGGCGTGTATGTTTGCCGTATTTCCCTAGACGTGAAGGACACTGCGTTTTAAAGGACAATACAACGAAAATGAAAGCGGAAATAGGCACGCATGCGCCGACTGCGTTTAGGAGCCGTGATGCTTTGGGTCAGCGGCAACATCGGAACAAAACTTGGGCCTCTCAGGGTTTTGAAGTGGAGAATGGCACTGGACAAACGTTTAGAAAAAAGAACTATCAAAATATTAGCAACGTAATCGGTTTAGATTTAAATGACAATTTTCAGGCTGAACAGCACGGAACAGTGACGGAGGCCTTAACTAATAAAAACCTGTTTCTCACCCCGGGGCACTCCCTCATTTGGCCTAAAAGGGCTTGTGCCCCCTGAACAATCCCCTGAACAGGATATAGTTTTCAGGGCGTTGAAAGGGGTATACAATTTTACTACTTTAGCGGCTTGAACAGGGTATGGCCTTAACAATAGGTTAGTGAACGTTGGCGGTGAGCGGTCTACATTTCTGTTACCAACATTCAGTTTTCGCAAAAATCTATCTAACTCCATGATTTTAATTTTGGAAAATTACTTTATTCTGTAAGCAATTGCAAAACGAAACGAATCAGGGTCATGCATAAAATATGATCTCCTGTCTTAATAAACTACACCTAGCGAAATCGAGAAAATCTCATCTTTTGGTGAAATACATTCCCAAAGACTACTACTTGTCGAACTTTATACTATCCAACTGATATATGCAGATTCTGTTAATTGCCAAATACTCTCCTGAAAACAGCTATATCCTATCGGGCAGTATAAACGTTTGATTTAGTTCTGTCATGAAGATAATTGAGTGATCGCACTACCGTGGATCGAGTCACCAATTTAGTAGTGAAATTATTTGCTGAGTTCAATTTCAGAAAGCAGAAAGTGTATTAATTTAGTCCTTGAGAAGACCATTTCAAGCGGTTGCTGTACAAGTTTAGAACGCGAATCATTGACTTCAGGGTGTCATTATGTTTTGCTGACTTGGCGAATCAGGTGGTGTATCCACATCCATAAGATTTTCTTCTTCCTTGCTTTTATTTTCTTTCGTCTTGTCGCTCCCCTTCTGCCTTTCTAGAAAAACCTTTGCAGCAGGAAGGACTTTGATTTCAAGGGGTTTATTAGGCGAGGAGTTGCCGCTGTAAACGTAGGAAGCAATAAAAACTGATTTATCCCCTTCGTCATATTGAACGATGTAAGCTACAACCAAAACACATCGGAGAGGAAATTGTCGGCGCAAATTAGCTTCTTCATCTGCAGTGGGTTTGTCTTCTCCTTCAGCATTTGGTTTATCGCGAAGTATGTACTTCCCAATTTTCTGTATTCCTTGGTACTCCTCAAAGGCCAAGTTTTCCTCTCCACTTCCCTTTGTAGCATCTTGCGATTGACTCTCTGACGGTTCACAGGGTTGTCGCTCGTTTGTCTCGGCCAAGGGTTTGCTAACGGTATGCAACACAGGCTGCTCGTCAGTTGTCCACAAACCAAACAAGTCTCCTCCTTTTTCAATTTCGTTACCCTCGCTTTCGAGGAGAAGCTTCTTAATCGTATTGTAATCTTCCTCAAATATGAACGTGTGAGGGTTATTGTCCCTAGCACTATGGGTTGGTTCAGTTGAAGTCTTGCTCTTATAGTGTTCTCTTTGCAAAAATTCATGAATAGTTGAGGACTTGTCTTCGTCCTGTAGCATGTGGCTCAAGATAGGATCTAACCTGGCGAATGGACTCTGTCCTCGGAGCAGGTTGAGTTTACATCTTTCATGGTGTCTCTCCCCTTCTCTGTAAAGATATGGTGAAAGCGTTACTGCACCAGATGAAGGCTGAATGTTTGCAATGATGAGGAGAAAACCACACGTTCCCCTGGGAAAGTTTCGAATAATGGTCGACGAATCACCAGAACTTGGCTCAGACAGTCGCAGACGATGGTGAGAATGCCATTCTCCGATGTGGCACAGCTGATAGTCTTGAGTGACAATTCCTCCAACTCGCTCTAGGTAAGGAATGCTTTGATAGAAAGACACTTCTGTGCGAGTGCAGCCAATGGCCGGACCAAGCACGATATGTAGCACTGGCTCTTCACTGTCTGTCCACAAACCAAATAGATTTCCGCCTGTCTCTTTGGCTGGGTGAAGCAGAACTAACTCTTTCATCCTGTTAGCGTCATGTTCGAACAAGTGGACATTAATGGGTTCTTCATAGCCACATTTCTTACCGATATAGCTAAACAATTTGGCCATGGCTAGCTTGAACACGACGGATGTTTAAAGCAAGGCTTTTGCGCAACGCTTTGTTATCATTTAGACACTGAAAGTGCGCTAAGAACTATATTCAAATTTCCTGGAAAAGTCACGGTATTTTCAGCAGCGCATACACCCCGGTGGATTATATAGGGGGGTTCAACTTAACTTAAGAGCCTATGACTCCTTTATTCCTGAACGAATTTTGGCGTTTAAAGCTGCAACTGCGTTACTTAATATTCGTTTTACCTAACAAACGTTAATTTGTAGCGTTAATTTAGCAAACATTGTGTTAGTTTGACCCAATAAACATCATCTTCCGGCTTTTCTGGGAAATGTTTTCGTCGCAATGTCTTGGGTTTTTCGATCACGTGTACATATTTCAAAATCACAACGAATATCATATTATCATGTGACAAGTTTTTCTAGGAAATGTTTTCGTTACAATTTCAGTGTTCCGTGACCCAACACACTCTTGCAGAATAGTAAATTGAAACTACTCGCTTGCTAAAATGTTTATTTGAAATTGTATCATTTTAGATTTCAAAATTTTTTGAACTGACCTTCTCAGCTACGAGAACGAAATGCATCATCATACCCGATAAAGACCTTATATTTTCACAATGAGGGGACAAAACTAAGTATATTCTCGCTATGAAATATATGTTGGCCGTATTATTTGGCACTGAGACTACCAAGTTTTGCTAGCACACATCAAGCATTAAAGTACTTAAACACGACGCAAAACGTACTGATCATCTGTGCCTTAAGTTACATTGTATGTTTTTTGACAACAGTTTCACAAAATCAAGTTTTAACTGCAGTCCTATATAGGACTGGAGTGTTTGACACCACAACAAAATCCATGAAGCGATTTAACAACAACATGCACGTGACCCATGAAATTAAACAAGCTGGGTGTTTATAGACTGTGACTGTTTAAAGTGCAGACCTACGACACTCACGGACACAAGATAGAAGATGCAAAGCCATTGTTTTTGTCATGTATGATAAGGCGGCATAGAACAGGATGAAGGGCAAATTTAATGTTGCCAAGACTGCTTTATGTACAAAATAAATGGAGAATAAGGCCTTAAGATTCCATCTAAATGCATATAGCGATACTTGAGTACACATGTTTACAGTTACGTTTTCATATAAAAGTGGAAAAAGAAAAAGAAAAATACAAATGAGAATTCTGTCGGCATATTTATAGCGTTAATCAGTGGCTTCCAGACTCCAATTGTATAGCACCTCAAGTTTCATACATAGACTATCAGTTTTACCCATGTGAGAACAATTATCTCGTTTTTAAATACTTGATTTTCCATATTAATTCTTAACAACATTTCCTTTTCTTTGACGACTTTATCGAAATTAAGTGTATATATGGAATACTCTTTGAGTATCGTGAATAATGAAAGTACTGAAGTAAGCTATCAATTTTAAATTATTTCGTGTTTCAGTTTAGTTACAGAAAGAAAACAGTCATGAGGGTACTTCCCTCTGAGAAGGGGTGCCCTCGCCCTGTTAAAGAAGGGTGCTTTTAAGAACCGGTTAGGAAGAAGTGCCATCGATCCAGATTTCACGCCACACCAGCGAGGAAGCGCTTGACACGCCGGACTTTATCTTAAAGACGAAGTTCTCTTGATTTCGTATTTCTTATGGGTTTTTTAACTTCTTGGTTAGCTTTTAAAAAGCCAACTTCTACTGAGCTGTGCAACATTGTTCTGAACATACAACCTCAATGTTTGAATACTTGACCATAAAAAGCTTCTTTAAATTAGCGTTTACAGTCGACTTTCTCTTAACGGACACCTCTATAAGACGGACACCCCTGTAAAACGGACACCAAGAGTTGGTCCCTGACTTTGCTTATTCCCTTTATTTGACTCTTTGTAAGACGGACATCTCTCTAAGACGGACACTTAGTGTCGGTCCTAAAGGTGTCCGTCTTGGAGAGAGTTGACTGTATATCGGTCGCCGGCTTTAGGGAGACAAGAGTCTTGACTTCCATTTGAAAGTTTTTGTTCTGGATGTATCAGGCTTTCTATGGGGCATATCCCGAGCTTGTTCTGCGATTTCGGTAACTTGCATTTGTTTTCCCCGCTGAATGAGTGTACTTTGATGAAGCAACTGGTCTGGTGCCTCTATATGGATCTGCTAAGTGTCTTCTTTTCCAATAATGTGGGGATGTCAGATTCAGCCCGGACTTGCGGTTGCTCGAAGTTTGGCGGTAATACCGTGAATACCCATGTCGTTGGGATCTACCCTCATGAGCTTCATGAGAGCGGAACGGATACTTGACACTACTTTGAGAGGGATATTTCCTGTTTTCGTAAGAACTTGGCCTATAACCTGAAAAATTTTGGGACTCATCTCGTAAATATACACGTACTTCCCTCCCTTGATCCATGTTCTCTTTAATCTTTCTTGTGCTTTTAAAAAGATTTGGAACACGCACAACCGTAAGCACTCCCTTTAGATCATAACTATGACTGGAGTTCTTCGTATAAAGGTAGGGAGACAGCTGCACTCTTTGAGATGATACAATGTTAGCGATGATCAAAAGGAAGCCACACACTCCACGTGGATAGTTTCGAATGACAGTGGATGAATCACCCCCACTTGGCTGAAAAAGATGTAACTGATGATGCGAGTGCCATTCTCCTATGTGGCAGAGCATGTAGTCTTTAGTAAGCAGTTCGCCGTTTCTCTGCAGATAGCCGATATCTTGATAAAAGGAAGCTCCCGTGCGTTTGCAGTTTTGGCCTGGTCCAAGTATAACGTGTAGCACAGCGTCACCGTTGGCGGTCCACAAACCGAACAGGTCGCCACCAGTTTCTAGATCTGGGTAGTTGAGAACCAGGCTTACCATCATTTGGTAGTCTTCTTCAAACATGAAGACCTTGAAATCGTGCCTGTTAACTGCAAATTCTTTCTGATATTCCTGCCTGCGAAGGTAGATCGGGTCTTCTAGCAAATGAGATCTTTCGTTTATGTTTACAGCCTGCTTATTTTCATCGATTGAATGGCTCAGAATCTCTCCCCGTGTTGCTAAGTTGTCGCCAGTGATTGACAGTTTCTTAAAGGCGTCTGTAGCTTGCTTAAGATCTTCTTTCTGACTTTCAATGCTAATTCTTCTTGTCCTCTCCAAGGGACTAAACGGGCTTTCTAAGGCGGGAAGAGTCTCGAGTTCCATTTTTCTGCCTTCTATTGAAACTTGTAGCGTTGTCCCCGAAATGATGACGTCTAGAAATTTGTCCGAGGAGTTGGTCTCATGGATGCATCTTAAATCGTCGATTTGTGGTAGCGTCTTCTGATTAAGTGGCATGGTAGTATCGTCGGAGCGCCAATTACCAATGTGCACAAGGGGAAAACCATTGTCCACGAAGTCGGGGAGATTTGAGCTACGTTTGTCAATCCTTGAACAACTGTTTCGACCACCAACAACGTGAATAACAGGCTCTCCGTCTGTGGTCCACAAACCGTACAGAGCTCCTTGATTTTCTTGCTCTGCCTTCAATAGAAGTGCGTTTAATTCCTTTTGGAAGACGAAAGCTTGGTGCAACACTTCCATGGCTGTTTGGCGTTTACGAGCGAGTCCTCAAACAAACGCGGTTGTGCCAACGACGGGAAACTTTTGCTCATGCGTGGCAAAATCAGTGATTTCTTAGAAATGGCGAGCTGTTCTTTAATCATATTCCCTATTGGAGGGTCAAGTTCTTTGCCTCGCCTTCTGCAACAAGTTTTGACTGTTTTGTATTTACGAGCGAGTCTTCAAACAAACTCCAGACCCATTTTCTCTGATGCGTGGCAATATAAGTCATTTCCCAGAAAGAGCGGAAGTTAGCCATGGCTATGTAAATTATATGTCATCCGCTAAGAGTATTGTTTTCCTTTAAAGAATATTAAATATATTAAGTTTATCAACATGATGAAGTTTTCTACCAGATCGTTCGGGGTTTCTCAATTTGTTAAATACCGCAGCAGCAAAACAACTGTTGTTTTGGTTTGCTCAGAAATTTGTATTGTTAACAATGTAAATGTCATGACTATGTCTGTAAAATTCTGTCATATGAAAAAGTTCAAACTCCGAGGGTTTTCTAACCCGTTTTTTGTTATTATAATCGTCCGAATGATATTACGGACGACCTGACGAACGCTGATATGGATCCCTGGGAATATGAATGCCAAAGTACTTCTTCGCTGCAGAAATCCTTCGGAGTAGGTGGGTGGGGTGAGCGGCGGGGGCCAGGGTGGAAATTACCCAACTTAAACCATGGTTGGGGGTGTGAGCTTGCTCACACGCAGTTTCCTATAAGGGGTTTTCAGTGTTTTGGGCCCAAAGAATGTATATATTTTTAGTTTTATTTTCGATCTCCCTTTACGATCTCTTGTCGTGAGTAAGAGTTTGCTGTTATCTCTTCACAGTGAGGAGAGAGAGTTTCTCTAGGCCAGTCTCTCAGGCAGTTTTGTTTCTTTTTAGCATCAATTGTGGAATTAAAATCACTACCTTGCAATGGCGGATAACGTTTGCTCTTTAAGTAATTATTGGATAAGTTTTTGTATAGAGTGATTTTAGTTCCAAGTAGTTAAAAGCAAATAAAAGAAAACAATGAAATTAGAGAGTAGTAGTTCGTATCAATCCACTATCTATTTCACCAAGTTAAAAAAAAATCACACTAATCGTTGAATGTATATAAGTGTTCATATGAATATACTGAATGAATGTGTAGTGTAACAACCGCCCCAACTAGCTTACGATGGACCATAGAAAAGCGTTTTGTCTAGCTCTTCTGTATTTCCGTCGATAAGTTATGCCATTGGCCGATGCTCAAACAACTTATGTTCACCTGATTAATACTATTTCTTAGAGGAGGTATAATTCGGACAAATTTACCCTTACCCTCTGGCAAGTTCCAATGAACTTGCGTTGAAAATATATCTATAACAACGAGCCTGAATTTGTACAACAGATCAGAAGTGTAGTAAGTCTTGGGCACCTAAGTGTAAAACCAGAGGCAATCCATTTTTATTACGTTAGATTGGCCCGTCTGGAATCAAAAACTTTAACAAAAAGATCCCGTTTCTCATGATATCAGCCATTCATGCTACTGAGTCAGTGTTCGGAACGATGGAATGGGCCTCAGACAAGAACCGACTTAAACTTATAGAAAACGCCATTTTATAAGAAAATATGGACATTGATTTCGAGCAGCAATGAGAGTGGCTAAATACAGTAGCTATAGTGGTACTAAAGACGATCGATCGATGGCCTGCAGGCAGTGTCTAGTAAAGTTTCCCTTTTTTAGATGCACTTTTATGAGGGTTGTAGTCGTGATCCACCTCCATAGGTTCAACGAGGTTGTGCCGCCTGTCGGCATTTGAACGGGTGCAGCTCTTAGGTGGCTTGCCTTGCCGAGTGCAACCCACTCCCACAGACTTTTCGTAGTGTCGGGAACGCGCCGCCTGCTCACGTTGTAAACGAACGTCTGTTTTTGTTTCTTTCCCCTCTTTTATGGCATCCTGAATATCACGCAATTCCTTGAAGACGTTCTGAGCTTGCAAAGGAACAACCTCTCCTTTTCTGCTATAAGTAAAAGTCGAATTCTCAGTATACAGATATGGCGATAGCTTTACTTTATCGAGTGCCACGATATTGGCGATGATCAGGAGAAAGCCATAAACTGCACCCCTCGGAAAATGCCTTATCACTGTAGATGAGTCACCCTGGCTGGGCTTGAAAAGGCGCAGTTGATGGTGGGAGTGCCACTCTCCAATGTGGCCTAACATGTAATTTTCAGTCAGCAGTTCACCGTTCCTTTGCAAATAAGGAATATCTTGGTTGAAGGACACGTCTGTCCGGCAGCAGTTTCTACCCGGGCCGAGAACAATGTGCAGGACAGCATCACCCTCGGTGGTCCACAAGCCAAACAGGTCTCCACCGGTTTCTACATCTGGATACCGGAGAACAAGCCTCTGCACCATTTCTATGTCTTTTTCAAACATGTATACCTTTAAGTCATTGGCTGTGAAATTTGTAAGTTCTGGTAGAGGACGAGACTCTCTTGTCCTTTCTTCGGCATTAAAGGAATCAATGTCACTTTTTCTCGGAATAGCCTGTAAAGAATTAGTATAAGTAGTCACTCTTGTTTCGCCGTCGCTTTCGTTGTCGGCTGGGTTCATCTTGACGTCTCCTTGACTTTCGTTCCTTCCATCATCTTGCACCGACGCGTCCCCGATCATTTTTCTTATTTCATCAAGTTTCCTGAAGGGGCTTTCACCATGGAGAAGTTCAATATTACCTTTGGTTGAGATTGACGTTTTTGACACTATGTAGGGCGAAAGATCCGAGTTTTCATGATTTGCCACGATAATCAAATTATATTGAACTTTAGCTTTATCTTTCTTCCAAAGAGGTTCGTCTTTGCGAAGGAATTCTGCTATTTCTCTGCGCTTTAGCTTTGTGTCACTTTGGTAGTGCCATTTCCCAATGCGTAGCAAACCATAGTTTTCACATAAAGGTTTTCTAATACTCTTTAGGTTGTCTTTGCTTTTAGGCGATGTTCCAGAACTTTCGGTGGGCTCCTTTCCCCTCCCGGACTGCCCTGTAGCTAAGTGTATGACGGCTTTGTTGTCTTCTGTCCAAAGGCCAAACAGATCACCGCTCGTCTCGCTACCTTTATGCTCTGCAACAAGTTGTTTTATGATTTCCTTATCCTCTTTAAACATATAAACAGTCGGGTTACTCATGCTTGGTTTTTCCATCGCCAAATTGAATAAAAAGGGCACTCGTCTGCACACTCGCTGTCGAAGCGTTTAGAACTGTGTACAAATGGCGTCTTCCGTCAAGCCACTATGCCGGGAATCATGCGCAATGAAAAGCGTGATTTCATGGAAAAATATCAGCTTCCACGTTGAATTCGTTAGCCTCCTTCGAGCTTATTGTTTTAAATATTGCTGACCGAAACCGACATATTTCACTTAGAAAACTTGTAAATATGTGCTTTAAAATTTAGCCCTGAGAAGAGGAATTTCAACCCATGAGCTGTATAATCTGCCAACTGAATGTTTCACAGCAGTTTAGAAGTAAGTGTTCCTTCTTTTCTAGGAAATGTTTTTCATCAGGCGACGTCACTGAGCTTTTTTTACATCTTGAATTTAAGAAGTCGCTTTCTTAGAAACCTGTCTCTGATGTTGTCCCGTTAACATTTCCTCCAAATCCATTTCGTAGTATTTCGGGACAAAATGAAACCGATTTTAGTGATTCTACTTGTTGTGTGGTTCTTGACAGAATATTGTGCTTGCTGAAGGATTCTTGTGGCTTGTTTTCTGTTAATAGAAACTCACGATAACTATGACCGTTATATCTGAGATGAGAATACATCGAACGGTTTCAAGTTATGAATATAATCTTGTTAAATAAGTTAGTCTTTGTTACGTTACTTCAGTTGTGTGACGCGACATTTTCATACGAGTTCGTTGACGCGATTAGATCCTTTTCAAAAACGAAAGATGTCTTTATATAGTTTATTCTTAACACTACGAGCTTCTACTGCGAGAAGCCACTCGCTCTTCTCAGTTAGCTGCAGATACAGGAGGCAGCCATTTTTCTTTGACAACTGACATGACGTGACCCGGTCCCAGTTATTGAATAGGTTGTCCGTGCTGGATATTACAAAGTTCTTGGAAAAGGTCTTCTACCTAAACAGCAGTCGTAAGGCTAAGGAAAAGATTAAGTAGGTTGGAGGTGTCTGTGTCCTGCTAGCATAAGAAAAGTTGGGTACAAAGTGGACCGAAAAGATTTACCGATTTAATTTGTTTTGGGCACCAAATATTAAAACGCGCAAACTGATCGAAAAATAACATTGATAATGTTCTACCACGGTAGCGTCATTTGATTGAGCAAAAAGACGATTTTCAATACAGCTGTAATGTCAAAATATGTAGATCTAGATACAAAGTACGTTAAAATCGCCACTGGGCAGGGATTCATGCTCGGTTGAGTTCCTGATTTTAGGGTAGCAATGTTTCTACGATTAGGTCCTTCCTTGGCACCTTTATTTTATTGATTATCTTTTGAACTATAGCTAACGTAAACACAAAACGTAAATTTCTATTCAATCAACATATTTTGGATTTTACGTTTCGCTTAATTAGAACTTCATGCTTGAGAGCTGTTATAATTAAGTCTTCCTCATTTTCTAGGAAATGTTTTTATTCGATATGCCAGTGATTAGTTTTTGCATATTAAATTCAGGGATTACTAGGTTTCTTAGAAAATGTTTGTGTTTGCTTTTTCGACTTTTGCCCGCCAAATGATAATATGTCATTCAATTTTCGAAAGTATTTATCAATTCAAGTTTCTGTGTCTGAAATATTTTACTTAAACAGTGTTCGTGACTTAAAATAAGGCCAACTTTAAGCAACTGATGAAGTAAATGTGGCGCTTTGTTAATTTTTTTTACATTTCCATTTACTTATTTCCTCAGAAATAATCTATGAAAGGGCTGTGAATATTTTTGAATTATCATAATTGGTGCCTCTTTATGTTTATTCTACACTTCAAAAACCCAGTGGTGAAAATTTGTTTAGCTTCTTTGCTACTGGAAACTAGACATAAAGAAGCCCGCAGAATCCGAATATGTGACTTACTGAGAAATCTTACTGCTTGCGATATGATATCTTTAAATATCATTGATTTATGATCAGACAATTCAGCTTTGCTACAGAGTGACGCCGACTGAATATGTAAACTTGAAATTAAATATAAAATATAAACGACTGTAATACAAGTATTGCCAGAGCTCGGGGTTCTACGAGGAATTTTAGTACTTGAGACTGAAACACAAGTTTGTTTTAAGGATCGGGAAATGTCTTTGTTACAAGCTTCTCCAACAAAACCATCCACTAGTAGCCATTCCCTCTATGACTTGCCTGTCTGGTGATTTCGCTTCAATTTGGGTCTGAGACTCTGGGCCACTCTCAACAGTTAATTTCCCGCTGTGCAGGTCAAAAACTAATCTTTCTTTCCTTGTGCTGTCCTGTCCGCCTTGAGCAATGACCTTAAGTCTGCTTGCCACCACCTCGGATGTTACAGTCGTAGTACTTCCATCTTCTGCTTTCGTTTCTGTGTCCTTTTGTGTCACAAAGTGAAAGTCAAATTCTCTTAAGCTCTTTGCGTTGCTTTTCTCTGTTGAGTCCATTCTGTTTAAGCTCTTTCCTTAAGCCGTCTAGGGCAAGTAAGTTCTGTTGACGTGCTTTCCTTTTGTAAGGGTAAAATTAGATGATTTTTCTAGTTGTTTTTATCCGGGAAAAGCCCCTTTCCAAATACGTCTCACAACTTCCGCCTTTTTTTCCATAATAGGTACGACACGAGAGAGTCACAAAAGACCCTTCCAAGAAAACGCAAATATAACAATGACATCATACCTTTTGCGAGAACGAAATTCTGAAAAGGAAAGCGCACTAGAGAACAGAGGCAAACATCAATCATAAACTTGGCGAATAGCTAGTTGCACGTCCCAAGCTCTCTCCAGTTCGTCTACCGCATAGAAAGGACTTACTATCAAGTGAAAGGCCAAAGATGTCGTCCAACCCGCAACGTATTCAACAACATCTTGAGAACAGAGGAGGAAGCTCTGAGTCGTTAGTATTTGACCCTGCTACAGGAAAATTGATGGTGAAACCACAACATGAAGCACACAACTCGGCTGACAGGACTGTCATGCTTGACATGAACAAAGCTGGATCCGGGGGCTTTTTCAGTTTGGATGAGCAAGACGTTGCGCACGGTGGATCGCGCCTCATGCGTTAAGGGAAATCAGGATCAATTGACCCCGACGGAATATTTTTCTCATGAATTCTTGGAAAGACTGTTTTACATATGCTCTTGTTTGTTGTGTTTCACATTTAAGATTGACTAAACTTTGGTAGTAATCGAAAGACTTCTACGTGGACACGATTTAGTTTATTCACTGAGTAGCCAATTCATGGAAATAATCCTCAACTGTTTTCCGACATTGTGAACTGGCGAACATACAGTACAGTTCTATTACAGAGTAACTACTGAGGTTGTTAGCTGTTGCAAGTATGTGCTAAGCTTCTGTAGGAAGAGTGGCCATGGAAAATAATCTTGTCCGAGAATGTATTAAATTTAGTGTTAAAGCAGAATGCTTGCATTTTATTTCAATTATTATTATTATTATTATTATTATTATTATTATTAGTTGTTTCAAATGAAATAAACTTTCTTAACCAAAAAGGTTTACCCGACCGGCTAAGGGAAAGACTACGACCAAAGCGCCGAATAAACTGCTCACTTAAGACTCAGAACTAAGAAAACTTCCCTTTACGGCTTTCGTAATGCCTGTTTCAAATAAAATAAGTTAACAAGATGAAAATAAATGAATGAATAAATAAATAAAACCTGTATTCTTGTTGCTTAAATAGAATTGGCCAAGAGATTAGTCAGTCTGATAATTAAGAGAGATTTTTACCTTTTATTCTCATTTTCTAGGGCTGGACAGAACTATGGTTTAGACGCATTTCGATTAGCAGTTAAAATCTAAATTCCCAGATGTTTTCATTTGACGTACCATATTTCCCGGAAAGTGATTTTGAGTGACGTGACTGACGACATTGTCATGTAAGGGTCACAGAAAACAAAGTCAAAAGAAACATTTGAAACTTCATCTTAACAATATTTTATTCACGATCGCTACAATACAAGATCAGCTACGTCATGTGCTTTACACAGAAAACTAAACCCGAGTTGTCCCCCAAATCGTGATAATTTTGACAATTTTTGCAGCCTCTCTCTTTAAAAATGCAGTCAAGTGATAGTTCTGACATTTTTTGCAGCTTTTCCATTTAAAAATGCAGTCAATTAGACAAAAAATTATTTACCAGCGAAAAAATCGACATTTTCTTCACTGACTTCCATATCTTGACACGTTTTGCAGTCAGATTTTCTTTCGATCATCATTGGATACCACCTTAGAATTGCAGGCTTGTCAAACCTCTGGAAGCCATCTGCTGGGTACCCTGCAAACTGCTGCTCTCTGCGATTTGCCCACATGTAGAATGGAGCTTCTAGGTCGGTCTCCAAAGTCGCCAATGCGCTATCTTTTCCGCGGCACAGCTCCACCAGGGCTAGCTTCACCAGCATGTTAGAAATGGGAATGATATCTGAAGACAGCCCGACCTGAATCGTGGCTTTTACTTCATCATCGCCGACGTATGGTGGATTAGCCTCGCGCGCTTGGCGGAAGGATGACATCTCCTCTGCAGCTGCTTCCATCGACGCGTCGGCATAAATGCATGAGAAGCATGGGCCAACTTTGGGCCTAACTCGCAGCACCTCACCTCCGGCAGCTCTAACAGCACATTTTCCATAGAGGGATGGAATACCCAGCTCTATAGACAAGGTGTTTATGTTAAGCCGGCTCCTGATATTGTCGGTGGCAGCAATAATAAGGTCGCATCCTTGGAATATTTTTCTAGCCTCTTCTGCATTGTTGATGTTGGTATTGAAGATCTCCACCTCAGCAAATGGGTTCTTATCCAGAACACGGTCTCGCATGACATTGGTCTTTAAGCGCCCTAGATCGCTTAGGCCACAGACATGGCGGACGATGTTATGAAGCTCAAAGCGATCGAAATCGACCAGCACAAACTTGCCCACTCCAGCCTTGGCAAGTTCTATAATGACAGGAGAGCCACCACTTCCGAGGCCAACAACAGCAACCTTACGGTTCTCTAAAAGACTCGACTCCAATATGCCGTGACTTCGAGAATAGAGCTGGGCCTTTCGTGGCTGGCGCAAGACAGCCGCTTGCTCTAAGGATTCGGAAGACTTTGGTCGTACGCAAGCTCTAACGTGATCGTCTTCGGAAACCAGGATTGCAACCTGCGGCTCATCAAGCGTTGGAAGGTTGGAAATCAAATCGGTACAAATGTCAAGGATTTCCGAAGATGGGGGTAGCTCTTTAAAGACCTTGAATGCCACTCTCTTTTCGGTCCCAGTTTGAGAAGATTTATTATCACGGAGAACCCGGACATGGATGGTATCGCAGTCGTCAAAGACTGTCACGGTAAATTGCTTTCCACCAGCTTCCCCGCTTTTTAGTTCATCAGTAAAATTGGGCTGAAGAAAACAAACAACTTTGCGTTGATCTTCTATCTCATGCATTGCGCTTAAGTATAATGAGGGAAACTGATCTGAAAACGATTTAGAGATGCTGCTAGAAATAAACAGGAAGAAATTTATTCTTGGAAACTCCATGAGGAATCTGATTGGCCCACTAACTTACTGCGTTTCTCAAGGGTAATAATAGATTATTTTTATTTTCTTGGAACCAAGAGTGATACCTTGTCACGCAATTATATTTGAATTCTTGTTGTTACCTCTATAATTGTTAAACAATAAAAATGGAAGCAATGGAAAATGTTCGCAGTGCGCACGCTTTTGACTTAAAATTATTAAGGAATTTTATTCGGTGTTTGGGATTTATTGCAAAATTCATTCGTTTCGGGAAATATTTATAGGTTAAGGAAAAATATCATAAAAAGCAATTTGACTCATTTTACTTGGTGTTAACTCCTACGCATCAGCACTGATCAAACGACATCCTCTCCCGAAATGAGAAAATGATTTCTGTTGATTCATTCTCCTTGGTCTTGTTGAAGGAAAATGTTGATTGAAGAGTTACGTTAGCCACTTGTGACAATTGTTACACTATATGTTTATAGTGGAGTTGTTGTAAGCGTTCTTGTTGATTAGTTTGAGTAAGCTACTTCACTACTAGTAGTATTGGTTTTTCTAAGTTAATTGATGATCGATAGAAAGTTTCTCCTGACATGAATTCGGTACAAAGGAGATGTACCGAGCTGGTACATCTCCGCGGTAACACTTCTGTTCTTGAGATATGTTTAATTAGAGCCTTTGGCAGATGACAAAGCCTTGTTTATATTAAGTATTTTGTCTAGTTTGACATTTTTGACCTTAATCTGGTCTTTCTTCCATATTTACCAGGAACTACTACCCTGCTTGTTTTCTTTTAGAGTTTTAGGCGTGTTTCCCCGAGTTTTTAACCGAATTCTTGGCAGTGGATAACTTTAATTAAGCTTAGTGATTTTATAGGTGTTTTTGTAATCAAACAACTATTGTTTTAAATTCTGCCTTGTACTTTGAACTGCATTTTTAATTTACCCTTTGAGTTTGCGATCACGTTCGTGGTTAAATTATGGAAAAGTTGTAGCCAATCATCTTCGATGAAGAAGCTTAACACCTTCTGTAAATTGACAACAACCTTGAATTTTCAAACTGTAATTTTAGTACTTTCCTATCTGTTAGTATGAAAAGTCTGTTTAATGGTATATACCTTGTAGTTTTTATATTGTTCTAATAGTTTTATATTGGCCAGTTGACTTAGGCTTAGCAATGAAAACTTCGGTTAAAGAGTCATTTCGACAAAGCAATTATCTCGAAGGTTTCATGCTAATGAAGCTGTTTTAACCAATCGGATTGGGCTTACGTCAGCATTCGGTTTGCGCTAAGCAGCTGGTTTCCTGGCTGATATAAAAATGCGTGTAACACTGATCTTGTAGAGAATTGTGAAACACAAGTTGCGTTAACTTCGTGACACCTTACAGAAGAATTAAAGAGAGTCATTGAACAAGTACTCGTCTGTCTTGCTGTTTGTTGCTAGAACCTGCTAGTCCCCAGTAAGGTTCTTCAACATAATACTAAACGGTTAAGTTTATACATTGTTTTCACATGATTTCATGGCGGCCCTCATTGGTGTATAAAACAATGAAACATGGTGTACTAAAAAAACCGAACGAGATTGAACAATAATTTTGTGAAAGACGATGAAAATCGACAGCCATATTTATTGATGGTGAATACTTGCTTTTATAAAGTTTAAAAAGAAATCCCAAGGAAAGCAGGAAGCCAAAACTTCTGATTTTAGTTTGTTGTGGCTGTCTTTTTGGGTTTGAACGAAACCTTTGTTAAGAATTAAAAAGAGAGGGAATAAAACATAGGAGAGGACAATAAGAACAACAGTAAATGATCCAATTCACTTTTGCATAAGCATTTTCTTTGCAACGCTGCGCTATTTTGTTTTTATATTCAATCATCCTTGCTTTCTTGGAAAAATAGCCCCTTGGGCTGGTTAATGACTTGTTGTGTCAAAACCGGCAAAGATAAAAATACTGAGGAAACAAAATGACGCGGGTTTTCCAGAAGGAGTAAGAAAGGAAACGCTGGAAACATGGGTGCTTTAGGTTTGCACGGCTGATCTAACGGGTTAATATTACAGGAGGGACACTACAGAATAGACTTGAACCTGCGCATGACAAATATGTACTGTAGCGGTTTGTATGATCTCACAGCGACTAAATAGTGAGCAGCATGACTTGCCTCCCGTCGCCCTCAATATCTTTCATCTTTTATCGTGTGCAAAGACCGACTCGAACACAGTTTTGTCTCTTCACTTTAAAACAAGGAGTGTGTGCGACCGACATCACCATAATTTACTCCAAAAAATTCACATGACTATATCTGAGCACTGTGCCAGCTTGTATTGCTAAGAACCTGAATTAAATTGAACAGCAAGGCTTACGGTAAAGATCTGATATAATGCCCGTATTAATTCATTTAGTTACATGATAAGATGGACAAAGTAACTTCCGCTGAAAACCAAATTATATGTATTATAGATACGAAACATTTACGTGTCTGAATGATTTCAAAACTCGTCATCTGGGATACATGTATACTAAACAGTAATTCGGCTTAATAAGTAACAAAACAGAGTTTTGACCCTAGTTTCTCGTCATCTTGGCTTAAAACATTTTAAGAGCTACGTGACAATTTTCACTTTTACAAAGTAGTTTCCAGTTTCTTCTACAGACGAATGTCACTCCGCAAAATAATGCAGTAATGTTAAGTTAACTAACACATTCCTCACAAAGTGCCATCTATGACAAAGCTGTTCCAAGCCAGTAGGAAAAAGCCTTGTTCAACCATTTCAGTCATAATTTGTCGATCAGGATTCTTTTCCGCTTCTTTTTTAGGGGTAACCTCCAACTGCCCAGTGTTGTAATTCATCGTTGTCTCAAATTCCGGATATCTTTCAGGATTTTTTACAAATTCTTGATATGTTGGCTTCCACGGGACAGGTTTCCCCAGTTTTTCGTCAAAAACCATTCTTTGTCTTGAGGCCATGTGTACTATCAAATCAAAAGGTCCACTAGTCCATCTAAATCCAAGAAATACCGTTAAGGTTTGCACTTGTGTACTCAGCAGCATTCGCTTGAATAATGAAACGGAAAGGCACCTGAGTGAGACTAAGTACTAAACTGGAAGACTGGGTAGTGGGAAGTGAGGTGACTTGTTGTGCACTGATCAATTTGGGCAAGAATTTGTTGATCCTGTGAATTGGTGCTGCTCATATTGTTATTATCAGGGTCATCGTCCAGAATACTATTGTCTTTTGCGACATGAGAGTAAGGTAACTGGAACAGTTCTTTAACTCCTAATGTATGCCAAAGCCGCTTTTCTTTGCCCACTTTTCTGTCAGCGCTCTTTCCTCCCCCCCTGCAAACGTTTAATATTTACATCCGTTTTTTCCAAGAAATGTTTACTTCAGGTGTTTTCTAAAAATACTGAAATGACAGCTTCATTTAATTAACATTATCAGTTCCTCAGGTATTAAGCAATCTTCATTCGAGTACATACATAGAGAGTTAACCTGTGTAGTTCAAAGCGAATTTCAACTGATTGATTCATTTTGTCCGGGCTTCCAATAAATCTTCAAAGATTTCAGCAGTTTCTTTTATTGATTATAGCTTTTGAAACTAAGAAATTAATTGTAAAACAAGAATTAAACCCAGCTTATGTGCAAATGTTGCAAATTATTTAACTTAAATTTCTGGGAATTCCTTTTGCTTTGACTGAAAACGATTCTAGGTTAATGCAAATTTAGTGTCACCACTGTCTTTTGCTTTTATTATACCACATGTTTCGACTCCCAAAACACATTAACATCGCTTCTTTCAGCCGGTTCAAATGAATAGTCACTGCATGTGTGGCAAATATTTTTCAAGATCTTCTCCAGTTTGTAGATGAATTTCATAAGCTTCCAACCATAAGCGGCCTTTCATCAAAATCTGATAAAGAGTGTTCTGGCTCATCCATTGACTTGAATTAAAGTGGCAAATTTGTGTCAATCCATCGTGGGCTGCTAGTGTATGTTGCTTACCGCTTGAACCGTTGAGAAGTGAACCATCCTTTCTCTTCAAAGGCGAGGAGGGAGAGCTTACAACCATTATGGGGCACTCATCTGGAAAATCTTTTGGGATATAAACGCGCAGAGTATAGCCTTTTCCGTTGTTTGTGTTGACTCGCCATTCGACCCTTGTATTGCCTCTCGATGTGGCATTAAACCAGGACACATTCCTCAGTTTTTTCTCCAAAATTCCTTTCTCCATGCCAAGTCTTCGCTGTTGCTGTGAACTCCAACTCATTTTCACCTTGTCCTCATTAGATGTACTTATCTTATGGTCGTTCTCTTAGTATAGCTTAAGTCTAGCCAGCGTTACCACTGTCATAAAGGAGCTTGGAAAGCGAGCCAATCAGCTGCGCGCTACTCACAGGACATACTTAATAACGTCTAACTGATTTCTTGGAATTGAAGGTATAAAGACAATTGACCCTTCACTTCTAAATTAGGAAATAGAAACCGATCTTGTCATGCTTTCCACACTGACAAATGCAAAGTCATTGAAAATACCTCCAGAAAAAGAATGATACCTGTCAACAATTAATAGCGAAGGAAAATGGAGTTTTAAGACCAAGTGTATATTTCAGACTTACTCAATAATATACCTGCCAACTTTTTCTGAGATATAAGCCTGAGATTTTTATCCTGGGAGTGCTGGAATTTTTGAAGACGACACGATCATTTCCGAAGATTCCCGAAGAAGTCCGAAGTCTTGCGAAGACGTCCGAAGTCTATCGAAGGCGAAGTTATCGAGAAAACGCTTACCCACAAGGACCGACGTTAGTTGATAAAAATCAGAGATCGCGAGGAAGGTATTGTCATTTATTCATTTTACACCTGGTTTTCCTTCCTTACATGGGTCTGAGTTAACATATTTTTGGAAATTGTGTCAAGCAAGACGGCAACAACTCACATTTTTCAATCAGGCGTGAGAAATTGGCCCGCAGGCGTGAGCCGGCGTGAGATCGAAGTTTTCAACCCGCAGGCGTGAGGCTCACGCCTAAGGCGTGAGAGTTGGCAGGTATACAATAAGTAACATTGACAATTTTGCGACAAAATATAGCCTTATATCATACCTTATAATGAGATTTTCTGAGAAAAAAGAAAGATAGCGTTAATAACATTTTTAATACATGTGAGGAGTGTTGTATGGTCTTTCATAAGAATCATTGTGAGGCAGTATTTCGGGAGCAAAAAACAAGCGATTGATTATAGATTTCAACATATAATTCCGGATTCTAGGTACTGGAACCCGGATTCTTTGTCAGTGGAACTTGGATTCTGGATTCCAATCGTTGGTGGGATTCCGGATTCCTTGTGCTGTATTCCGAATTCCAAAACCCAGGGTTCCAGTTTCCACAAGTAAAATTCTCTCAAAATCCGGACTCCACATTAGCTGAAATTTCCCGGATTCCGGAATAGGGAATAATTCGAGCGTGGCCTGGGGTGATGGTGTGCCGTGGAAGTGAGTACAAGTTTGGTATCACAAACAAGTTCACAATGACATTTAAAGTCTCTATCTATCAGTCGATCGATCAGTCAAGCAAAAAGCTCCTTTATTTTGATCTTCATTTAGCATTATTCATGGGCATTATGGGTCCATTATGATATTACGATTTTCTTAAATAGAGGAGACGGATTGTCAACAACCCTTGCTATTTAGCACATACGGTTTGTCTAGTCTGTTCGCAATTCGGTTTACTTAAAAACACTATTCACTTACTATCCTAGCATGGTGGGACAAGAAAAAAACACTGAAGCAAACTAACAACAACAACAAAAACAGCAACAAAAACACACACAGGATGGCTGATTAGGAATTTTCCAAACACGTGGACAGTTTTCTCCAATTTCCGCAGCCATTAATGCATAACGAGACTGAGCACTACGCAGAAAAGTTAACTAAGAGTTACCAAGTGTTTCAACGATTTCAAGGAACTTATACACTTACGCACATAACATAAACATGTTAACATTATGCCAGTACGTTGTTCCTTTATATTGCGAAGTTAATAAAATATATATACATGTAACATTAAATTCTGCGAAGTTTAAATGATAAGCAGTTGCAAATAAAGCAGAAAAAAATTTCGGGACTTCAACGGGATTCGAACCCATGGCCTCCGCGTTAGCGCTGCATTGGGAGCAGGACAATTTGTTGAGATCAGCTTAACCTGTGAAAGAAAGAACTTCTAGAGGAAATTAATGTTCAATCAGTGTTTGAAGTAATATATCAAACATGAGACGCAGTGTTTCATCACCAGATGAAACACCGAGAAGAGAGTTGAAAATACGACGCGTAGCGGAGTATTTTTGACGAACTTCGAGGTGTTTCATCTGGTGATGAAACACTGTGTCGAATGTTTGATATTTCTTCTCAAACAAAATCATTTTTGAAGGAGAAATTAAGGATGCAAAAATGAGCAGTTTTTCATCCGATGTCCAAACACTCATTAAACATTAATTTCCTTTGAATTTTCTTTATGAATTATTAATGAGTTTGAGAAAATCAGATGAAAAACTGCTCATTTTTGCATCCTTAATGAATTGATGCTTCTAAAATCATTTTGTTTGAGAAGTAATATGAAGCATTAGACACAGTGTTTCATTACCAGATAAAACACCTCGTAGTTTGTCAAAAATACTCCGCTGCGCGTCGTATTTTCAAATCCCTTCTCGGTGTTTCATCTGGTGATGGAACACTGCGTCTCATGCTTGATGTATTAAGTGAAGATGACATGAACGGCGGAAATACGACTTTTAAAGATCTGATCGACGCAGTGGTAAAATATGAGAAGAGTATGTAAAATATAGTATATTGTACTGTATATAATTAAACATCGGTTCCTGGTGAGAGCTGCACCGAGAAAGCCAAGTAATTGCAAAAAGAGACTTCCTTCCGCTGCAAGGTATAAATCTGTTACCTGCTTTCTATAGCGTCGTGCAGAATAAAGGGCAGCGCCTTTTTAATCTATACCTCACTGATTTATTTGCAGTCATATTTTCGTTCGCTGTCGCCAGTTCTCCTTCAAGTTGGGATACTGGGCGTCCCTTCCGGCACATAACCGGCCGAGTCGCAAGCTGAGTCGCCTCGACTGACTGGTCTGCTGTAAACAGAGTAATGCGAGATATCTCTTCCTTCTGGTTAATTGTCTCAGAACCTTCCTCCAAATCTGTTTGGAATTTTTCTCGGAGAGGACTCTCACTTGGCAGCAGGTGAAATTGTCCTTGTGTCATACGCTGACTCTGATCGGCAGTTCCCCTTTCAAACAAAAAGCAACCTACACTAGCTGCAGAGTTGACTTGCATCTCAATGTTGGCAATGAATAAGACAAAGCGATTGAGGCCGTACTTAGGCATATTTCTCCAGACTGTTCCTTTATCGCCGCCACTAGGTTGCTTGAGACCAATTTTGTGATGGGAATGCCACTCGCCAATGTGGCAAACGCCTTCCTTTTTAATCAGTTGTGATCCAGCCTTTTCCATGTAATCTACGTCTTGATAGAAGGAGGCGGATGCCCTTCGACAGTTTTTCCCCGGACCCAGTACAAGCTGAATCACAGCAGTGTGGTCGTCTTTCCACAGACCGAACAAATCGCCACCAGTCTCAAGGTATCCGTGCTGTAAAACCCATGCGCATATTTGTCTGTACTCATTGGCATATATCACCACTTTAAATTGTTCGTCGTCTCTTTGTTCGGACATTCTGGCTCTTCTGACATTCAAAGACTTCCTCGATTTAATACATTAATGCCGATAAAACCAGTTCGCGTTGTTTTTATCGAAAAAGAGACATGGTCATGGCTTGTTGAGTTTGTTTATCACGTTGAAATTCCTAGAAATTCATTTAACACTTATTCAAATCAATTGCATCAGACAGCTGTCTTTTTCTTTCTCAGGGGTCACCATTATCATTTTTTTAGTTTCTCGGAAATCGCCAACCGTGGATCAAAACCGCAGCGTCACACAACTTCAAACTACCCAAATCAGTATGGCGTGCCCGGCATAATGCCTAGTTATTTGGAAGTAAAAGTGTGAACAGTTTTTTCTGTCATGTGAAATATCCACATCATTTTTTAAAATAGTGGAAACAGGGATTTTGTACCAGTAACGTACACATTACTGGTACTCAGTTCCCACCTTGACCGCAGTTTCAAATAAATTATATAAAGATTCGTTGATAAAGAGCAGAAAACAATTTTGTTTATTTAAATATAAAACACAAACAGCGGTGATAAACATTGTGAGTTTTCGCATTTTTTTAAACTTGACGTTTCGTATGCTATTCAACATATATTTTCAAAAGTGATATTAAGTGACCGTTAAAGAAAATGACGAGACTATATATTCCAAAATTACATGGGGTCTGGAAATGAGATTGAGAATTTAAAAAATTCTCAACAGCAATGAATACAAAAGGCAACAGCTAATAAAGCATCAGCTTTTCACTGCTGATGTTGACATTAAAAGCTGGTTAATAACATGTTGAGCTTTGTTCTATTTCCTTCCAGTTTACAGATAAATCTGTCCACAAATTTCTTTAACTGAGATGAGTTCGACTCACTTGCCGACTTTAGGCATAAATAAGAGGAAAGTTGAAAAAACATATTTGCCTTCTGGTTTTACTTTTGATTAAAGAGCTTTATCAGTGTCCATTTAGGCCAAAATATATTTTTATAGGAACAAACAGGGTGCTTGGGATATGAAAATAGTTTAGGAATTGATTTTTTTTAACTAAAATTCTTTCATTTCAAGAAGGGACGTTGAATCGTCACTCTGTCAGACTTAGGTCCTTCGCCGTTCTGCATTAATGACAATCTCTCTTGGCCCTCGGAGGGATATCATCTGAAATGACTGGTCCCTGTCGCTTGCGACTTGGCGGCACCACAAATCCCGGTCGCTTCACGTCTTTCTCCGTTTCTTCGGCTGATTTTTCTTGAAGAAGAGACACTTCCTCATCGCTGTTCATGTCCTCAGAACCTTTCCTTAAAACGTTTAAACACTTTGAACGAAAGGGACTTTCATTTGGCAACAGTTGAAACGTTCCTTGCATTACAGGTAACTTCCGGTTGGTTTCTCCATCAAATTCAAACAGGAAGCATCCGATGCTGACTGCAGTTTGCTGTTCTATGTTAGCAATGAATAACAGGAAGCGGCGCAGGCCGTACCGAGGCATGTTTCTCCATACTGTTCCTTCGTCTCCACCGCTCGGTCGATTGAGACCGATCGTGTGGTGTGAGTGCCATTCTCCAATGTGACAAACTCCTTCCTTCTCGATCAAATGGGAACCAACTTCTTCAAGATAATCCACGTCTTGGTAGAACGAGTGCTCCGCACGTCTGCAGTCTTTCCCTGGACCCAGTACAAGCTGTACTACAGCGGTGTGGTCACCGGACCACAAACCGAACAAATCACCGCCTGTCTCAAGAACTTCGTTCTTTAAAACCCAGGCACATATTTGTTTGTACTCACTAGCATATATTGCCACTTTAAATTCTTTGTTTCCTTTCTGTTTAGACATCCAGAGAAAGCTTTGGTTGCCAGAGAATTGTAGAAAAAAAATACGTCAACGAAATTAAGAAATATGATAACTTTTAAGGAAGATTTTAATGTTCAATCCGGAATTTCTTAGAAATTATCGTAATGTATCAATTAAAGATGCTTGCTACAGTTCAGCGATCTGCACTTTCTTATTGACCAAGCGTGGCGTATTTCTTGGAACTAACGGAAGAAGACGCGCACTACTGGTCACGTGAATTATCATTTGAAAACACAAATAGTCGGATGTTGGGGGTGGGAGTGGGCCTTCCTTGGGGTTTCTGATGTGTTTAAAATAAAAATAATAAATCTGGAACAACACGTTAACCACTTTAAAATTATCTTGCCCTACACTTCATGGATATATAAAGATGAAATTTTGTACTTTATTGAAATCAGATTAATTGTAGTGTATTGAAATTCTTTCCCAATAGCTCGTGAAGAAGGTGAAAAAATGCTCAATATATATTGAGCATTTATTGTTTAGTTACCATATCTATATTGCTATACATGTGTTTTTATCTTTGTTTTTTGGCTGCTTGGAAGGAATCTTTCAGAATCTATGCTTCCCATCTTTGAATATGATTACGTCAGTAGTGACTGTTTTTTGATATCATTAGAGAGCTTCGTACGTCAACCGGAAGTGGAAGTTTTGCATTCTTGGCCAGTGATTTTGCCCCAATTCTCGGGTAAATCGTCTCTTAAAGAGTGAAGACACTTAGCAATACAAATTTAGTTGCTTCAAGGCAAATAAATAGGGAAAAAGCCTTACTTCCGGTGGAAGTGCGTCGCTCAAAAAACAACTTTGCTTAAGCTCCCAGTAATATTGTTAACTACGACGTAGTTTATGTGCAAACATGGAAAACATAGTCCCTGAAAAATCCAGTCGAGCCAACTTAAGTGAAACTGGTGCAGTACAAATTGAGCTGAAAAGAAAAATGGCAGCTACAAAACAAAATCATGAATGGTAAAATTTAACTGCATCTCAAGAAATAACAAGAAACAAGAAGTGTCCAAGTCACACGTTTTGAATAGTACCACTGCGAAAGGTAACATTGACGTTGGAGAAAAATCTTCCAAATGACTCGAACAACGGATTGTAGAAGCTCTTCACAATAGACAACCAGAGTTTTCCCGCCAGCCCGAATGAAATGAACCAAAGACGAACAAATGGTGTTAGAAGCCAAATAAGAAAGAAGCTTATCACTCCACACGACAAACCATAGATAAACGATAACGGCCCGCCAAACAGCAGCGTCAAAATGGTATACGTCAAATTAGAGGTATTGGCATAAACGGCTTTAGTGAACTGGTACGAACACTGAGGACTATGTGCTGCAGGGGGCTCGCATATCACATCTGAATAGGCAACCTACAAATAAGAAAACAGAATTTACCTGTAATTTCTTTTACTAAGGTAAAAGGGATCTCTATACGAACGAAAGCAATAGCAATGCACGTTTACTTTTAATTAGAAAATGTACGTCCCTTCTTTTAGGATTTCCTGCCCTTTATGAAGTCTGGCTTTTGACGGGGATTCACCCGCTGGGGTGTCCCAATTTTTTCTAACTAAACTGCGACCGGTCCACAAACACATTCTCCATTATAAATTTATAAGATAAGTTGCTAACTGTTCGTCTCACGATGGTCACTTTCTTATTGAACGTGATCCTTGGTTGCTGGTTATCGGCTTGATCAGGCGATGGTGTGCAGGACAATTAGCGACACCGTTGTTACTAGAGATTTGTGCATTAAGCTCACTCATGGCTGGTGGACATCACCAGACACCACATTTTGCAACGACACGCCGGGAATTTCGATTGTGGAACGCCGAACTTTTTCATGTACCGAACCTAATGCATAAATTATAATAACGTATTTTGCAAGCAGTTTCACCAAATTGAGTGTTTTTCTCCTTTTGAATTTAGTTCGACCGGAAATAAGATCGGGGTCTGAATCAGTTGAGGTGGTCTAAATAGTTTGGGTCGGCCTTAATAGGCCATTTTCACTGAGAGGTCATGTGACATCATTTCTATGAAAATGAAAGTCATATGATTTTGCCTTCGAAAAACGATTAGTGGGTCATATCTTAAACAAAATAATAGTGATTTGGTTTTTCAAACCCGCACCATTTTCTTAAAATGAGTAAGTTTGTAGCTGGTCACGTGACCAAAATGTGATTTTCAAAATTATGAATTGCCTCTTTCTGAACACAAATTTTGCACTTAAACTTTAAGGAAAATGTTGAAAAGATGATGTGGTAACATTTACAGCACTTCTGAGCGTAACTATCAAACGTCTTACACGATACAAGCAAAAGGTAGTTTTTGCCGCCCTGTTGGAGGGCAAGAGTATGCCCTCTAACATGGTGGCTAATACAAATCATACTACTTTGTTGAAAAATCAAAGTGCAATAAAATGTCTCCCTTACTTGCGTTTCCTCTCAAATTTCGGGTGTAAGATAATTTTTATGTGCTCAGTCAAGTTTTGGCAAGATTTCAACTCATTGTTTAAAGGAAGCATGGTTATGTGACCAAGTGCAAGTGGCCTATTCGGCGAATTAAGTTCGGCTCATGAAAAGTTCGCGTCTGAACAGGACCTTAGTGCTTCTGGTTGGCTAAAAATTTACTTCAACCAATCAGAAAATTAACACTACCCATGCTCAATCAAGCTATATTATATAAGCTATATAATCAAGCTGTCCAATTACACTTTTTTATTGAAAAATCTCGAAAATGTAATGAGTAGGCTACTTGTATTTCGACCTCTTCGTTTTTATCAAATGCAAATTCAGTATTTCTTAAACAAAAAGAGCACGTGGAGTATATATTTTATTACTTTCGGTACTTTCGTAAGTTTGAGTTCACCCACGTTTTCAGAAGCAAATACTTATTATTAAATGAAACTGCCTTTCTTAGCTGATTGAATGTTTACGTATACCCACTTTCAGCGGGCAGCAAAAGTGAGAATATAGGTTTCTGATAAACATCCTCTACTCTCGCCCTCATAATACGTGTAGAAAGCAAAGTATTTTTGTGGTATCTCCAGCGCTAGGTGATTCATTGACAGCTTGAACTTTTTTAGAGAAAACAAGAATGCTTCAGCCATAACAGGCCGACTGCGCTTTGGCAAAAAGTCTCTTCCACAGTAAACAAGGAATCGATATTTTGAGAACCCGTAGTAGGAACACGGTGCGTGTGTTTTATTTCAGCGCACACCATTAGTATAGGTAATAGCATGATTTGTAGTGATATTTGGCATAAATACCACGAGCGATATTTCGAAATTGTTATACCTAATTTCACGAGCAGTTAGGCGAGTGAAATTTGAGACAAGTTTGAAATATCACGAATGGTATTTATACCAAATATCACGTACAAATCATGCTATTATTTGTTTATACTACTAACCACAAAGATTTTGTAATTTCCACATGTAGTTATTTCAAATTAGGCTGAAATACCACAGCTCTAAGCCAAGCAAATTGCAGAAATTTCTCATGTAGTAGTATAACAGCTAGGACGACATCATAACTTATTCACCGAAACAAAAATTCCTTAAGTATTTTGTCTTACCTGAATATAGTCATTGTTGCCCCGTGGATCCCTGTCATCCTGAAAATCTTCCTGTGTTGGTTGACTCTTCATGTCTAACTCAGGCAAAAAACGTCTTGACTCAAAGGTCGATGAAGCCTTATAAAAGAGATTTTCAGCAGGAAACATTAACAATGGAGCTAAGCCCTAATACAAAAGAACTGCGACTTATACATGGGCCTGGGGGCTCAAGGAAATTTTAATGTTGTTACAATCCAAAACCAAAAGCGACATATTGTCCCGTGCCCAGCCATGTGCTATTTAACGCTTTCACTTTTCTTGTGGCCTGTCTAAAGGTTTCCCAAGCTAATGGGAGTAATTAAGTGAACAGAAACATATTTAAATAGCTCAGACAGATCAGACTCAACACGCAAAGCAATTTGAAGTTTTGTACTGATTAATTTGCTTTAACTCTCGAAAACGACCTTTTCAGGTTATCTGAATCGACTTAAAAGTGAGCTAAGTTACCGTTATTTCACTTTCATCTGGGTCATGCCAATTGAGGATATAGTCCCATTGAGCACTCAACAATTACCATCATAGAATTGACAGGATATTGAATGGCAGCTTGATCATGAAACTGTAAAAAGGAAATGGAAAGAACTACAACAAAGCCAAAAGTGGGCAAGGGACGAGTAAAGCTGAAAAAGATTGAAACGGATGGCGTTGGGTAAACTTTATAACGAGGAGAGATTATTGGAGTCAATGCTGCTACAAAGAACTGTCTTAGAGTCGGGGGGTACCTCCTATGATGGCCCCCCAACAGGTTGGCTTCACCCGAAAAGGGGTACCCTTTTCAGGCTTCAGGTATATCAAAGTGTAGGAATTTCACTCCTTCAACTGTATGAAAGCGCAGGGAAATCTGTCATTTCGGTCTGTAAAAAGGTCCAATTGTGCTAACAGATGCATTTAACTGTGAAAAAGTCTGAAAAAAGTTCTGGACGTTCTGGTCTACATTAAAGACAGTGATGTAAAGGGATACAAAGTTCTAAACGAGGTGTTTGAAAGGCGTATTCATGATATACGAAAGTGGTTTCTTTTCTGTCAAAATCCGTTTAATTGCCCCCGAACGCAGGGATTTCGCCCAGAAGGCGAAATCCCGAGGAGGCACTCTAGTAACTCGCGCCTATATAAGGAAAGTACTTACAGTTGAAATATACCGTCATACATTCAATATAGAAAAAATCTCGATTTGCTTGAACAGGGCCCGCGAGGAATCTGTGGGTAATGGTGACGTTTCTATTGTTTGCGCCCGCAAGTACGAAATGGTTAGGATGACGCAAAACACAAAAAATCCCAAAGGGACCCCTTACAATAGGTAGATTTTGTAACATTAATTGTGCAGTCATACTTCGATACTCTTTTGCGTTACGTGTTATCAGTGTTATTCTGTGGAGCAGTTGTTATGAAAGTTATGGACCAAAAGACACTCGTTAAGCGCAGATGAAGTTATAAGGTTCGTAGAACAGTGTATATTTTAACACTAAGCGAGTTTGCCAGACACGAGTTCACAAATCTTTGATTGGAAACCTTCGGCTGAACCTTGCCAGACACTCTTTCTCTCTCTTTGACCGGAATAAGACTCAGCCCAGAACAAGCAAGACAAGTGAATGATGCAACGGCTAGCTTATCACTAGCAGAAGGACGGACGATTACAGAAATTAGCCGACCATCAAATTCTGTGCTGACTTCAGGGGCACCCAAAGGCAATTTTCGGGAAAATATCTGTTCGGAAGACGATTTGAGAACTAGAATTTTCGGAACATTTGTTGTAAAATTTCTTGCTTGCCTGCCTCTCCTAGGATTTTCGAACATCTACAAAATGGTATAATTACCCATTTTAAACGGATATTTACCCTAAAAAAGGCCACCTAGAATTTTCGGGAGCCTTTTCCTGGCTGAAATTTTCGAAAAGGTAAGTTTTGATCCCTGTAATTTTCGATCACTAGACTTTCAGCTAGGAAATCCGAACAGATGAAAAGTTTTTAGGGGATAAAAATATGCCTATATCTACCGTTTAAATGCTAAAATACGTTCAACAATGCTATGTTAAGTGGTTTTGAACTATATCCTCGTTGGGTGCCCCTGTGACTTATTCCCTGCTCACAGATGTCCTTCCGCTATAAAGTTTAAAATAAGACTAGAATGCGCGAACGTGAATTGATCAAACGTCGTTTTAATTTCTAAGCCGGGCTTACTTTTCGGCAAATGAAATGAACTAAATGTAAAAAGTGAAATAGAAATAGCGAAAAATTCAACTTCTAATTAAATCTTTTCTTATGGTTTAGAATAAACTATTCTCCAAACTGAGAATGTTTTTATCAAAGCTCTGTAAATCGAACCGAAACTGTGCATGGAACCTTACGTTTATTTCATGTATTTATCTCACCTATTGTATGAAATATGTGTGAACATCTTCATTATGAATCGGTATATTTCAAAGAGCTACACAAGGAGCAAGAATACTATATAAAGAGCGGGGGCAGCTGTAGTGTCAACTATTACTAGTGTATAAAAGAGTATCGGATTGGATCTCGGGCGGAGTCTCCCCAGATAAAACTTTGTTGAAGTACCCCCGGGGGTCTTAGGGATTGTCTGAAAGGATAATGTATCTTAATCAGCTGTCGTAACTGCTCTTAGCGAGAAAAAAAGTGAAACTGATCACGCTGAATGAAAACTACCACAACGACTTCCGTGAAAAAAAAAAACTTATTTACATTTATAAATTGTAATTAGAAAACTGAAGGAGTATAAGGGTCAAGTATTTGTAATCTTAATAAAAACCAGCGCGCTAATTAACGTTAAGAAATGACATTTATAGGTTAATTAAGAGATGTTTCGGTTTTAATGCAGCAACAGTTTCAACCCTGAGAACAGATCCTCTTGGGTCACACGGTATTTTTTTTTTCTGCTTGCGTCAAAAGCGCTCGCAATCTGAATCAGTAACACAAAGGGTACTAAATTGGTGTCAGATTCTGTTCTGTGCCACTACAAGCAGCAATCGCCCCAAGCACATAAAATTCATTGGCTGGGAAGGTTATACAAATAACCAGAACTACAATAGTTCTTCAGCTTTTCGACTTTACTTTGGGTTCCATAACTATCATAGTTATAGTCCAAATGTATGTGCTTACAGGGATTGTCCCGGCGGTCGGGCTTTATTACAACACCGTACCTGAAATGAGGGGTAGGGAAGAGGATCGTGAAGGCTAACAGTGTTTTCAATCTTCCCAACACTATTAAGGTTAATGCTGATAGGTTTGATAACCCTAGGCGAGAATCCAAATTTTGTCAATGAAATATTTCGGAAAACAGTGCATGCTTGCGTTTTATTATAGTGCAAAGTAATGTTATATTCGTAGGTAGAAAGACCTAGAAATGCTCCAAGATCTCCTTGTGTTTGTTTTGTTTAATCTTAGGAAGTTTTTAACAGCTTGAGCAGCATGTGTTGACATAAAAAATGTTGTTAAGCATTTATTTTACCTTGAAAAATTCATTATTGTCCCTCGAACCCCTCTCCTGCGTGTCTCCGAGTACGGGCTGACTAGTCATGTCTACTATGCAAGCAAGGTCTTTGCGCCAAAACCTTGAAAAATTCTTTTCCCCTCACGGCGATAGTGAAAATGTGTAACCTACTGACGCCGTGGTATAAATTAAGTCTCGAGACTTAATAACAAAATTATAAGTATAACAAAAGTAAAACGCGCGTTCTGATTGGTGAATTAACCAGTTCCCGATTTGATGAATTTGCCCATTTAATTGCTATTTAGCAAATGCTGACGAAAGCGAGAGCGCATTCAAAGCCATAAGACTCATTTTCTACGTCGCCAAAAATTGTCATTTACCTCAGTGGGTTTTGTCTTAAAACTGAGATAAAATGTACAAACACAGGAGCCCATCAAATGGAGCCTCCATCTCCATTAATTTCTTGAGTCAACCCTTTCCCGAGTAGATTTATAAATAGAACGGCTTGTTTCCCGCGAAAAGTGTCTTATTTCTGTGAGTCTCGTATGTCACCGTGAAAAAAATGAAATTGGATGAAGTCGAACTCAGAAGCCCGTCCTTCGACCGTTTTCCTTTTTTACTATACGTTCATTTTTACAATTTTACAGCCGCTGGGATCTGGGGTATCATGAAATAAAAGTTAATGAATTACCCGACAGAGACTAAGCATGAAGCAATGCGACAAGGATCACGGAAAGGTTATCTTTGCGAGTGTTTTTTTTGCCGCCATACACCCCACATTTAAGCATGCACCTTGAAAAGAGTCGACGATTAAGCGTTCTGTGGACGATTTGGAACTTTTCGATGATCAGCGCCGAAAAAGTGCCAGGATCATTTGATTTTGTCATCACCGTGGAGTGGATTTCGCCACTTAAGCACCGCGTGCAAAAGCGATGACCTAAGTAGCAACTAACGAGGAATGCTTCAGTTCCGAAATTTGAGAAATTGCAGTCTTCCTTTACAACTGACTTGTATCACCATGAGAGTTGCCTGATAAAACTGGCACTTGAAAAGTTGAACAGAAGACAACAGTTGCTCGACCGTGAATAATTTGCTAACGGAGGAATTTGTGACATCGCGCTCCAGTCCAAAGACCCACTTATCTCGAGAAAAACAAAATGGATTGTATCTGAGCCAAAAGAATCGTGACTGACTAACAGGACAATTCTCAGCAGTTAATGTAGAAGTTAAGGCTTAATTCTTTCCTTCGAATTCCTATCTGTAGATCACTTTTTTGCGAGAAAACAATGGCTTGGCCCGGCGTTACAAAACATAGCAGGGAATCATCACACTAGCTGACGGACAAAACAACCACAAGGACTACAAGTATTTATTCAGATAAACGCATTTCGCAAAAAAAAAGCCTTGAAAAACTAGAAATTTGATTAATATTGAGTCATTTAGCCGAAATAAGAACCTTAACGCTCAAAAAAATTGGCTAAAGAAAACGAATCCTGTCAGAACTACAGACTGAAGGTAGTAGTTAATCATTATGCATGTAACAGATCAGCTTCATGGCCTCTTAATGTGAGACAAGCCACCAAAATTAAGATTAACATAGTCAGAGGGTAAAACTCTCCACAGTATATTCTACCCACTAGAAAGAAAAGAAAGAAAATCTCTGAGGGATGAAAACGCTTAAGTCACGTTTCACTAGCTTATGATTGTGTTTGTCCTGTCAACACCGAATTTCCTGCTGTTTGATGAAGTACAATAGCAGTGTCATTTCGTCGTTGTGATTGGCTCTTCCCACCGTCGGTGCGCGAAGTCTCCCCTGGGAACCGTTCTAATTATAAATCTACTCGGGAAAGGGTTGACTCCAAAGGCTTGTATGGGAGATGGAGGCTCCATTTGATGGGCTCCTGACAAACACCGTTAACGATAACTAAAAATGTTTTTCAATCCACCTTGGGAAAGAGAACAACTTAGTCAGACTGAAATTTTTTTGAAAGAAACGATATAAAATAAAACAAATGGTAAAAGTCGTAGCTGTGCAAGGATCGAGCTACAAGAAACAAGAGTTGTTCTCAGCGACGACTCGAACACTAGTCGCACGCTTCTTTCGTGCTAAGCAGCCTCCAGCGTACATCCATGACTCGATGGTAAGCGCGCGATACACTTTTACCATTTCCGGCTTATATTGCATGGTGTTACGTGGCCAGCCATGGGCTAAAAGTGTTGATTTGCTAATGGAAATGTACCAATCTGCCAATCAACGGTGGTTTTGAATGTCAAACGTGCGGCTGTGTCCTTAATGTTTCTGTCCCCACGGCAATACAATGCTTCTCAGTCTGGAGATGCTTGGCCTCAAACCCCCCACCCCCCCAATGCAGTCTGAATAGGGTTAAATAGAACAAAGCTGTTCACTGAATGCAACTTATGATCTTTTTCAACTTTGATAAGCTTTTCTAGTTTACCGGTAAATATTAGCTGTCTATTTAGAGCGCGTCGTGTAATTAAATTTAATCTCTGTCTCTGTGTACACTGTCGGAAACACAAATGGTAAAAGTCGCAAGTCTTGTAATTACACGCGATAATGCGTTATTCAGATCACTCCTCTCAAAGAAATCTTACTCGAAAAAGAACTGATCTATGAGCTACATATTGCCTCAAAGTTTAATGACAATCATAAATTGTGGGTAGGTCATAAACTGCTTGCTCTTATTTTTATCAATAATGGATCGCGGAGCTCTGGGTACGAGGCGTTTTGCCAAACACCATGGGTAGGAAAATCTTGTCACCTACGCGGGTGTGAAATGATGATCTAAAAGATTTCTTGTCTTCATTAGACAACTTCAGAACTGTAGTGAAATGAACAGCTTCAAGTCTGATTAGATTTCAATTGCCTCATTTCAATAGAATACGGTTAAAATTGCCCATGGGAAAAAAAGCAACAACTTGAACCCGGTTTCAAGGTAAAAAGTCCTTGTAAACGTCCCAAACTAACGGCATCTTAAAACGTTTTCAATCATTTTTACCCTTACAAGAAAAACTCTACATCAATTACTGGCTAAACTAACCGCGCACCTATTGTCTGTTATAAGGCTGCAAAATCTATTTGGCAGCAGATTTTCTTACCGGTACTGTGATTCGTAAGGGCCTAAAGGAGCTCGTCTTTGTTATAGACTTAAGTTACAAGACATGAAACTTGTGTTTTGTTTTACAAGCACTTTATTTTGATTATCAAAGTCAGAAACAATCCAAGAAAGCTTTTGTTTATACTTTCTTGTCAACCTGGGCAATAATTTTAATTTCTTGCCAAAATACCAGTACAGGATCTATTTCTATCCTGAGAAACGCATGCGCCAACATCTAATGGGGAGCAGGAATGCCAGCCAACCGGACACTGTTTCCATAAATGGAAAACCCCACGGCTTCCATCGCTAAAAGTACATAGCAAAAGTCACCATTATCTTCTCTCCAGAAATCGTTTTGTCTTATACCAAGAATCCTACTAAGCTTTCTACCGTGAACGTGTCTCTTTGGGGAGTCCCCCAGTTTTGACGCCTACTCTCAGTAATTTCGTCAGACCATTTCCAAAATGTAGTGAGTATGCCTAATATATTCCAATTTATCTTGTTTAAATTCTCTTTGTTGTCGGATTTTTCCATGACAACATTATTGGAATTAGGTCTTTAAATTTTTATAGGAAAGAAGAGTACTGCTGAAGAAGATTCTGTTTTAATTAATGATCAGATTCAAAATGGATGATTGTTTCGTACTCTTGATTTATAATAAGGTGTCCATAATCAAGCTGTTGGCTAAAGCGGGAAATGATATGTCGAACGAAAGAACGAAACCAAGGAATACATTTGCAATTAGAGTTTGTCAGTCAAAAGAGCGAATTCTAGTAAGAGAAAATGAATTGCAACAATAACATCTTAACTTAAATGATTACCTTGTTTGCTTAAAGGCTTTGTAAGTGAGGCACTTACGAACACAAGAACCACCACTATCAATAACATCTCAAGGAACTTTGCATCCATTCTTTAATCTAAAAAACAAGGCGATTTGGCAGTAATAAGATTATTCGACTTCTTGAAACCAAACATTCAAGGACAAGACCTAAACAAAACTGTTTTCTGAAGATAAATTGGATCGATCAGCTGATCGGACGTGCTTTGTTATATATTAACCGGCCATAGTGCAAGTGCTTTGTTGAACCAATTCTCCTTGTTCTTTTTCCCCCTGGAAAATCGGGAGCAACAGATGGCCAGTGGTTAGACTCAGAAGGCTTTCGATTTTATTTCTGCCTATTGATTCGTAAATTCCTTGTCCATTTCCATGATCGTAGTCCTCGCTTTTCAGGTTATTTTTGAAGCCTTTCATTTTTTTCTTGACTGCAGCTGCGTGCCTTAGAAGCTGTTGAGCTTAGCTTCAACGGCGAGAAATGTCTGATTGGTCGTCGCGCGACCGCGTGACATTGCCAAATTCAAAATGGCGGCAATACCTCCATAGTTTGTTAATTCCAGTGGAAATAAGGTTCATTGCGGCTTAATATGAGTTGCAAATGCATATCAGATATTTTTAGAATAATCTAGACATTTTATTATCCTTTTTCACCTATTCCTGTAAGATTCGTTTCCTGTGATGCTCGCGATTTCGCTGGGTTACAGGATTCAACTTTGGATCACGAAGGGCAGCAATGTTTCTGAAAAAAGCAGGGTCACTAGAAAGAACAGCCTTTGTTCACAGCTCAATGTAGCAGATAAATAAGACAGTATGGGTCCTTTAAAATTGCTTAGACACCTGGTAGTTATTTTATTATTATTTTTTTTCGAAAATGTAAAGCAAAAATATTTTTTTCTCCAGCAACACTTTCCAATTTATAAAAAAAGCTTGAACTTGAGCTAAATGAACTTTAGTGTCTGCATTCAGTCTTTTCATTGAGAACGGGTGCAATTTTAATATTAAAACTTTAAAGCCGTCTTTGACCGAACAAGGTGTTTTTCTTTTTTCTTTTCAATGGTTACTGTGCTTGATCTGAATAAGATAATGAAATTTTTAAAATTAGGGGAATACTATATTTAAAACAAGAGAACTTTGATTCAAGTGTTAGTTGGAAAAAATACTGATTACATTTTTTTAGTACATAAAGGTTAAAAAAGTGAATATGCATATAGTCTTA